TCCGGTTTCTGGGCAACCAGGACTGACAGATTCGACTAACGTACATCAGACAGTGACTAATGGGCAAAGGTCCTACGGACCGCCCAGACAAATAATTGACGAATAGTAGTAAGATACTAGCAAAAAAATCACCCATTATTTATTTACTCTGGAAACACAGTCGCTACGGATGTTAATCGTGAGTGTCAGATAAACCGCGTATACATTTCAACTTCATAGAAAGCACGGATATAACATAATCTCACGCGGCAGGTTTTTAATGATACGCCTCTCCGGACAATTTACCTAGATAGATAAACAAATAACTGTATTAAATAAAATAAAACAATGTGCATTGAAATGGTGGCCACCAGTCCACCGGTGGCAACCGGATCATAGACAATGGAGTTTTATAACAGTTGAAGCGACACAGCGCACAGTTAACTCTTCCTGTACACTATAAATAAATGCCGGCAGAACTTGTTCGAATCGATGAGAGGCGGCCCTTTTTTGCGTTAAATTAGTGAGTCATGCCTGCTGTTCAGGTATTCAGTGACAGTGTCTAAAGTGGGAGTCTCACTTCCCGGTGTGATCGGGCGTTAAACTCGATGCAGTTCACTTTGAAGTGTGACCAGTGCTTTGGTGTCGCTTATACAGGAAGTTCGTTTGTTGTCTTAAGTACTGTTCGCTGTTTGTGGGGGTGATTCTTGTGAGTGGTTTGTGAAAAGGGAAGTGGATTTTCGATGAAAATGAAGGACTGTCCTTGACTATCTGATCATTTGAAATTGAAAATCGTAGAGTCAAAATTACTTGTGTTTACCGACCACCATCTTCAGATCCTCATACATTTATAAGAGACATAGATGAACTATTAAAAAACAATGAAAACAATCACCTTCATAATCAAATATTTATAGGCGACATCAATATAAACATTTTAGAGGAAAATTCTATAGTGAAAGAATATTTAAACATTTTATCAAGTAATGGTTTTTTATCATACATAAATAAAGTAACCCGACCCACCAGTAAAACCTGCATTGATCACTGCTTTATAAAGGATATTTCCAATATTTTTTCTTACATGCCTATTATCTATGAAACCGATATTACAGATCATTATTCCACTGTATTATTGATATCTTCACAAAATAAAAACCAGAACTGCCCAAGGGCAAAAAATGAAAGAAACCTTGAATACAAATATTTCACTGACAACTCAAAATTAATATTTAACGCACAAACGGAATTGTGGGACGAAATTTTTTTAACAAATTCTTTAGACGAAGCTACAAATTTATTAATACACAAAATTCAAAAAGTAATTGAAGTTAGTACTAATAAGGTTAAAATAAGTCACAAGGAAAAAAGCAGAAATGATTGGATGACCAAAGGACTAATAAAATCTGCAAACGAAAAAGAAAGACTGTATAAAATCATGAAATATTTACCCACGAAAGAAAATATAGATCATTATAATCAGTATAAAAACAAATTTATAGAACTTTTGAGAAAAGCAAAAAAAAATTACTATATAAAACAATTGAATAATAATTCACATGACTCTATACACCTATGGTCCACTGTCAATGATATATTCAATAAGTCATCCTATTCAAAAAACAATATTAATGAAATAAAAACAAAAACAGGACAAAAAACAGACAATATTCAGCAAATATGTGATGAGTTCATAGAATTTTTCACGAATATAGGAGGAAACTTAGCAAATAATATCAAACAAAATGCTGATATTCATCTGCATGAAACAAGACTGAATAATTCATTTGTATTAATTGAAGTAGACTATCAGGATGTTTTCAATGCCAATAAGACTCTAAAAAATAAAAAAAGCCCTGGAATTGACGAAATTAGAGCTGAACATCTAAAGATACTGGCCAAACAAATAACAGAACCACTTGCTTATATCATTAACAAATCCTTCCAATCTGGAGTATTTCCATCAGCTTTCAAGACAGCAATCATCATACCTATCTATAAATCTAATGATAATACGGACGACACTAACTATCGACCTATTTCACTTATATCAAGTTTAGCTAAAGTTTTTGAGAAATTACTCCTTAATAAAATGATTAATTTTCTTAATAAATTCAAAATTCTAAATTCAAATCAATATGGTTTTATAGCGGGCAAATCCACAACAGATGGGGTATTAAGTATAGTAGATGAAATAACCCAAAATATAGATGGAAAAGTACCATCGATATGCGTATTTGTGGACTTACAAAAAGCGTTTGACACAGTTAACCACAATATACTTTTGGAAATCTTAGAAAGAATAGGTTTTCGTGGAAAGATGTACACTTTAATGGAAAATTATTTATCAAATAGACCGCAATCAGTAAAATTATTAAGCTCGTATAGTAAAGAAATGTTTGTTAAATGTGGTGTTCCACAAGGTACAATTTTGGGTCCTATGTTATTCAATATTCATTTAAACGATATATTCAAAATTAACAGTACTGGTAAAATAGTCAGTTTTGCAGACGATACTGCTATACTCTATAAAAGTAAGGATTGGAACGACTTAAAAGATATTATCCAAAATGACTTTTGCAAAATTATTCAGTGGTTTAATAACCGAAAATTAACAATTAACTTTACTAAAACTCATTTTTTACCATTTTCATCACTATCTAATCATCTACCAAAATATAACCACCTTCGGTTTAAGGTAAATGATAAAAATATAAAAATCAATAGAGTTAATGATACAAAATATTTAGGAATTTATCTAGATCCCCACTTGAGATGGGATGTACATATTTCTCACATACTAAAGAAAATTAGATTCATAGCATATAAAATAAAATTTCTAACCGGTATATTAACTGAATATTATCTACGAATAATATATCAAGCTTTAGTCGAGCCACACATAACATATGGTATAGTAGTGTGGGGTGCTGCATGCACGACATACTTTAACGATTTAGATGTACTTCAAAGAAGAATTTTAAAATCAATGTTAGGCAAATCAAAATTATACCCAACTAATGACTTATATAATGATGCACAAATATATGATACTAAACAACTTTACTTCTTACGTACCATCACTCATTATCACAAAACTATTAGTGAACACGACATAATTAAACATAATCATAAAACCAGATATAAATTACGCGCAAAAAATGTTCCTAAACCAAACAAATCCCTAATGAAACGATGTCACCTGTATATAGCTCCAAAATTGTACGAACATTTACCAAATAATTTAAAACAATTACGCAATACATTAGGCTTCAAAAAAAAATTAAAAAAATTTATTAACACGATTGGGAGAAATCAAATTAATAAAATAATCTCAAATATTACACAATAAATGCTCTACCATTCTTACCAATAATTTCTTTTTTCTCTCTATTTTATTATATTTTGCAATTCAACATACATATGATCCATGCACAGGCGTTGTCCTCCTATGGATATATTATATTTATTTACTCGTTTCATGTTCCCTGTATTTTAGAGTAAATAAATATTATTATTATTATTATTGTTAGTATGATTTTTTATAAACACACAAGGCTCTAGATTGCTCTTACTGAACCCTAAATTACACAAAGTTTCATCTACTCTTTGATACCAAGCAAGAGATGATTGCTTTAATCCATAGATAGCCTTTTTTAATTTTAGCACTTTGAATTTTTGATAGGAAAACCTTCTGGCAAATGCATAAAAATATTTTCTTTTAAATAACCATTAAGAAATGCTGGTGTGACATCTAAATGAGTTATTTCCATTCCTAGTTGCACACTCAAAGCGCAAGGTTGAATGCTTAATCACTGGAGAAAAAATTTCCTGATAATCTACACCTTGTTGCTGTGTAAAACCTTTGGCTACGAGTCGTGCACGATACCTCACTTTATTGTCTAATTTCTTTTTCATTACCCATTTGCACTGCACTACACTAGCATTGTCTGGAGTGTCAACAACCTCCCATGCCTCATTATCCTCGAACGACTGCAGCTCCTCTGCCATTGCTTGTAGCCATTGTTCTTTTTCATGACCACTGATAGCCTCTGCATATGTCATTTCGTCCTCTGCTATGGAAGTAGTACACATATTGACAATACCATATCTAGAAGGCCTCTTCCTTCATCTCATTTCTCTATCTACAATCTGTGGTGACTCTGGTATATCTGATATTGACGGAGCTTCTTCTTCTTCACCAACTATGTTAGCTTCTTCCTTCTCTGTCTCCGATACTTCCTGCTGCCAGTTTTCATCTTCGCCATCCTGGCCATCCAGGTATTCTGAGTCACTAGAGCTTGACTGTTCAGACTGCTCAATGCCATATGTTCCCTCTTCCTTCGTCTCTTTTCTCTATCTACAATCTGTGGTGACTCTGGTATATCTGATACTGACGGAGCTTCTTCTTCTTCACCAACTATGTTAGCTTCTTCCTTCTCTGTGTCCGATACTTTCTGCTGCCAGTTTTCATCTTCGCCATCCTGGCCATCCAGGTATTCTGAGTCACTAGAGCTTGACTGTTCAGACTGCTCAATGCCATATGTTCCCTCTTCCTTCGTCTCTTTTCTCTATCTACAATCTGTGGTGACTCTGGTATATCTGATACTGACGGAGCTTCTTCTTCTTCACCAACTATGTTAGCTTCTTCCTTCTCTGTCTCCGATACTTCCTGCTGCCAGTTTTCATCTTCGCCATCCTGGCCATCCAGGTATTCTGAGTCACTAGAGCTTGAGTGGTCAGACTGCTCAATGCCATATGTTCCCTCTTCCTTCGTCTCTTTTCTCTATCTACAATCTGTGGTGACTCTGGTATATCTGATACTGACGGAGCTTCTTCTTCTTCACCAACTATGTTAGCTTCTTCCTTCTCTGTCTCCGATACTTCCTGCTGCCAGTTTTCATCTTCGCCATCCTGGCCATCCAGGTATTCTGAGTCACTAGAGCTTGACTGTTCAGACTGCTCAATGCCATATGTTCCCTCTTCCTTCGTCTCTTTTCTCTATCTACAATCTGTGGTGACTCTGGTATATCTGATACTGACGGAGCTTCTTCTTCTTCACCAACTATGTTAGCTTCTTCCTTCTCTGTCTCCGATACTTCCTGCTGCCAGTTTTCATCTTCGCCATCTTGGCCATCCAGGTATTCTGAGTCACTAGAGCTTGACTGTTCAGACTGCTCAATGCCATATGTTCCCTCTTCCTTCGTCTCTTTTCTCTATCTACAATCTGTGGTGACTCTGGTATATCTGATACTGACGGAGCTTCTTCTTCTTCACCAACTATGTTAGCTTCTTCCTTCTCTGTCTCCGATACTTCCTGCTGCCAGTTTTCATCTTCGCCATCCTGGCCGTCCAGGTATTCTGAGTCACTAGAGCTTGACTGTTCAGACTGCTCAATGCCATATGTTCCCTTTGGCTGTAACTGTAGCCTAGAGTAGCCCATTCTCGCCTCCCCGAGCTTGCTATCTTTACCGGATTTAAATACCATCGAACGTGTGTGGGATACGATGGGAGGAGGAGACTATCAACGTTGCACCATTCGCTACAGACTCTAATCCACGAAGTTCTGGTTGCTTGAAATGAGGTGCCACAACCAGGCATCGGTCATTTCATTTTGTCGATGCCTAGACATATACAAGAGTCTATTCAGATGCAGACTATTCTTCATGTAAGACTACTTCATTGCCAAAAAATCAGTTTGAAGTAATTATTTTTTCTGCGTTTAAATGTAAAATTTTCAACAACAAAGTTCATCAGCATCTGAGCGTATTTGTATGTGTACTGAAACAGGCGGCTCATCAAGATTCACCCCTGCGCAACTGTTCGGATGCCATATCGTACGGAAAAAGCAACGCCGATTAACTTATACAAGGACTTAAAGTTGCGTTAGCTGAACGGGCAATCTGATCAAGAATAATGCTGAAATATCGTGTCACCAGGTACCCAGGCGGAACTCCCGAAACCAAACCGAGGAGCGCTCATCGTTGCGCGACGTTGTCCCCGAGTAGCAGGAGCGGTTTCGGCTCGAATTCGTCTTTGTCCAGTGGAAGCGCCTGCGGAAGTGCCAGATACAAAAAGCCGGCACCGAGACCGCCCATACCCTCATTCAGGCTTGGCGAATCTCCTGGCAGTTCGCTGACGTCGAGTCCCTGCCATAGTACGGTGAGTACAGTCCAAAAACATCAGTATACAGGGAAAACCAAATTTCTGTGACGGCTTGAGTTCAACGTGTACGAGAGAGAAGTGTGTATGGACGCGTATGTTAGAAAGAGATAGAAGCAGGCTGGATAGCCAAGCTCATCACAAACAATGTTTTCAATTTTTTTTGTCGAAATATGCATTTTATTGTACATTTTCTCTTCAAGCGTAACTTGTTAACGAATTTCAGTAAAGGTCTGAAATTGTATGTGAATATTCAATTTTTATGAAAGGAGACGGTATTCTTATCACTTAGAAGAATCTTTGACTTTCTTGAAGCCTCGTGAAAATTGGAACCACTCTGTATATTTTTCGCAAATAAAGATATTGTTCCAAGATTGGGACATGTTTAGTTAGTCTCGGAAGTTATCTCTCCCTTCCGATTTATTCGGAAGTGACCTTGACTTTCGCTTTTCAAGTGGAAACCTGTATATTTTCTTCTATAATCGTGCTCGATGCAAAATTCTTTTTCCAACGATGTCTCACAAGTGGCATTTTTATAGAGGAGTTTGTGAATGACCTAAAATCTGCCATACAAAAATATTTTGAACTGTCAAGGTGGCGATGTGACCAAAATAAAAAAATATAATAAAAGTAAAAGTGATTGAAAAATTTTTTTTTCTATTTTATAACAAGCTATCAAAACAAAATTTATATTAAGATTTTGCGAAGTTAGGTTATGTCACTGATTATTTTTATTTTCATTTTATTTCATGGTTCTGAGTGATACCTTAATAATAATTTTAGTGGGAAATTTTTGATTTGAAAAAAACAGTTATGAGTAGAATACCTTAAGACACCAAAGACCAAAGTATTATTCGAAAACAACATAACCTGCTTTAACATAACCTAACTATTCATCTTTCAAATATGATCGATCATGCAACATGAAATCATCGTCTATCTTTGTCGGATAGCAATACAGTTTGTATCAGAAACTTCATTAAATATATTCACAAATCGCTGTCATTTGTCTTTACTACAGACTAAAATGATGACGTAATCGTCATCTTTCGTGATTTCGACTATACAAGCCAAGCTAATGAAAGCGTATTAAAAAAATGTATGTTTACCTTTTTTGGAATAGGACAAAGTGAAACGAAGATTGTCATACGTCAAATAACTAAACAATAATGGGTATGCTATGAATTGACTTTCATTTGTTTTCCACAGCCTGCTTACTATTTTCAAATAAATGCTATTTGAACATCCTAAATTTTCATAGCCTCGTGAGTGAAAATGAAAATTGGAAACACTCTGTATATTTTTCGCAAATAGAGATATCGTTCCAAGATTGGGACACGTTTAGCTAGTCTCGAAAGTTATCTCTCCCTTCCGATTTATTCGGAAGTGACCTTGACTTTCGCTTTTCAAGTGGAAACCTGTATATTTTCTTCCATGATCGTGCTCGATGCAAAATTCTTTTTCCAACGATGTCTCACAAGTGGCATTTTTATAGAGGAGTTTGTGAATAACCTAACATCTGCCATACAAAAATATTTTGAACTGTCAAGGTGACGATATGATCAAAATAAAAAATATAATCAAAGTAAAGTAAAAGTGATTGAAAAAATGTTTTTTTCAATCTAATAACAAGCTATCAAAACAACTCCCTTTTACCCACTATTCTAGTTATAAAAAATATTACAAAATTAACAACTAGAAACTATTAAACATTCATATGAAAACTAACACAGTTCAACGCGTTATCCATTATTTTCGCAGCGTTTTGTTGCTTGTTGATTTATATTAAGATTTTGCGAAGTTAGGTTATTTCACTGATTATTTTTATTTTCATTTTATTTCATGGTTTTGAGTGATACCTTACTAATAATTTTAGTGGGTATTTTTGTTTTGAAAAAAACAGTTATGAGCAGACTACCTTAAGACAGGAACACCAAAGACCAAAGTATTATTCGAAAACAACATAACCTGCTTTAACATAACCTAACTATTCATCTTTCAAATATGACCGATCATGCAACATGAAATCATCGTCTATCTTTGTCGGATAGCAATACAGTTTGTATCAGAAACTTCATTAAATATATTCACAAATCGCTGTCATTTGTCATTACTTCAGACTAAAATGATGACGTAATCGTCATCTTTCGTGATTTCGACTTTACAGGCCAAGCAAATGAAAGCGTGTTAAATAATACTATATGTTGACCTTTTATGGAATAGGTAAAAGTGATAGGAAGATTGTCATACGTCAAATAACTAAACAATAATGGATGCGCTATGAATTGACTTTCATTTGTTTTCTACAGCCTGCTTACTATTTTCAAATAAATTTGAACATCCTAAATTTTCATAGCCTCCTTACTTTCTTGCGGCGATTGGTGGCCTCTATGAAATAGCTTTAATTTTAATTGTCACTAAACCGATAGTTGCTTGCGAAACATCATTGGAAATGCGTTTTCATTTATAGCCAAAAACAAACTACTTTTTGTTTTGTAATACCGACAGCTTTTGGAGGTTAATTCACAAATTCTTTTCTGCGGCTGCTATTTTGACCACAAACGTAATACTTGTCATCATTGAATAAAGAACTTTACGTAGAATATGATTTCTGAAAAAGGTATACAGGGTCCTATTCAAAATCTAGCAGAAATCCAGTTAAACCGGAAGGGAGAGATAACCCATCCAACTTTCCAGAAATGCCTCTTAATGACTAACTAAGCATGTCCCAATCTTGGAGCGATATCTTTATTTGCCAAAAAATACAGCCTCTTTTCAATTTTCATTCTCACCGGCACGGGTATCACGTATCTTGAAAAGCGGTCTCACAAAGCATATGCAACCAATAATGCGTGCACTTTAGTTGAGTGATTTCTCCATAGATGGACGTTCACAACGACCCTAGTGAGCAAACGTGGAATGACTGTTTGTGCCCTGTAGGGTAGTTTGTAAACTACCTAGTTTGCAAGATGACATCTTATAGATTTTTTTTAGGTTTTTTACATGATACCCGTGCTATTCCGGTACTACTTTGCTGTCAAATGGCAATAAAGCTTATTCCGCTATATTCTATTCTTCTTTATTTTCAGTATCATTCACCCAGGTCCACGCCCAAATATCGAAAGACCAAGAAGGCTCCTCCTCCACCAGTTCCCGTTACGACCGCGTCATCAACCCCATGCAAGAAAGAACTTTTCCAAAATAATCTGAACGTGGAGAGTAGAAAGTTAATGAGTAATCGGATATCGATAAGTCCGATCATCAATGAGACGGGAGAAGAAGCAGATCGTGAGAATGATGTTGAAAAGGAAAAGTTGGTGAAGGATGAGACGAACAGAACGCGACAAGGTCAAGAAATAAACAGTGAGTATTTCATTTAAAAATTGTTGTTGAAGTCCATCTTCACCCTGCACGGCAAGTTTTCAATTCAATACGAACTGTCATTGTTTTTGCGAGTTTCCGATACCTCATTGGATTGTTCTGCGTTAAGACTACATGTTGCCGGTTCTAACTACAAAACATCAAATTTGCGACATTCCTCTTTTTGTCCCTGTACCCTGTTTTTATTTTCAGAAATTTCTTCAGACAAACCAGTTAGCTTGCCAGACAAAAACGCGATGGGCAAAGGGAAACGCCGCAAAGGACCTGCCCCCGTTCGCCCTATCATTACACGAAGAACATACAAGTGCCTACCGGTCGCCGAGATCAAAAAAGAGCTGGAGATGATAGAGATTCAACTACAGGGTGTGGAAAGACAAGGTGTCCGGCTAGAGAAAATTATCAGGCAGAAGTGTGAGGGAAGTGGAGATAGCAATCCTGGTAAGTTGAAACACACATACAAGCTCTAACACAAAAATGTTAGGATATTATCTGATTGTATCTAAAAGTTTGTTTACTTTGTAAGGTTTTTAATTTTTTACTTTCTTGCCAAACCATAAGAAGACGTGTGCTCGATGCTCAGATAATTTCATTGTGAACACCAAGGATATTTCTTGCGATTTTTGCAAAAAGTTGTTTCATCATCATTGTGCTGAGGTCGACGACAAATTAGCTAAAGTTAAGCGTGATTGTGCGGGAATCAAATGGTTCTGCAGCGGTTGTCTTCCAATGATAAATGGCAAGCTGAAAATGGCAGATTTTGGGGAAGCAGTAGTTAATCGAATACCTGAAAAGTCTGAAGTTAAAATGGTATCTGGTTCACGGGCGTCAAGGAGCAGTGCTAGTGTGCCCGAAAGTGATTTAGCTGTATTGGAAAAAGAGATTGAGTGCCTGGTAAGAGAAAAAAATTTAATCGATAAAATCGCAAACGAGAGAGGTTATATTGTGGAAATTCAGAAAAAACTCATAAGTGACCTTGAAGATAAATATTCCGAAGTCAGCCAGTGGGCAACAGCAGCAAAAACAAAGATTGTGTTTCGTACAGTGCTATCGTGAAAAAAATGGACCATTCATATTTGTTGATTAAGCCTGCAGATCGTTCTACTTCGTACAAAACTGTTAAAAATGATTTTAAATCTCGTAATTCGCCTGGTGCTCTTAATGTCAATATCAACAAGACTAAACTCACCAAAAATGGTCTGATGATCAGCTGTAATAGTAAAAAAGATGTGGAGACTCTAAAAGATTCTCTAAAATCTGATTTAGGAAATAAGTTCGGATGTTTGTGAGCCTACCAAAATGTTTCCTAGAATGTTGATACAGGGTGTACCTAACGACTGTTTCAAAAATCCTGGTCCAGATAAACTTGAATTTGTTGATAGTTTTGTTGACGATTTAATATTCAATAACAATGTAGGTGTTAATTCAGATGATATAAAAATAATTAGTTGCTATAAGGTTAAAAATACAAAAAATGTTGTTATCGAGGTGGTTCCTTCTGTGTTTAATTTACTTAGTAGCAAAGGGTTTGTTTTTATTGGCTGGGTGAGATGTACTGTCAGGGAAAATTTATATTTGCTACGTTGTTACAAATGTTGTAAATTTGGTCATGGTAAGAAAGATTGCCGAAGCAAGGATGTTGTCTGTTCTAAGTGCTCAGGTTTTCATGAATTTAGAGATTGTAAAGCTGATGATTCTTGTTGTCCTAACTGTAAGTTTCATAATGATAGATATAAAACTAACTGGTGTACAAAGCATGTTGCAAGTGATACCTCTTGCAGTTATTACAAAATGAAGATCGATAATTTGAAAATGCAGATTGCTTATGAATAATTGCACAAAAACTTATAACCATTTTGTTGTTGGACACCTGAATGTAAGATCTCTGTTTGCTGGCTTTGATTCCTTTGTAGATTTGTTGACTACTGATAACTATGATATTATGGGTATCTCCGAAACATGGATTAATAATGATTTTACAGCAGATATAGTAAATATTCCTGAGTACACTTTTTTCCATACTGATCGAGTAGGACGTGGAGGAGGAGTTGGTGTTTATTTAAGGGATTCACTGAGAGGTAAGCTGGTATTGCAAGATTTTTTATGTCCAGATGGTATGGAGCAGGTTTGTGCTGAAATAGTGTTGAATAATCTAAAAATTTTGGTTTGTGTTATCTACAGAGCTCCTTCGAGCAGATTATCAAGTTTTATTGATCATATAGACAACTTTCTCTCATTTGTGTCTCCTCAGTATGATAATATATGCTTGCTGGGTGATATAAACGTTGATCAAATTACTGACCATTCTTTTCTAGATTGCATTGCGTGCTACGATATGGTATCTCACATCACCCAACCAACTAGAATAACTTTAACCACGGCAACCTCCATAGATGTCATTTGTACAACAAATAACTTAGCTGAATCATTAATTTCAACTAGCTCTGTGAAAGTGCTAGATTTGAATTTAGTTTTGCTACCCCACAAAATGTGGTAGACATTATTCTGTCCCTAAAATCTAATGCAGCAGGTTCGGATGGTATAACAGTCTCAATGCTGAAGCTTTGCTTGCCTCGAGTATTACTACCCCTGACGCATTTATTGAACTGTTGCCTGGAGGCTGGGTATTTCCCTGATGCTTGGAAACTATCTCTTGTCAAACCCTTGCCTAAATGTAAAAATCCAAAATGTCTCTCAGACTTAAGACCTATAACTTTGATTCCTGTTATATCGAAGATATTGGAGAAATTGATTAAACATCAGGTTTATCATTATTTCTCTAATAATTATTTCTTTCCCAAGTGTCAATCTGGTTTCCGCAGTGGTTTTAGTACAACTTCAGCTTTAGCAAGGGTTTTAGATGACATCATTGCTTCGCTTGATAAGGGAGATGCTTCAGCACTTGTATCATTAGATTATTCTAAGGCGTTCGATAAAATAGATCATGAGCTTTTATGTGCTAAATTGAAGTTTTTTGGTTTTTCAGACATACCTCTAATGTTTTTTATAACATATCTTTTAAATCGTAAACAAGTAGTAGAGATAGACAACACTATATCTAGTCCGATTGATATAACATCAGGTGTCCCTCAGGGTTCAGTTTTAGGGCCCTTGTTGTACTTAATTTATACTATAGACTTGGGTAGCTCTGTGAAAAACTCTTCTGTGATGTGCTATGCCGATGATACACAGATATATAAAAGCTTTAATAGTAACACTTTGCATACTTCAATCAATGAGCTTAATGATGATTTGGAGGCAATAGTAGGATACTCAAATGGTAATAATCTTAAGCTCAATAAGGATAAGTGCTCAGTGATGCTTTTTTGTCCTGCTGTCAAACGTAACACTGTATTGAATTCTCTTGATGTAAAAATCGACAAGGAGCGTCTAGCTGTCGTAAATACTACAAAAAATTTAGGGTTGATTATTGATTATACTTTACGGTTTAAGGAGCATGTTTCGTCTATCTTAAAAAAATGTTATGCAACGTTGAAGTGTTTTTATGTCAATCGCTCTATTTTGAATTTTAAAGTTAGAAAAAAGTTATGTGAGGCTATTATATTTCCAAGCTTATTTTACTGTAGCACTGTGTTCTATCATTGTCTTGATTCTATCACAAAAGCAAGACTCCAAAAACTCCAAAATACTTGTTGTCGATTTGTATTTAATCTCAAGAAGTATGATCATGTTTCCTTAAAGAGATTTCAGCTTGGTTGGATGTGTATAGAAAATGCTTGCAAGTACCATATAGCAGTGTTTACACATAAGATCATATCTTCTAGATCCCCCTTGTATCTTTATGAGAAATTTGTTTTTAGACGAAATAATTCAGACATTGATTTCAGACACAAAAAAAGACTAGAGATCCCTATGTATAAAACAACTTTATTTCGTAGTTCATACACTTACAATGCTATCCTGATTTATAACGAATTAGATGACAATATAAAGGATTGGCCAGTAAACAGATTTCGTAAGCATGTGAAACAGATTTATTTGTCATTGTAGTAATTGTGGAAAAGTTAGTTTTTAATTCTTACATTTAATTTTATTTTACGTAATATATGTGTGTATATATGTATGCTAGGAAGCTATCAAGCTCGTTGTTTTGAAGCGTCTTTTGCTTGTCAAAGTTTCCTTTGATTGAGTGTTTCAATTTAGTATTTGGGTAGGTTAAGTAGAGTAGCCAAGAGCTAGACTTCGCCTACGTAGAGGTCACATTATGTTGTAGTGTATATAATGTGCCTAATAAAGACATTTTATTATTATTGTTATTATTATTATTAAATACTGTTCAGCAGAAGGAGGAAGGTGATAATTAAATTAAATAGTATTACTTTATTTGATGCACAGAAATTGTCAAAACTTGTTCTTTTAATTTCTCCGCATTGCAAAATCGCTAAAATCTCATGTGTTAGTTGGTAGGTAAGAAGTGATTCTGTTTAATTTTTATTCAAGTGAAGTCAGAAAAAATGGTTTTTATTTGTTGCAAAATAAATGAGGAAAAAGCAGTGGCGTACCATATTTTCTTGACAAATCTCCGTACGGACACCAGTGGTCGAAATATTAAGGAATATCAAAATAAAGCAATGAGAATAAAAACAAATACGCTAGGATTGTGTGGTCGAATGTAAAAAATGTTATTTTAATCTCATATTCGAATTGAAAAAAATCATTTATTACCACCACATTTAGTGTTCGATTTTAAAAATGTTTAAGATGAAATTAAAAAATCACTTTATGAGTAGCAAAAATGCATAGTGATGTAATTTTAATCGACAAGAATCTAAAATTACAGAAAACGGATTCAAAAAAATGTGGAAACGAATAATTATACAAAATCGACATTGTATTATTAATGTTAAATAAATCTTTCAATAAACAAAATCATTGCACAGCTGTCCATGGTTGGTCGTCTCTGGTCAGACATAGGAAAGCAGAGCATGTTTATTATTTTTAACTGGTAATTTAGTGTAGTTGAATATGAGTAAAATAAACATTTAGTTTTCCAAAATGTAGTAGCCAGTTGTTCCTTACAGACGCCGACCTGCCTATTGAAGTGGAAGATCTGATACTACAACTATTCGACGTGGTGAATGAGAAGAACGAGCTCTTCAGGAAGCAAACTGAACTTATGTATCTGTGAGTACTTTTTTGAATTTTCTTCCGAAACAGGGTCGACTTTTAGCTAGTCAGCTTGAACGATTGGTTTTTTTAATACATGCTTGTTTTTCTCACATTTTGAGAAAATGTTGCCCTTTGCAGTTGATCATTAAAATTTATTTCTGTCAATTTCAGACGTCGTCAGCAACGGTTGGAAGAGGAGCATGCGGAAGTTGAATATCAGCTAAGGTGCCTAATGTATCAGCCAGAAGCCAACAAAACTGATTCCGACAAAGCCAGGGAAGGACAGCTACTACAAAGGTAATAGGGGTTTATTGTAGGAAAAGAAAAAATTTAAAAGATATACGTTCTAATAATACAGTTGTACAATAGACACGGAAAACCCCAAAAAGAACTTGCGCTGGGCATTAACCGATATTAGAGACAATTAAACCTTGAAACAGCATAAATCTTTAGTAAAATTCAAACATTAGGAAGTGGAGAAGAAGTATAGATGAGAAAGAATATATTGTAACAATATTTTTGGACTTTAAAAGGGCATTTGAGACTATAGATAGGGAAAAATTGTTAATGAAATTGCGTCACTATGGCTTTAAAAATCAGTATTACACATTTTACAAAATTATTTAGTAAATAAAAGTCAAAAAACTAAAGTTGTAAATATTACGTCAAGTGTTCAAAATATATCAGTAGGGGTGCCACAAGGGAGTAAATTAGGGCCGTTACTATTTACTATTTATATAAATGATATCTCTGACATTTTAGTACACTGCAAAATTCAAATATTTATATATATATATACAGGGTGTCCCAGAAGTCGACGTCAAGCCGAACCGGGTGATAGGCAAAGTCATAACAGCTATCAGAAAAATATTTAAAAAAATTTTATGTATGTGTTTTGAAAATTATAGGTCTTTGAAAAAGATATAGAAATTTCACACCCTACGGCAGTCTGTCAACTCCTGTTACTACAAATATTAACTTTTTTTGGATTTTGTTTTTACAATGTAATGATGAATAATGCATCTTCAAACTGGTGTCTCAACCTTACTGCCAACTTTTCTCGTTCAGGAAAAATTGCCACTTATTTCCCAACCAAGTATTCCAAAGTAAAACTTTGCTCAACTTTAACTGGCTGTACTGGAAAAAATGTACTACGAGAGTTTGGCAAGTAACCTTAAAAGTTGGCGCATTTAATAAGGATTCCAAAATGGTATAACACTTAGATGAGTACTCGTTAACTTATGCACAATTTTTATTTGAAGAAAAACTAATTAAACAGCGATTATGAAAACGCACAAGGACCCTTAAGGATAACTGTTTGCACAACAATGGGCGTCAAAATGCTGCTGATGATGATTTACCTTTACAGCAAATGCTCAAACTGTTTTCCTTCATCCGCAATACACGCTCGACATCTTCTTAAAAAAGATCAGGTTATTAAACGAGCGAATCCACGGTTATTAACAAACTTAGCTGCTTCCAATAGTCTTTGCCATAGCTCAGCTACATTTTGAATCGGCTTGAAATACACTTTTTCTTTTACAGTTCCCAGTAAAAAAAATCTATCGGATTCAAATCTAGTGACCGGGCTGGCCACGGTATTGTACCAGACCGCCATATCCATCTGCCTGGAAAGTTTTGATCGAGATACTCTCTCACTGAGAGTGCATAGTGCGCTGGGCAGCCATCATGCTGAAACCACATGTCCCTGTAAATACTCAGTGGCACGTCCTCCAATAAATTTTCTAAATGATTTTGCAAAAAACCTAAATAAACCTCAGCAGTCAAAGTCTCTGGGAACTCAAACGGACCGATTATTTTACCATTTAAAATTCCTGTCCAATGGTTTATCTTGAAGCGATATTGAGATTTATTTTCTCTCATCAAATGTGGGTTTGCTACGTGCCACTCGTGTAAGTTATGCAGGTTCATGTACCCATCTTTCTTAAATGTGGTCTCATCTGACCATAAAATTTTTTCAAAGAACCGTGGATCTTCCCTGTGTCTTTCTAACATTGTGCGACAAAAAGCAACTCGGGGCTCATAATCCCGGGGCAGAAGAGCTTGAACACGCTGTACGTGGTATGGATGGAGCACGTTTTTTTGCAAGATTCTATGGGCTGTACTTTTGGGCACACCTGTTTTTAGTTCTATTGCACGCACTGAAGTACTCGGGTCTTCTTCGACAGCTCCTAGCACAACGTCTTTGTAAGGAAGGAAAGATCTTCCCTCACCGTGTGATTGGTTTGGTAGTTGGCCCTCTGAGAACAGTAAGCGGTGCACATTTGTGAACACTCGTTGATCTGGATGACGAGCTGCATTCGGGTACCTCTCACAGTAAAGTCTCGCTGCAGCACTAGCATTGCATCTGCATTCCCCACAAATGAGGTGCATGTTAGCATATTCTTGTACGGTGTACACGGACATAGCGGCACTGCACAATCACACTATCAAAGATAGTCTAAGGAAAGCAAATGTTTTGAAGAGCAATTAAACAGTCCAAATCCAAATCACAAGCGATCAACAGTCCAGTTCACGAATCCAAAATTAGTGACACTACGAAATCAACAAGCACGAACATGTAAAGATGCGCAGTAAACGAAGGAGTACTGATCGGTATCAAAATGTGCAATAGCAAGTAAGTGATGTGCTTCATCCATACCACATACAACGTGTTCAACCTCTCCTGCCCCGGGATTATGAGCCCCGAGTTGCTTTTCGTCGCACAATGTTAGAAAGACACAGGAAAGATCCACAGTTCTTTGAAAAAATTTTATGGTCGGATGAGACCACATTTAAGAAAGATGGGTACATGAACCTGCATAACTTACACGAGTGGCACGTAGCAAACCCACATTTGATGAGAGAAGATAAATCCCAATATCGCTTCAAGATAAACCATTGGACAGGAATTTTAAATGGTAAAATAATCGGTCCGTTTGAGTTCCCAGAGACTTTGATTGCCGAAGTTTATTTGGATTTTTTGAAAAATCATGTACAAAATTTATTGGTGGACGTGCCACTGAGTATTTACAGGGACATGTGGTTTCAGCATGATGGCTGCCCAGCGCACTATGCACTCTCAGTGAGAGAGTATCTCGATCAAATCTTTCCAGGCAGATGGATAGGGCGGTCTGGTACAATACCGTGGCCAGCCCGGTCACCAGATTTGAATCCTTTAGATTTTTTTACTGGGGAACTGTAAAAGAAAAAGTGTGTTTCAAGCCGATTCAAAATGTAGCTGAGCTGCGGCAAAGACTATTGGAAGCAGCTGAGTTTGTTAATAACCGTGGATTCGCTCGTTTAATAACCCGATCTTTTTTAAGAAGATGTCGAGCGTGTATTGCGGCTGAAGGAAAACAATTTGAGCATTTTCTGTAAATTTAAATCATCATCAGCAGCATTTTGACGCCCACTGTTGTGCAAACAGTTATCCTTAAGGGTCCTTGTGCGTTTTCATAATCGCTGTTTAATTAGGAAATTTTGAAAAAATTTCAGTTTTTCTTCAAATAAAAATTGTGCATAAGTTAACGAGTAACCTTCTAAGTGTTATACCATTTTGGAATCGTTATTAAATGCGCCAACTTTTAAGGTTACTTGCCAAACTCTCGTAGTACATTTTTTCCAGTACAGCCAGTTAAAGTTGAGCAAAGTTTTACTTTGGAATACTTGGTTGGGAAATAAGTGGCAATTTTTCCTGAACGAGAAAAGTTGGCAGTAAGGTTGAGACACCAGTTTGAAGATGCATTATTCATCATTACATTTTAAAAATGAAATCCAAAAAAAGGTAATATTTGTAGTAACGGGAGTTGACAGACTGCCGTAGGGTGTGAAATTTCTATATCTTTTTCAAAGACCTATAATTTTCAAAACACATACATAAAATCTTTTTAAATATTTTTCTGATAGCTGTTATGACTTTGCGTATCACCCGGTTTCGGCTTGACGTCGACTTCTGGGACACCCTGTATATATAGCAAATAAGCATTTGGACACTGCTTTAGAACTGTTAAGTAGTGATATTGAAAAAAGTATGAATTGGTTAAATGTTAATAAACTTAAATTAAACACCAATAAAACAAAATGTATGTCAATAGGGAAACAGTTAGGTGACACAATTAGGCTCATGATTAATGATGAAAAAAATTGAAGTAGTCGAGTATCTTGGTATATATGTGGATGGTAAGCTACTGTTTCACGAACATTATTTCAAAAAAGATAAATTACTTCTATAGAGCCTCCCATAAACTTAGTATGTATTCCAAAAAAATTGTGTGTAACACTATAATTCTTAACCATTTTTTATATTGTTTAACCAACTTGTTTACAGCAAATGAAAACATATTTTCAAAATTACAAATTCTACAAAATAAAGCTATAAGATTCATTTTAAATAGAAACAAATATGCTAGGATTAAGTCTATGTTGGAAGAACTGCAGTGGTTGGATGTGAAAAATTTAATATATTATTTAGTTCTCGTTTTCATATTCAAATTAAAAAATCATTTATTACCACTTCATTTAGAGAACTTGACAAAATCAAATAGTCATCATCATAACTACGAAACTAGAGGGTGTATAAATTCTCATCTGCAAAATTGTAATAGTAGCATATAACTAGTAAATCTATATTTCAAAAGGGAGTATTTGAATTTAATAAATTGAATAATGATATTAAATAGAGTTCGAATTTAAAAATGTTTAAGGTAAAACTAAAAAATCACTTTATGAATAATCAAAATACATAGTGACGTAATTTTAATAGACAAGAATGTAAAATAACAGAAAATAGATTGAAGAAAAATATGTAACCGAATTATTATACAAAATTGATATTGTAGCATTAATGCTAAATAAATCTTCAGCAAACAATCAAAATAAATGAGCTGATTAAGTAAAATTAAAAAAAACACAACATATTAATAACTAGAAGTTAGTAGTAACGTTATATGCAAAAGTGCTCATATTAGTATAAACACTAAGAGAGCACTAAAAAGTAAAATGAAACTGATAGAATATAAAAAAGGAAACGGATTAAAAAGTATTTAATTAAAACTAGGTGTCATGTCAATAAAGTTTGCCTCGTACACATTCCACCATATTTAAGATGATTTTAGAGAATTTCAAATAGATCCATTTTTAAGGGCTATAATCATTGTTCTATAAAAAGATCGGTAAGTACAGGGTCCGGCACAAAGGACGGATTTTTTTCAAATGGCTACCGAAATAATGAGTCTTATCACGGCTGTACAGCGTGCGTGAGTTTCGTCGCCACTTCAATATTCATCGGAATCGAGCTGTTCCTTCTCGAAAGACCATCCTTCGTTGGGTTCAATTACTCCATGTAGTGTACTGATCAACAAAGGACCACCAGGAGCTTCACAAACGGTTCGAACCCCTGAAAATGTGGAACGCCTTCGACAAGTCCCCCGCCGCACCCGGCTCGATCTGCTCGGCAACATGCTGCTGAACTCAGTGGGTTCGGTACAGCGTATTCTGCATATGGATCTTCACTTTTACCCATACAGCCTGGAGCCTACAACCTTGTTCATTAGTCATGCTCACTTTCATCTTAATGAGATAAGATTTATCCATCTGCGATTTTTTTTCTATGAGGACACCTCAAGGCTCGTGGACTCTGGACGATAAATAACTAATCTTTTCTCGTCTTACTTCCAGGTTGATCGAAGTTGTAGAAAAAAGGAACGAGATCGTCGAATGTCTGGAAGCTGATCGAATTCGAGAGGTACGAGAGGACAGCAGTATCAGTGACCACATCAGCCTGTACACTACAAAAAGGGATGAAAAATCGGAATCGGACAAGTCCGCAAGGGAAAGGGAGAAGGATAAGAAGAAGAAGCACAAGACGTTGAAAAAGCTCTTCAAAGTCGACACTGTCAAACACTCAGCCGCGGATGAATCGTCTAATGATGCTTCGTCAAAGAAGAATGCGACGTTGAAGAAGGACAAAAAAAGATTCGCTTTATTTTAATATCAGAATGTTGCCATCGTTTATGAATAATTGTTAGACAGTTGAACTGTTCAAAAGGAGCTGTGCTTTAAGTTGTTTTTATAAGAATTACTCGTTTCTACTTACGGTTACTTATATTTTGTGATTCTATTCATTTGATAAATAAAATTTACTTCTTTAAGATTAAAGGTTATTTATTTTGACAGACCTCGTTCATGTTTTTCGGGCAAACAAAAGTACTAAAGAATGGCCTCCTCCCGAGCACTAAAAAGCAGGACTACCTCCATAAGATTATGTAAAAAAAACTGGAAATTTGCTAATGTCCAACCCTTCCCAAAAAAGGGATCTAAGACGGACACTTACAACAACTGGGCCTATAGCTGTTTTCTGTTATAAGTAAAGCATTGGAGAGGTGCATAAATCTTCTCAGAGCATCATTTTTTTTTAAATCTCTAGTGTACATCCTGTACAGACGCCACTGTTAGGAATATTAAAAAATATTCTACATCAAACATAGACTTGTTGTTTTGTGACTGGTCAACGAATAGTATATTAATGTCAATGAAATTTATGAGAATTTACGGGCGAATATAACTAAGGCAGTCAATGCAAATTCATTTAAGCTCTCATTGTCAGTGAGAGGTGACCAGGTGCCCTACTACGATATTGAACTCAAAAATAAAGCTAGCGAGCTAGATCTTGCCTACAAACAATTTAGGAAAAGTGTGTGTTAACTTGTTAAAAATGAAAAAAAGGCAATATTTTGAAGAAAAAATTGATCACAATAAACGTAACCCCAAAACTATGTGGAAAACATTGAAATCTTTGATAAAGCCGGTAGGAGCTACTACTTTCGATAGAATAACACTGGTCAACAAAATTTTAACTTTGTCGTGCTACACGGACTTTTTTGATATTTTTTACTTTAATTGGTGATTGTAAGAAAAAATAAACAGTTAAAAAAAATTTGCTAGACAAGGATTTTATTCTATTGAGTAATTTAAAATATTAAGAAAAAACACAGATCTCGTAAATCAAGTTATTTTTTTTATAAATGACTTAATAATCTAAGATTTTCTTGAATATTTAGCTTCTGGTTGGTCCCTTTTAATTGTCCAGCAGTAATCTGCTAACATATTTGGGCTCGATTTGCCCTGGTACCGCTTTTCCATTTTAGAAATGTCCTGATGGAACCTCTCACCATGCTCGTCGCTGACAGCCCCTAAATTGTCAGGAAAAAATCCAGGTGCGAGTCTAAAAAATGGATCTTAAGTGACATGTTGCAACCCAATGCTTGATATGACAATAATAGCTCGCTAACCAACTCTCTGTAGCTGTCACTCTTGTGGTTACCCAAAAAATTTGAAACAACATTTTACTTATTTTAGGGAATTTTTCTTTTAGATACAAAAATCCACTCCCATTGCGATCCATTGCCTTCACAAAATTTTTTATTAATCCTAATTTGATATGCAATGGTGGTAGAAGCACATTATTTGGCTGTACAAGGGGTAAATACTTTACGTTGTTTTGCCCAGGAACTAAAGATGCACGCGTAGGCCATGTTTTTTTTATATAGTGATTAGTTCTGTCTCAGCTATCCCATTCACATCAAAAGCAGCAAAACTTTGTATAACCCAGCTAAAGTCCAAGTAATAGTGCAACAACTTTAAGATCACCGCAGATTTGGAAGGAATATGTACTGTAATTTATTTTTTCAAGTAAAAGTTTCATATTTTCATAGGTTTCTTTCATATTTGCAGCATGGGCCAGAGGTACAGACGGAAGCTCATTTCCATTATGCAATAACACTGCTTTTAGACTTGCTTTCGAAGAATCAATGAATAAACGCCACTGAGAGAGATCAAAATCTATGTCCAACATTTTCATAATCTCATTTATGTTATTGCAAAACACCAAATCTCCATCCTGAGAAAAATACGTTCTGAAGTGATGATCACGGTTTCGAAAATAGCTAACTTTTGTATTATGATTTTCCATTCTTTTAGACGTGATCCTAATAGTTCTGACTGCTTTTTTGACAAATTTCAATCCCGAACCAAATCATTTAGGTCTCCTTGAGTTATCAAATGTGGCTCGTTTACAATTCCCTTTAACTCAAAGTCATCGTCCTCGTCAACACATTCACCTGAAGTGGACGGTTGTGAATTGTTCTCAACAGACGTAGTTGCAACTGGTATTAGTTCTGGCAATTTTTTACAATGAGAGACTGGTCTCTTATAGCCGAAGATAAGTTAGGGTAAATAACTGTGGTTTTTTTCTTGTAATTTATACCTTTTATATCTGCGAGACAAAAATAGCAATCTGAAACGTGATCTCGCTGTTCAGTCCATATCATGGGTACAGCAAACGGCATAGGTCGTGCACCTTTCTTCCAGTCAGTTAAATTTTTCACACACGTTATGCAACAGACATGAGGGGCCCAGGATTTGTCTTGATGGGCGACAGAAAAACCAAAACATTGGTGATAACACTCCAACACAAGATTCGTAAAATTTCGTCGTTGTTTTTTGAATGTTAGTTCTCCGCAGACATAACAAAAAGAGTTAGGATCATTATTACACTTCCTCGACATATTCACAGGGTTAATAAATCACAAAAAAGTGTTCAAATTCAACAACAAATATTTTTATAAGGATTTACTTGTAAGCGTTTCTGTTAATTTACTGCCGTAGTACTAGTTATGAGTATTACCGTATCACAACAAATATGAGGCTAATAGCATTATGACAGCTGTCATGTAATAATGAGGGTAGACTGATAAAACAAAATTAGCTGTCAAAGTTCGTGTGGCAAAACCAGTGTTGACCAACGTAATTTTTTACCTGAATGACCAAAAAGTTATTTCCAGATGTGAAGTGGAAATAGCTGATAATTTCAACCTTTACTTTGTTAGCAGTATTTGTGACATTGTAAAAATTATCCAGTCGGATAATATATATGTGGATAATCATCTAACCTGTGATGCAGCTACGGTCCTGAAATTTAGACCCATATCATTCGATGAATTGAAAGAAATTATACTTTCATTTGAAAATAAAACATACGGTGAAGATATTTTGAATACCAAACTTCTTAAAAATACTTTGCACTCGGTTGGTCATGTAATCTTGAATTTTATCAACACTCACTAGCTTATGGATGCATTAAAAGTAAGCACAGTTACACCCATCCCTAAAGTACCAAATTCCATAGAAGCATCTGATTCTAGACCTATAAATTCTTTGCCACCTCTTGAAAAACATTTGGAAACATGTGCACACAAACATGTTGAATATTTTGAAACCAATAATCTTCTCATGGCTAAGCAATCGGGCTTCAGAAAAGGTCACTCTGGTGAAATTGCTCTTCAAATTACAGTAACTGTGGATGAAACTTATTGATGACAATAACTATGTAATTGCAGACTTCCTTGATTTCAAAAGAGCATTTGAAACAATAGATAGACGAATATTGATAGATAAATTAAAACAATGTGGAATTGGAAGCACTGTCCTGAGCTGGATAATTAGTTACTTCAGTGACAGGTCAAAGGACTAAGATTGGTCCTTCGATCTCTGAAACCATTTCTGTACGTTTTGGAGTTCTCCTCAGGGTAGTGTTTTGGGGCCATTATTTTTTATAATATATTTGAATGATATGGAACTTGTTGAGAGAAGTAGCTCCATAAATCTATTTGCCTGCAAAAACCTGAATGAGGCTATCGATATTGTGAACCGTGACCTTGCAAACATTGATACATATTTAAAAATGAACAAATTGAAGTTGAACACTCCAAAATCAAAAGCAATGGCAATATCAAGCAGAAGTAAAGACAAGAATATAATAAAAGCTAATATACAAATTAAAATTGAAAAGATAGTTTGATATAGTTGATATAATGAAATACCTTGGATTTATGTTGGATAAAAACCTAAACTTTAACAGCCATAGTGACTATATTATTAAGAAAATTTCAAAGAAACTTCATTTTTTTTAAAGAGTTTCTAAACAGCTATCAATGTTTGCAAGAATTACGGTTTACAATAATAAAACCTCATTTTCAGTACTGTTCATCTTTATTATATTTCTTTAGCAAGAACAAGATAGGCACCTTACAAAAACTTCAAAATAGGGGAATGCGGATAATTTTACAGTGCTCTAGGTACACAAGAATTGAATATATGCTGGATACTCTACAGTGGTTATCGGTGAATCAACATCTTCATTTAACAACAATGCTATTTATTTATAAAATTGTGAAGGGAACATTAATTAATTATTTAGGTGCTCATCTACGCCCAAATAATGAGATCCATTCATATAACACGTGTACTCATTTCCATGTAAATAAAACAAATATGAAGACTACAATGAAAATAATAATGTACAAAGGTCTATGTGAATACAATAAGTTGCCCCAGCTAATAAAAAACGCCGACTCAGTCAGGTATTTCAAGAAAGCACTTGGGTCAATATTCCCACACTGGGACATTTAAGTCCTCTAAATGTGTCACATAAAAAATATCTAGTATTTAGAAGACCGTGCATTTACTCAATGCAGTATGGCTTGTTTGTTTGGAAATTATACAATAACCGAGATTTTAGTTTGTATACTTTGAATTATTTAACATTTTTCAAAAATCTCAATACACGGGACTGACACGGTTACACGGAACTGACAAAGAAACAGCAGGATAGCAAACATGCTTTGCATTTTTTATTAAAAAATAGTCAGGTACAAAATAAACTCAAACAATGTATTCTGAAACAAAAACATAACGTTATATTGAGCGGCTACTTGGAAACTCTGCTGCTAATTGACCATTTTTTTTCCTCTCGGACAAAGGAATATCATCATCTGAAGAACTTTTACTGTAAACATTGTAGTAATGTAGCTTCGCTTTATTCCCTTTGTAAAAAATGTATAATTCTTCATCAGACGCAGAACTTTTCGTTACCGAATTATAAGATAAAGTTCCAATAGTGTAATGTAGACATCTTTCGCCGCAGTCGAAACAGGAGAGCTCTCTTAGAGATAGTGTGTTGTGGTCTCTTAGAGATCTTACTTGACGAACCTTCAAAGTTCCTTTAAATGGCAGAACCTCAGCTTTATTTATAGCATCTGAAAATTTTTCAGTTTCACAAGCATGAATCTCCAAAAAGGATATGCCTGAGCAGTTGGCTTTCAGGATTTCAACCAATTGGCTGAAAGAACTCACATCAGATCCCTGAGCAACAATACGGTCTGCAGTCCTTTTACAAACTCCACCATTGCCGTCCGGGGCACCTTTACCATGTCCGGCCTCATGGTAGTTCCAGGTAACTGATTGTAGTTCCGGAAAGTAGCTATAGATGCCATTTGTAATGAATGCAAACATTTTCTTGTTGCGGTATTGTGTACTGGGGCTGTCGCTAAGAAAATGCAACAATTTTACCCCATTATCAATATAGAGTTTGATCAGTGGAAACAGATGAGCCCATATGGCACCGGGACCATGCTCCAACGACTCTGATAATGTACAAAAACTGTCAACCTTCAAGTCGTTTTCGTGTGCTCGGCTATAAATTACCACAGTATGCAACGTAATCTGTTGCCTTGATCCTCCAAAATGATAAGACTGGACTTCTTCTGCGTACTTTAGATTATAATTCTCAGAAAAGTCACAGTGAATGAGTATTTCCTCATTTGTCATGTTCTGTTTCAGTGTCTTGATTGCTTTGTATTGGTGAAAAATGCGTCCCTCGTGTGCCAAAAAAAGAGGCAACCTATCTTCAAATTTGGTCAAAAGATCCGATATTTCTATCTCTTTACTAATTTTAGCAATTTTCAAACTGGTAACGTTGTTTTGTGATCGTTTGCTGAAATAAGTTTGTTTTATGTTTTTCCACTGACTATATGATACAACGTTACCAGGATCGTACTGCTCAATATATTTAGGTTTATATAATGCACACACTGAACATTTCCTTAGTAGACATAGGTCATTGCGGGTCTCACATGTCATTGACTCAATTATTGCTTCTGTAGTTTTGCAATGCAACACTTTACTTTGCCAAAGAGATAATATCAACTCCATGTTACTATGTGTCATACATTTACATGTGTCTCGATTTGCTACCTTCATGAACTTTATCCAGAAAGGTTTACATTTACAGAAAAATGTATAACTCACCTTGACATCGGCGTATTTTTTACAAAACTCTTTGAACAAATTCTTCAAAGTGTTTGTTAAATATCTTTTTTGATAGGTGAATTTATTCTTTGTAACATAGTCTTTCTTACCGGGGCAAATCCGGCTATTAACATCTTCCTGTAAGAACGCCACAATTTTATTCCTATTTTCAGATGCTCTTCGGTTTTTCTGATACTTAACATCTACATTCCTATGGCTGTATTCCACTACTCTTGTTTTTGTATATCGAAAAACTTTGGAACACGTTCGCTGAAGCTTGTACTTCTTAATAATTTTTCCATCCATTATTTTCCTAAATACCTTCTTTTCTTTTGGGCTTAACGATTTATATGGTCTCCCCAAAAATAAGTTGTTTTTTAATTTCATCTACTCTTTTTTACTGTATTGAAGACCTTTCTATGATCTGTTGTACTCTAGTTCCAGGTGAAACTGATGGGGAACTAGTTTGTTGAGCAACATTTTTATTTTGATGCATTGACTTCTTTAGGCGAGAATACTTTTTCTTCCACTTTCCAACTTTTTTTTAAGGTCTGCTATTTTAGCTTCATTTTTTCTTTTTTCTCGATGTCGCTAAAGTTTCATTCTATTACTTTTCTTTATTGCATGTTCCTTTCCTCCATCTAACTGTTTCGTTAAATGATCTGGCACATGTGCGTTTTCGGATGATCTTAGTCTTAATCGATCTCGGTGAGACTTTGTATATTGTCTCCATTTCTTGCGTTGCGATCTAATTTCTCTTTCTGTCATTTCCGAAACAAGCTTCCTTTGTTTATTCTTTCGTTGACGCAAGTATTTCTGATGCTCTTTTTCCCGCTGCTCCTCACGTTTTTCCGGATCTTCTCTTATTTTACGCCTCCGTTCTCGTTCCCGGTCACGTTTAATACGCGTTCTTTCTTCATCAGATATTTTCCTATGTCCAGACATCTTACACCCTGCTATAGACTAGTAGATAGACCTGTGAACTGTAAAAAATACTTGCATCAATGCATGTTTGCTATAGTTTTATAGAGAAAAAATGGAATCAAGTCAGTTCCGTGTTTTCGCAATGACACGGGACTTACAACCACGGGACTGACATTATTGCACTTACAGCAACAAAAAAAGTAATCGGTTCAAAATTTCTAATTAATTTTAGTATGACAATTATGGTTTTTGATACCCGAAGTACTCATCGGGTATTTGAAGCAAAAAGAAAAAATAGTAGCTTTAAAACACTTACTACGGTACTGACAAGAGACAGGTTTCCAAGACACTTTTTTACTTGTCGGACCCAGTTCCTGCTTAACCTATCAGTAATCTAAGCACATCTTCCGACGATTGAGCCAATACTAACAATTTCCAGTTGGGATAATACGGATGTCACTTACCATACCTTCCTCCACTACTTTATGGCGTGATATATGGCGCGGCACGGGACTGGCCAGATAGCTGGAGACAAATGCTTTCCGAAAAATTACTAAATTAATTATTCTTTTTGTTTCAGCAATTTTCTATATTGTGGTTAGCTATGTGCATACTTGCGATATAGGTATATCAAGTTTTCAAAACAGTACTTCAGGTGAAAAAAATGGCAGGTATTATCAAGAGACATCCGCTAGGACATGGCACGGGACTGACATTTCAGTGGCATTTTCCCAGTTATTTTGTTCTAAATGGAAGATAAATATTTCATATAGTGTGCAAACCGTAAAAAATATGTAGCCAAACGCATCGTATCAGATAATTACATTGAAAAAATTATAAAAAATCAGTTATTAAAAGGAACTTACGATGACTCATGTTAGGGATATTAACCCACTTATCAAACACAAGAGCTGACAGAATTTGTTAAATTTATTATATCTGAATATATATGTATGTACTTGTGAAATGCTGTAATGCTACCAGTTCTTGTTGTTGTTGAAATTAGGATTTTTTTTTTCTAAATAAAGGACTATTTACTACTTAAAAAATGCCTATTGGTGCAAATTTCGTGAAAATATCTAGAATGGTATTGATTAAAGTTACAATAAAACAAATTTTTTCTTCTTTTTAATTGTGACACCCTGTAGCTCAAAAGTTAAGAGGTTCAGGACATATGTTCATACAAACTTTTCTTCCTAAAGTGAGCTAAAGAATCATATCCTGTATTTCAATCCATCAAATAAATTAGTAACATATTTCAAAACTTTCATATTTTCACTCATTTTCAATCTCATTTCATCTACACCCAAAAAGTGGGGGGTCTGAAATCATTTTTTCATCAAAAGCGGCTGCTGCTAAGCAAGCAATAATACTCACTTCTAGGTTGGATGCAAAAACAAAAAAAATGTCTTTAAAGCTTATTATTAACAGACGTACATCCACACAAGAAAATTGAATACCAAAATAAGCAGCTATCTCTTCTTGAAACCATATTTTTTCCGTTCATAAAACAGGTCAGTCTTGGAGCTTCCCAGGTTTACGATCTTGGGACATCCATCCCTGTCTTTCTCCTGTATCGTACATTCTTTACAGTAGTAAGCATCGGATACGCCGGGTCCGCCGCAAATAACGCACCTACCTTGGTACGACCCATAGTTGCATTCATCACATATCCGGACTAGGGTGCAGGGTCGCACATAGGAGTCACAGATCACACATTTTCCGTCACATTTCTCGCAAAGACGTCCAATGGCAACGCCTGGCTGTTTTCGGCAGAAGATCAGATCCGGATGATGCTTTGCCATTTTCTGAAAATGTTTACGGTATTTACTATAGGAAAAACGGATAGGGTATCGTGTACATACATTTGGGATATGCTTCTGAAGAAAATCGAGTATGGGATATTTCGACTACAATAATAACATTCGAAATTGGTCGAGGATTTTCTTGCATTGATTGTTTAAGTTTAAAAAACTGGATGAAAATGTATTTTTTAGAGGTTATGTTGTGACAAGTGACAACTGAAGGTTGGCATTGACATTGACAACGAGACTGGGTCACGAAGACTAGAGATTTCGGAAGTGAAAATCATAGAATTGGCGTGAAACCAAAAGTGTCGACGATGAAGGCGGGGCCTATCTTGTAGTACACTACCCAGGAAACGAATTTCACACCCCATGTGTATTTCACCTGTATCGTTATGTAAACTGTGTGTGTGTAGAAAATAAATTTTAGGCTCTGTACATGAGGCAACTCTCTGTATCTGTTGCGATAACCATGACTGTAAACCACCAAGCAATAGCTCCACGCACTAGTTTTCTGAGAGCCACGCCTTCCTTGACGACAGGATTGGCTTCATTCGTCGGTGCGTATAAAGTTACCTCCTATTTCTAGTCTTCATGGGCTAAGTGTAGTGATGAGCGGTCCTGGCGATACTATAAGAATTAACGTGAAACGTGCACTGGAGCACGCTTGGCGAAGACAACCTTCCAAATATACCATTCATTTATTGAGACTTCGGAGAGATGCGTTCGGTCACTTTTATCTTCCTGTCGTGTTCCCAACTGTTTACATTTCCAGCTTAATTCCATGAATGCCCGGAGGAATTTTTCTAAGGGGTTGTTACACTTCATTAGCCTACCTAACGTCCGAATGCCATATGTCAAACTACAGAATTAACAAATTTATGTGCGTTTATGATGCCCACATAAACTTTGGGGAGATAATTATTATTAACTCTTGAAAACCATTTATATTGAATACAACCACCATCAAAAGTAGAAGTGAAGTAAATATGTGACTGATACTCCTGATAATGTTTGACATAACCTATACAATTTTGTTGCAACAAATGCCAAGGTATTACATTTCCAACAGTTTGGACTATAATCAAAAAGATAACATGGCCACGCAAGACAAGTATTGAAATAAATTCTACTAGACTCTAAAATACCATCCGTAGCGAAATTTTTCCCTAAATCGTGGCACACCGCTTAAAAAATGCAAATGAAGATGGGAAACTGCCGCTTTGACGAACTAAATGTCACCGTCGTTACCCCGGAATAGACATACGTCTTAGCAGTTGACCCTGTCATTTTTGTCATCTAAATTGCTGCGTTGCCATATCACCGGACAATTTCAGTACCTCTGCTATTTTGCTAGAATGTTATATAAAAAAGAAGCTTTGAATAAAACATTGAGGGATACCAATGGAGATATATAAAATTTGAGGGGTAGCAATGTTTGCCAAAAAATTAAAATAGCTGTTGTTTACATTTTGCGTCGCCTGGCGTCTATGCGGCGGAACGTTAATGTCTCTGAAAACTTTGACAAATGCCCAGTTTTATAGGATAAAATACTTTTTTTACAATTGGAAAAAACACGATTTTCATTTTCCCTACTATTTAGCAGGGGAATAAGGTTTTTAGTGACTACATTGGCACATAGGCGAGGAACACCCTAGAAAACCTCAACCGTCACTGCTAAGATTAATTGTATCAGCTGAAGAAAAATCAAGTCGTTCCACAATCCTGACTTCATTTGTACAATCAAAAATCGTCAGCATGCCACAGTTATTAACCTAAAAAAAAGCACTGAAATAACGGTTTATACGAGGGTCATTCTTTAAGTAAGTGTCTACCAATCACAAACGTGGAATTTTGAATTACAAATAGTTTCTAGATGGAAAAATTGTATGACAGTACCTGTCAGCATTTTTTCCAGTTTACCCGCGGCAAAATTTGCCAGCTATTCTCACCAAAAATAACAATACGCAATTTATTTAAAAAAAAAAACATATGATGTCAACCCTAGCACACAACTAGATACATATGCAAGGCTCACCTGGTTTGCTGCGCAGATATCCTGTTTCCATCAGAAGAGTTGGAGGTAGACCTAATTTCCACTTTGGAGACACTTGACACCCACGTCACAACACTAAAACACCAAAGCAATACTGAAAGACAATCGAGAACCCTATAGTGAACACCACTACTGAAAAAAAGTAGCTAAAACGAATAGAGCTCTGCACAGAGCTGTGAACGCCTAGACATGCCGCTGCGACGACGGTTGCCGAGAGACCGTGTGAGTGCTACCGGTCAACATAAACATCGAGTCGCTTCGAGAGCAGACGCGCGGAGTGGTAGCTGGAAAGGGGCGTGGCTGTACCGTATCGCCGCAGCGAGGTACAGCACCCGCACGCTTCAGTCTCTCGGCAACCGCCGGTGCAGCGGAATGTCTACGCGTTAACAGCTCCATTCGGTTTAGCTACTTTTTTTTAGTAGTGGTGTTTACTATAGGGTTCTCCATTGTCTCTGTGGTGCTTTAGTGTTATGACGTGGGTGTCAAGTGTCTCCAAAGTGGAATTTAGGTCTACTTCCAACTCTTCTGAGGGAAACAGGATATCGGTGCAGTAAACTAGGTGAGCCTGGCATACTCATCTACTTGTGTGTAAGGGCTGACATCCTATGTTTTTTAAATAAATTGCGAACATTGCATCCACTGAGAAATTAATTATATACTGAGGTATTTGGGAAATTTGGCCAAATCGTTTTTATTTTTGTCTGACTTTATTTTAAGAAATGTCAAAAAACTAATGGCACTATTTAGGCACTACGTGTACGTGTTCAAAAAAGTGCTACATTGTATCTAATAGCAGCTTTTTCTACGACTTCAACCATGTTATCACGTTATAATTGTTTTTTAGGTATAAACAAACGTATTTTTTTCATTATATTTAAGTATGCTTTGCAAACCAATGGTTGATGTAAGAAGTTTAACCTAGTCTGATCCTTATCATCTTCATTATTATAAAAGAAAATTTACAGAAACGTGCACTAATCTAATGTTCTTGTAAGTATTCTTATGTATTCACACGCATTTCTGAAAAATCTCATAAGCAAGGCCTCGAACAAAAGGTCCAAGGAATTGGTGATAGCAAAATCGTCCGATGAGCAGGCAACACCGCAATCCAGGTGACAAGATTAAACTTTCAAAACGTATGTCTATCCCGGGATAACGACGGAGTCATTTAGAACGTCAATGCGGCCGTTTTCCAATCTTCATTTGCATATTTTAACGGATATTCCAGTAGAGTATATTTCAATAGATGTATTGCGTGGCCATGTTATCTTTACTCGGGCCCTTTAATCAACAAGGCACTTATTTCGAAAAAGAAGTTTTGTTTAAATACTGATATGATTCTCGCCTAATTTCAATTAAAGTACTAAAAAAGTAGGTTTACATTTTGAGGTATAAAGATTTGAGTTGTACTCCAAGGGAAATTTAATTTTTTTTTCATCCAGTGTCCAACGTCCTTTCCCCATCTTGGAATTTAAGCCGCAAAAAATTATATTATTATAGGTTATAGTTGACTTGTAAAAATTTGTGGGATATCGTGGTTATTCAGAAATGCCCTTTAGATTATAGCAGCATCTATCAGGAAATTTTCAAAAAATCAACTTCAGACATTGATACCTACGCTACGGGTGTTTTTATACAATTTTTACATTAATTTTTCTTCTTATTCAGCCGATTTCTTCAAGGTCATTCTGATTATGTCCCATGTACGGTATTTTTTACGAGTATCCATTACGATTTGACGCCTACTGAAGGGAGCAGCTGATCACAAAAGCGACATCTTTGTATTAGTCTATAACGTTGTCAATAATGAATTTCAGGACCGCATTCAGAGATGTTCACAAATCTGGATTATACTTTTATGTGTATCAGGATCGCAAAACCATTAAATATCATTCAGGCCTCTTTTATTTTTAAAAATACATTTACATAACTGCATATACATTTGAGGAAACGGTAAAAAAACAAGGTAATAAATAAAAATACACTAGACAATTTGAGTAATTCAAATTTCATGTATCTAGGTAGCTCACTACAAAAATTGGAAATTACAGGAATATATGTCTGGCTGAAGAAGCCGCAGATTCCATCTGGCATTTTACCATTTTTAAAAATTGAATGCAATAGACAACATAAAAATTGTATATCTAATAAGGGAAAATTCGCAAATATGGCATCTGATAATAAAACTACAATCAGGCGCGAATCCAGGGATGGGACAATGGTGCTATTGCCCCCGCCCCCCAGGCCTCGGACATACAGGAAAAAAATGAGGAATCAGAAAACACATTAATTTTTTTTTAAAAGTTAAGTAAAAATAAAGGTGCATTCTGTTATAACACAACTGTTTATGATTTTCCTTCTTAATTACTTTATAATAAGTGCAAATGACTTGACAGTACCCCCCCCTCCCAAGACGTGATCCTGAATCCGCGCCTGACTACTATTCTTCATTGCATATTATCATGTCGCCTGTAGCACAAAACTACATTATTATAAAACAAAGTTACAACCAAGCTGCAATAAATAAAATTAACAGATTTTATAAATAGAACAATCATAAAAAAACAACCTTCATCTATACCAAATAAATAATGAATCAATGCATTCTTCTAACATAATTTTCCTAGTGATTTCATTTAAAAATTTGTGCTTTTTCGACTCGTGCTGCATGAAAAAGGACTTTTAAACCAAACTTCGAAAATTTTTGTTCCACAGGATGGCATAATCGCGAGTGAATGCGGTGTTACCTGTAGAGGTCGGAGGTCATATTTAAGCAGAGTTGCCAATTTGTGGGGGATTCCCCAAATTGCGGCAAATCTCAAGTTGAGGGGGATTTATTGGGGATTGGCATTAAGAGTGGAAGATGTGTGGATATTGCCTGTAGTAGCTCAGAACCTCACATCAACAGAAGAACAAATAAATGTTCCATATTTTATTACATACTCTGATAAACCCTTCCAAAAGTAGATGATAGATATAAACATGCTATAATAGCTTTTTGATGATTAAGTGGTGAGTTCCAAATGATTCAATAAACAAAAACGCTCAGCACCATGTTGAAAGAAAGCTGTTTTATATTCTATGCCAGCAGAGTACTCCTAAGGAGCTTTAAAATGAGGTACATATTACCTCATCAGTTTATTTAAAAAATGTTCGAAATTGGTGATGAAATTTTCAAGTCTCACTTTGATCACCCAAAATCTCAGCTTGATAACTTGACCCGTTCAAAAAATTAATGCAGGAGAGACCTTCTTAAAAATTCATTTAACAAACTTGTTTTAAGAGAATGTTGTTGAAAATCATACTTAATATTTCCATTAGCGTTCATTTAAGTACAATTTTTTTAGAGACGGAATGCAATAATAAAAACGTTACAAATCAGTCAATAGGTGGGTAGAGAAAAGAAGCTGGAGTTATCAAATCACTAATTCTGCTTACCTTTTGATATCTATAGAAGAAAGGTGCATTCAGAAAAGCTGTATCTAGAAGTTGTGTCTCAACCATTATACATACACACTTCTAAAAATTGCTACTGGAATAAGAATTCAGTAAATAGATATGGTATTTGTGCTTTTGTAGTACAAACCGAAAATAGTTATACTGTTGCATATTTCTATTCTGAATCTTATTTCAGGAAAAGTATTAAGGGTCAAAGATGTTGCAGCCAAACTAACGTCCAGCTATATACAAAGGCAAGAGCAACTAAAATAATAAAAACTTGTCAACTAATGAGATCTATCGCTTACAATGACTAGACTTGAACTAAAGCAATCAGCTCTTAGAAAAATACATCTGGGTCACATTCAATCTCACGGATATCCAGCACACATTTTTCACAATAAATATATATACACGGTGTTCCATTTTTATCTATCTACCTAAATGTTTAGAAAACTGTGCATTCTAGATAAATAAGTTTCAAACAGGAGCTGTAGGGTTTCGAGGAGAAAAAGAGGTGAGCTTGACTACTACCTCCAAGGTCAAGCGGATATTTAAAAAAAATACATCGAATTTGAAAAGGGCAATTTTTAAGCCCGAACATCACCTTGGCCATGACCTTGACCATTGCCTTCAAGCACAAAACGATACATCAAAAACAATTCGCTCTAACAACTATGTTAGACAGTACAGTTGTCAGATTTGTGGGGATAATCCGAAGGTGACCTTAACCACAACTTTCAAGGTCAAATCTAAATTTCACCGGAAATGGGAAAAGCAGTAAATTTTACGTCCGAATGTGACCTTGACCTCAATTGCCATTCAAGCTTGACTCGACCTTGACGTGAGGTTCATGGTCGTAAAATTTCCTGTTTTCCATTCCCAGCACACAAATGGGATTTTTCCTTTGAAAATTGAAAAGAGCAATTTTTACGCCCGAACATCATTGCCTTAAATGTCAAAACGATACATCAAAAACAATTTGCTCTAGCAACAATGTTCGACAGTATAGTTGTCAGATTTGCGGGGATAATCCAAAGGTGACCTTGGCCATGAAATTGACCATAACCATCAAGGACAAGCCTACATTTTCTAAATTTCGCCGAAAACGGGAAAAGCAGTCAATTTTACGCCCGAATGTGTCCTTGACCTCAATTACCATTCAAGCTTGACATGAACTTGACGTTAAGTTCAAGGTCACATTGGGACGTAAAATTTCATGTTTTCCATCTCCAGTATAAAAGTGAGATGTTTCCTTTGGAAATTTAAATTTTACCTTGAAGGTCATCGCCAAGGTCATATTTTGATGATCCCCAAAAAACTCACAACAGCGCTGTTTAACATTTTTGCTACGACAAATTGTTTTGACATCACCTTGACCATTGCCATCAAGGTCGAAACAATACATCAAAAACAATTTGCTCTTGCAACAGTGTTAAACAGTACAGTTGTCAGATCTATGGGGATCATACAAAGGTGACCTTGGCCATGACCTTGACCATAATCTTCAAAGTGAAGTCTAAATTTTCTAAATTTCGCCGAAAACGTGAAAAGCAGTCAATTTTACGTCCGAATGTGACCTTGGGCTCAATTACCATTCAAGCCTGAAATAAACTTGACGTTGAGTTCAAGGTCATATTGGGACGTAAAATTTCTTGTTTTCTATCTCTAGTATAAAAATGAGATGTTTCCTTTGGAAATTTTAATTTGACCTTGAAGGTAATGGTCAAGGTCATATTCAAGGTCTTTTTTTATGATGCCCACGAAACTTACAACTGCGCTGTTTAACAGTTTTGCTACGACAAATTGTTTTGACATAACCTTGACCATTGCCTTCAAGGTCAAAACACAAAAACAATTTGCTATTGCAACAATGTTAAACAGTACAGTTGTCAGAACTGTGGTGATCATCCAAAGGTGACCTTGACCATAATCTTCAAGGTCAAGTCTAAATTTGCTAAATTTCGCCGAAAACGTGAAAAGCAGTCAATTTTACGTCCGAACGTGACCTTGGGCTCAATTACCATTCAAGCCTGAAATAAACTTGAAGTTGATTTCAAGGTCACATTGGGACGTAAAGTTTCTTGTTTTCTATCTCTAGTATAAAAATGAGATGTTACCTTTGGAAATTATAATTTGACCTTGAAGGTAATGGTCAAGGTCATATTCAAGGTCTATTTTTATGATGCCCACGAAACTTACAACTGCGCTGTTTAACATTTTTGCTACGACAAATTGTTTTGCCATGACCTTGACCATTGCCTTCAAGGTCAAAACAATACATCAATGCAACAATGTTAAACAGTACAGTTGTCAGAACTATGGGGATCATCCAAAGGTGACCTTGACCATAATCTTCAAGGTCAAGTCTAAATTTTCTTAATTTCGCCGAAAACGTGAAAAGCAGTCAATTTTACGTCCGAATGAGACCTTGGGCTCAATTACCATTCAAGCCTGAAATAAACTTGACGTTGAGTTCAAGGTCACATTGGGACGTAAAATTTCTTGTTTTCTATCTCTAGTATAAAAATGAGATGTTTCCTTTGGAAATTTTAATTTGACCTTGAAGGTAATGGTCAAGGTCATATTCCACGAAACTTACAACTGCGCTGTTTAACATTTTTGCTACGACAAATTGTTTTGCCATGATCTTGACTATTGCCTTCAAGGTCAAAACATTACATCAAAAGTAATTTGCTCTTGCAAGAATGTTAAACAGTACAGTTGACAGATCTATTGGGATCATCTAAAGGTGACCTTGGCCATGACCTTGACCATAACCTCCAAGATTAAGTCAAACTTTTCTAAATTTCACCGGAAATGGGAAAAGCAGTCAATTTTACGTCCGGATGTGACCTTGACTTCAATTACCATTCAAGCTTGGAACGTTAGGTACAAGGTCATAAATTTTCCTGTTTTATATTTCCAATATAAAAATGAGATGTTTCCTTTGGAAATTTTAATTTGACCTTGGAGGTAATGGTCAAGGTCATCGTCAAGGTCACATTTTGATGATCTCCACATCTGTGTTGTTTAACATTTTTGATTTCATCTTGAACGGTCAAGGTCGTGGCCAAGGTCATCGTCGAACGTAAGATATGCTCTTCTTTTGAACTCCAAAGTAAAAAAAGCGATTCTATTTCAAAACATTCACTTTAGTTTGAAAGTTAAGGTCACTATAATTTTGCGCCCTCGAACCATACAACTTTCGTTTGCAACTTTTTTTAAATGCGCATTTTTCGAAATATATGTAGGTGGAGACATTAAAATGGGTCACCGTGTATATATCATGTCGTTTTGTGCTCTTGTTTCATTTTTTAAAGGTATTGCTTTTATAATTAGTTTTGTCATATGAATCGATTAACTTTTAAACTAATTTTCTATTATCAACCGGTTCTCTACACGCATTCCATGTGACCCAAGACAATTTGTTTTCCTAAAGGACGCTATGACTTGTTAACGTTCTCTAACACCATAGAACACAACTGAAGGCAAAACTTTGTCGAGAATTCTTTCAAAAAGCCGGAGGACGACGTCGGTTTGATCACGTTCTCGTCCTTCGAAATCTCGTCCAGGTTGTTTCCTATGTTCTTGCAGAACAACAGGATCGACAACGGATAAAAGTACTTATCCAAATTTTTCAACAACACGCTCTCCAACACGGGAACCGGAAGACTGTTTTTCAACCAAAAATCGATACACCGCAGCAGGACGTTCTGCATCAGAATGTGATTCTCCAGCATGTAGATCTTTTTTATGTAAAACTCGACGATGTGAGATGCGGCGTCGATGATCCCCTTCGTTGTTTTATCTTTGATGAGGATCTCGTATTCGGCGTCTTTCAGTTTGATTTGAACGTTGTCTACCTCCGAAACCATCTTCGAAACGCTGTTGATCGCGGCGGGGACATCATTTTTTAAAGATTGGACGTATTGGGATACATTTTGCCTTATATCGCCAATTTCGGGGACTTCGCAAGGACTTTCACAACCTCCTTGGTGTTCCTCTTCACCCCACTGTCTGATACTGTCCAAAGAGGAGCTGGAACTCAAAATATGCGCTGGCGACTGACACGGTATCTTCTCTGACATCAGGTTTTTCTCGTTCATATCTTCACGCATATTTTTACTTCTCTTCACGCGTAAGTTCAGATCTAACGTTTCCATGTACTTTTTGAACGCGATGAGTTGAAATCCCAAGCTATCGCCGAAGTGACCGCCTAAGATCGCCATCTTGGCAGCAGCCTGGTAATTGTGCACTTCCAAACACTTCGACAAAATCGTGTCCGTATCGTAGAAACCATAGTACGTTTCCAATGCGTAGTGCAAAGTTTTGTGGCCGTATTTCACTTTAGGCACGTCGTATATGTGATCGAAACTACCCGATTTCCCTGCTTGGAATGTCGGCGAACTATTCTCGATTAGTCTGACAGCGTACGGAATGAAGTTTCTGGAAAAGAGGAGTTTGTGATTCGTGGGATTGAACGTTATGGCCATCGTTGGAAGTCCCGGCACTTCTATCGGCAGGGAGTTGGTGTTGCTTTGAGAGGAAGCGGGGAATCGTACGACGCGTTTCGTGTTTTTGAAAAACGCCACTTTCGCTTCCATTTTTCGATTGTCGTCGTCCATTTGCTTTCCCAGGATTGTCTGAAATAGCAAATAGATCTTATACCAGGATTGAAAAAAAAACATGTTTTTTTATAAAAAACAAACGACATGACGACGCTGTATCGTCATGCGGTTTTCTATAGCAGTGCCTGTGAGGATAGTGGATCGTCTTCGACGCAAGTCTATGTAAATTCATGTCAGTGGGCACTAAGGACCAAAAATTGACCAACATATGCGTCATTGTGTTATTTGTGAAAAATTCGCCAATTTCAGCGAAAAAAATACTCTATATTGAATTTAGTAACAATTTAAAGCAGGTAAACTGAAATTTGATAGTTGGTACTGGAGGAAAAACACCTCAACTTGATGGGCATCCAACGTGTTAACAATGAATTTTTTTTGTTTAAAGCATTCAAATTTAGCGGAAATAAACATGTTTAAAACAATGTTAAAGCATCCCACAAACCGGCGCGAAAAATTCGCTTTGGCTGCGAAAATTTCGCGGCGATGAATTCGCGATCAGATTAAAACGCGGCGGTTTACGGACAGGCTCAGACTTGTGCGAAGCGAATGCGATTGTTCCAGCGTTTTTATCGCGGCGTATTTCAGTTCGCCTTTGACCGCGTTTTTGACGCCGTTCTTCAAAAATTCGCAATGGCAAAAACGGAATTATTGATAGAAATAGTGAAAAAGTATCCTTGTTTGTATGATTTGTCGAACGATGAATACAGGAATGTGAGAAAGAAAGACAAGATTTGGATGGAAATAGGAAAAGAATTAAATACAAATGGTATGTACCTAATATTTTTTATTAACTTGTTAAATAATTTACAGTCTACACAAATGTGAAAAGGAACATTCTATATATTGAGCATAGGCATATCAGAATTAAAATAATTTACGAATTTGTCACGAGTAGAAAATGCTAGCCTTGCTGCCCGCCGAGGATCATTTGCTATATCAGTAAAAGCTCCAAGCACGGGATCTAAGAATTCAAAATATTTGTCATCGCCACTTTTACTTCGTAAAAAATTGTGTAAAACACATGCCGTACGTACAATTAGAATAGTAGTATCTACTTTAGTTTCTAATGGCCTGTAAAATATTCGCCATTTTTGAGACAAAATACCAAACGCATTTCACGACCCTTCTAGCTCGGCAAAGTCTTACATTGTATTTCTCTTTTCTGACGTCTGTTAAAGTCTGCTTATAAGGAAATGGTCTCATAAGGTATGGTTTTAAAGCAAATGCTTCATCACCAATTAAGACGTACGAGCTGATTTCATTTTGCCCAGGGAGAAATCTAGGTGCAGGGACACTCATTAAATTTTGTTCAAATCGTTTTCTCATGTTTGAGGTTTCGAAAATACCCCCATCACTATTTTTTCCGGAACCACCAATATCAACACATATAAATTTATAGTCCGGGCCAACAATGGCCATAAGTACTATTGAATATTTATGTAAATAGCACCAGTAATTGGAGCCACTGTTGTTAGGTCTCTTGATTGTTACATGTTTACCGTCCACGCTGCCAATGCAATTGGGAAATCCCCATCTATTTTCAAATTCTTTAGCACATTTTTTCCATATATTCTCTGTTGGTTCTGGTAAATATATATGCTCCATATGTCTGCATATCGCTTCACAGACTTCTGTTACGATTGCACTCACTGTTGTAAAGCCAACTCGAAAGCTATGCCCAATGGTATAGAAGGTGTCACCAGTGGCAAGGAATCTATAAAAAAAATCGTTTTTAGGTGATGAAGTAAAAAAAGGTGGAAGAATATCAGAGACACATTTGCAAAATATATAAAATCTACCAAACCAAAGACCGGCCAAGCAGTGGGCAACATAAAAAAATGGCAGTGGGCTGACTACATGCAATTTTTCCGTCCTTTTTTGGCATTTGCCAAAACGTCGTCTAATGTAAAAGATATTGACGTCATACATTATGAGACTGCCGAATTTAACTCAAATATATATCAGGAAAGGGCTGGAAATGTAGAAACCGAAAATTTGGAAGACCGCGGCCATGGAGAAGATGAAAATGCTGATGAGGATGCAGAAGATGCACAGAACGCCTCGGCAACACAGACAGCACCACCTTCTTCATTGAACACTACAGCAGTGACTACTCCAGGGCACACCTTTCCGCAGACTGCAACTACACCAAAATATAAAACGAGCAGAAAACGCTATGAACCACCATCTTCGTATGTACAACAGCTCATTAATTATTTTGAAGGTAAAAAACCTAAAAAAGAGAACGAGGCCATTGATTCACTTTTCTTGGCACATGCACAGACTGTGAAAACACTTCCCTTAAAGCGTCAAGCCCGAATAAAACTAAAAATAGCCGAATTAATAGCGCACGAAGAATTTGAACATATTGAAGAAATGTCTTCAGCGTCTACCCAGAATTCTGTAAGTATGTATGATAGTAGTATGTCGTCCTTCCCAAGCGGCACTGGGTTTACTCCAATAATATACCCAACAGAGGAGGCAAATTCTGCCTCGAATCATTTAGCAACATTTAATCCTAGTGGCAGCATGTAGTCCAATTATTACAATAAAATATTTATTTCACGATCCCTGAAGTTTTCGTATTCGATAAGCCTACTAATTTTAATACATATAATTTTTTTACCTGAGTGTAATAGCAAGTCGTTCTTCTGGCGAAATAGCTTCACGATAATTTGTGTCAGATTTTCGTATTTCATCTTTCACCAAGTTCAATATTTCATCGAAACACTCTGGAGTCATTCTAAAATATACGTAAAAGCGCTGTTCATCCAGCCGAAGTTGTGGCATCAAGGTATGGTATTTCCCAAATTTATTTCGTTCCAAGTTAATATCATGTACCCACTTCCTTCGCTTCCTAAACAAAATTGAAAATATTTGATTTATGTACTTCGTTAAACTTAATACATACCCAACTATCAAATGGCGTTAAATAAACATAACTTACCGTGCATTTTGTTCCTCTTCTACAGCAAGAAATAGAAGTGCCTCCTCTTCTTCTGAAGACGAGCTCATTGCAAAAGGCAAAAATAAAATGTACGCAACCTGTCGAAACCTTCACGTTCGAGGAGCGAATAAGATGCTTTGGTATGAATAAACAGGCGAATTTCGCTCTGAATTTCGTTGCGAATACTTCGCCGCGATTATTTCGCGCCGGTTTGTGGGATGCTTAATACATGAAGGGTACCGGGGAATAACGACAATAGTCCATCCGGACTGATTTTGAGAAAATCGGTAATTGAGGTAAGTAAAATTGATGAAAAAATAAGTCGTAAAGAATATCTTTGCTAAAATAGATTTTACAAAATGAGCTTTTATTCAAAACTAGTAACGTAACAAACAAACGATAATGTTCAACTGTGGACTCGTGCCACTTTTCGCCTGCTTTGAGCGTAAAAAACTAAAAATACTTGCCTGCGCCATAGAAGGGCTTCCCCACGCCAGCAACTTCCCGGTATGATCTATCGCCATCGTGTAATCCAGTCCGCACGAAACATACTTGAACCTTTGCATGAATATGCTATTCATGTTGTCCTGTTGCCTTAGCGTCGGTTGGCACAGTTCTTCATCCCTGTTCTTGCCCCACAGGATCTTCCCGCTCTGCAAGATCGCGGAGTGGCGGTAGCCGACAGCGACCTACATCAGGAAAATGACGTTTTTATAGCAGTAGAAACTCTTGTAACATGCCAAAATTACATAACCTTTTTCTACTATTTTGATCACTTGCCAGTAATTTGAATTTCTCTTTATGAATCATAGAGCACCGACTCCTAGGCCAAACCCTTTTCAAATATTTTCTTTTGGTAAATCTGGTCTATTGAGCTTAAAACTGATTTCACACATATTATATATTTTTTTCTTCGCGACTTGATATTGTGTTGAGATCTTTCGGACACTAATGCCTCCGCCCACTTCATGCAAGGAGGAGGATGCTTTGTTATTCAACAAAACCACATCAATACGTAACATTAGATATAATAAACTAAGGATGGATTTCACCAAGGTTGTCAAATTAACAGTCCGTTATTCTCCACCTATAGGGTCAAATACAGCGAATGAGCTTCAACATCCAATCAACAAATTTCAGCAACCAATACCTATGACATGTTGAAAACAAAATATTGTCAAAGTATGAGATGACAGCTTGTCCTTGAAACAACACCAGCTTATTGAATATTAAGAAATTACATATAATTCAGTCAAAATTTAAAGAAATTGTTGGAACGCGTCGCCTAACCTTGAAGCTTGTAATAGGCGTCAGTCGTAAAGAGTCAGCAGTAGGAAGCAGTTGAAGAACAACAGCAGCAAACGCACGCGCGCGGAACGCGGAAGCCCGATATACACCTGTCGCGTATCTACACATTCATGTACAAGTACTCAATAAACTGTTCTAAACCGAAGACCACCGCGAGTTGAATTGCTTTGCTTACCTATCCTCAACAGAAATGTATAAAACATGAATTTTATTCAAAAATCAATTACTATTGTTGATTTTTTTACTCATATTTATATTGTTTTCTTCAATTGATATGCGATTTTACTGATTTAACATCACCTCCCGTGTTTTTTTTTCCTATAAGCCTCTTGCAGATTAAACACCTACTTGATGACAGACTCTACCAAAAATTTCATAGATATTGCTCGTTTCCAAATATTCTTTGATTTACTTGCCGTTCATCAGAACCATTATGGCAAGTTAGATTGATATTCTGACAAAACTGTTTAGGAACTGAACGAACATCCACACTATATTTAAAGCGATTAAGAAATACCCAAATATATGTCGTAAAGCTACCAGCAAACCTAAAACCAGTAATTTGCAATATTTTTCTTTTTCCACGAGTACACATTCTAGGTTATATAATTAGATGTTATTTGATGATTATTACATTTCAAAACTCCCCAACGAGTGACAGACGTGTGGGATCCGTCAACCCTTAGTACCAGTTACAAAATATATACACTGAAGAAGGTTTAATTCCATGCTATTCAATGACAACACGGTGACATGTGTGGTTGTCAGCGGCCATTTCTTGAGGTGCGACATGGTTGCGAGATTGTGCATTAATATCCCGTGTCACCCGCCCTAGTCCCAGTGGAGTACGCTCCGCCAACTGTTGAAATATACTCTACAATGCTTTATAAGACTATTCGTGGAATTTATCCCAAAATCGTTGCACAACACTTGAAAAATGCAAATCAAAGTTTACAATTATTTCCATGATACCCCAAAATAGCAGCGTCGGTACCTCGGGTTATACATCTTGACAGTAATGATATTCGATACGATCCTATATTTAGAAGTATCGATACTTTTGCTTCCCATACCCGATATTTTGGATCGATATTTTTATATACGACACTTGAGTGTATCGATACATTTCACGAGTATCGTCATCTTTCGATCCGGATTGTGTCAGAAAGAGTGATCAACTTCAGATTACTTTTCTTCTTTGTTTCCTTCCGATGGATATCGATAATTTGATTCCAATATATTAGAGTATCGATACTACCTAAAACGATAAGAATCGATACATAACGATACTTTTCGTGGATCTAAACATCCCTAATCTTGAGAGCTTGTCGTTCTTGTCCACTGGGCTGCAGGGTGCGGTGTTGCCTTTACTATCTTACATTTTGCTAAAATCTTATGACAAATAAAAGCTTCAAATGAAATATTGACGAATATGAACCGATATGCATAGAATTTAGAATATAAATTCATATTGTCTATGCATGGACTTGAACCGGATTTTTCGGTATTTTACCGAAAAGAGAATATTTAGCGATAACATCATTATCCACAATTTTTCAAAATAATTTAAATATTTCTATACTTGCCGAAAAAGAGCTGAAACCAAAAATAAAGCTAAAAGTTAATTTTATGGAGTATTCATAGTTTTATGCCCCATATCAATCATATTTCCTGTGCAAAAGAGCTCAAACTAACTTACTACTGAAGGCTCCAATCAATTTTATGTGCCGTAATGCCAACAAAATTTCAAGTGCATGTGATATTTTTCACTGCAGTGTCTGTGAATTAAAGAATAAATCTCGCGCCCATCTATGATGGATTTTGGTCAAGCTTTCATGTTTCTTTTGTTTCTGTTTTTTTTCTGTTTTACATTTTGTGCTGTAACTACCATGTAACATAAGCTATACTACTGCTTTTTGCTCTGTAAATGGTGATCACTGTGGGCAATAAACGCATTATTATTATTATTATATATTCATACACACTCGGTCAGTGGGTTGCATATGATTATGAACGCACATCCTCATCCCTTCCTCCTCTTGCCCTGAATTGATTTTTGTGCATACAAAAGGTACAGACTGGTAGATTACCGTCATTACCTCATCACCGGACAAGCAATAAAGAAACCGAAACCTGTCTGTTTTCAAAATAAATATTTTATTAAAATGAGAGGTGGGTTCAGGGGTAAAACAGAAAAATATTCACAATCCCATAAGCAAGAATCGAAAAAGGAGTTTCCAGAATGGTTTGCAAAGTACTTTGAAAGAGCGACCTCGAACAGCCGACCGCAAACGAACATTCCCACTGGACACCCTGTATATACGATTTGTTAAATAAAATCCTTAGTAATGGCTTAATGTCAATCTATTGTATCAGGTTTGATCCATGAATAGGCCACAAATCTTTTTTGATTCGATATGGAAAACCAGATGGCTGTATGCACCTATTTTCCGGCAATTTTTCCTGTCTCACCTGGTCGATTCGGCTGTTTTTCGAACCGGAGTAGATGTGAACGGTGGATTTCCAAGAGTCCGAGGGATTGCACGATACGCCGTTTTGACGTTGATTGTTCTTCGATTGGAACAGGCGGACTTCCTGCGGACTGGCACCCCACGTGAATACTTCTTGGTCGGTACGGACAGCGATCTGGATGGTAAATTGAAGATATTGAAGTTTTCGATAAGCTGAATATTATTAGTTTTCACAAGCTATTATTTAAATTAAACTAATTAATTTGAAATTATTTCTTAATTTAATTGACAGAAGTCAAAAAAACACAATCGGATCTACATTATCAAGATCAAAAAATATTTCTGTTGGTATACCACAAGGTAGTGAACTCGGTACACTACTATTTATTTTATACATTAATGACATTTGTAATGTTTTAGATCATTGTATAATTCAGATATTTGCAGATGATACATTTATATACATATCAGATGCAAATATAGACACTGCTTTAAAAATGCTAAATTCTAAAATAAACTAAAACTGAATACTTCTAAAACAAAATGTATGTTAATAGGGAAATACCTAAATGAAAATACTATGACAGTTAGGATAACTGGTGAAATAATTGAAAATGTTGAATCAATTAAATATTTAGGCATATATATTCATAGTAAACTAAAATCTGAGGATCACTAGGAATACATTATTTCAAAAAGTGCAAAAAAAAACAAATTACTTTTATAGGGCTTCTCATAGTCTTGGTACTTATTCCAATAAAATAATTTTATAATACAATTATTCTACCGCATTTACTATATTGTTCAACTATCTTATTCAAGCTGTATTCTCAAAATTACAACTCCTGCAAAATAAAGTTATGAGAATAATATTGAATAAAACTTAGCACACCAAAATAAAATCTATCATATTTGGTTCATATTTTTAAATTTAAAAAAAATTATCTTTTGCCACAACATTTAGAACACTACATAGAATTCAATAATCTTTACCACAATTATTATACAATAGGAAATATAGATTTTCATTTACAAAATTGCAATATTAATATAACTAGCAAATCAATATCTCGGAAAGGATTACTTGAATTTAATGAACTAAATAATGATATAAAGTCTACTTGTGATTCAAAGATGTTCGTTTAGTTTTTAGAAGAATGTAATTATAGCAATCACGCTAAATAAATCTTGAAGAAAAAAAAACGGTAAATTTACAGACCCCGTACGTCAGGAGCTTCGCCTTTTATCATAACTCTACTAGGAAATTGAAATATATTCAATGCAGGATGAAAAATATATTTTTTCAAATGCTTACATACAAAAAGGTTCCAGCCATAATAAGTTCATTTTTATTTCAATTTTTATTTTTCGTTTATTTTTTATCAAGTAACACACAATAAATATTATTATTATACCCATAAGAATTGTAAAACCACTTACATTTTTTCTGAAACATTGTCGTTTTTTGGCTAGTCAGCTTGGTCTACAATGTGAAAACCCCGTTTCGACCGAAAGACAGCATACTTACGTTGTGAAAATACGCGGTAGCGATCTTCTCTATAGGCATGTACATGTCAGGCATAACAACAACCCAAACGGGTTCTGCAGACTTATTCGCATCCAAGTGACAGCTCTCCAATTGGCCGAAGACGTTCGATCCGAATCCGTACAATTTTCCTTCAGTCGTTAATATCAAGCTGTGCGCATGACCCGCCGCTATTTGCTTGACGGTGAAAGGCAGATTCAGTAGTTTTGGGTAGAATAAGTTATCACAGTTTCCTGAAATATATTTTTTTCATCAGGGTTACTTCAAAAAAAAAACCTAAACAATGGTCCAACGAAAAGGTCGCACCCCCACTTGTGACTCTCCTGGTATATTTTGGGAAGAACGCAAGGACACGTCAATTTTGATTTCTAAGGGGACGTCTTTTCGTCTATAGCAGTGCAACTCAGGGTGACACTTAGGATTTTTAAATGGAAACCACATTTTTTTTAATATTCAGATTTTCCAAGTTTTTAGTAACTTTGGTATAATAACGTTGATACCTACACTACCGTTCAAAAGTATCTGAACACCCAGAAAACAAGCAAACTGATCGAAGTTATTAAAGAAAACAAAATAAACATATTTTTGACTCATCAATATGTCCTCCTTTACTTAATTACAGCCTGGCAAATGATGGGTAAACACGCAACTAATTTTTCTAAAGTGGATAGGTTTATTTTTCGTCAATCGTCCTATAATATTCTCGATAAGTGTTCTTGAGATGTAGAACAACACTTCAGTACTTGTATGTCCAGTTCATCCCACAGCCACTCTATCGGATTCAAATCCGGGAATTGGGGAGCCTATTGCATGACTTTGAAAATATTTTATCCTTCTTTTGCTTTCAAAAATTGTGTTTTTATTGCTGAAAGACAAACCCCGGACCAATAATACGAGTCCCAGACGGCACAACCTGATTTTGAAGTATGGCTTTGTAACCTTCTTTATTCAGTATTCCCTGTACTCTCACAATATCCCTCGGGGCGGTACCACCAAAATATCCCCAAATCATTATAGTATATTTCTGTTGGAGTTATCGAAGAATTCCTCTCAAATGCAGCGGTTGCATTTCGTCTAATTGAGCTATGAATATGTAAAAACTGTCTGCATCAGAATAGCCTTGAACTTGAACGCGGTCATAGTGATACAGAAATGCGATCCGGACAGGTAATATTCGAGGCTAAAAAAAGCAGTTGTTTTGCAATAACAGTGCATTCTGGCCGAAAAATGTATGGCCTAGTAGAAATACACTACTCAAAAAAATTGAGGGAGCCAGAAAAAATCCAAATTTATTGGATTTTAGTGAATGGTGGTCGTATCTAGACTTTCTTTAGTCCACAGGCTTGAAGACATTTTTTTCTGTTAGGCAATAATATGCATCAAATAGCTCGTTTATTCATCTTCAATATCATGTTTTCAAAATCTCGTTACGATTATTTGACGCGGAGATATTTGACTTCAGAAAACTGGATTAAGATTTGATTGCAATTTTTGAGGATTTTTGCGTTTCCAAGTGTTGATCTTAAAAGAGTAAAAAAGATACGTTTTGCCTTGATTTGGAAAATCGACCGTATTTTGGGACTGTCAATGAGAAGGCTTAATGTTTTTAGGTTTTATACCTAATAAAAAGATCGATCCATCTTGAAAAATTAGAATCTTGAAGCTTCAAAGCGCTTTTTTTTAGAGCCTAGATATGACCATTTTTCACCGCAATACATCCTGTCAAAAATCACAGAAAAATTTGGATTTTTTCCTTGCCCCCTTAATTTTATTGTACTAAAAAAATTCTATGCGAAGCTATGATAACGTCAACTTATATAATCCATTCTTAGATTCTATATCGGCGAAAAGTTTGCAAAAAATACAAAATTCCTGTTGTAGATTGCTTTTAACCTACGAAAGTATGAACACATTAGTTCGCATTTTGAACAACTGCATTGGTTAAATGTAAAAAAATGTTCACTTACTACGTTTTATGCACAAAGTTGTTACTACATCATTTCCTCCTTTTTGAAAGACAAGCTAATATTTAGTGGATGTACCCTCTCAGGAAATATTTGTTTTGTAAATACGTTAGCCACAAGACATCATAAGAGCTTTACTTTTGTCATTATACTAAACAATGCATTACCATCGCCTACAAAGCTTCTGAACTTCTACGATTTCAAAAAACAAGTTAAGAAAATCATTTTTGAACAACAAATTTAAAGACAATCATCACTCCTCATTTCTCTAAATTATGAACAAGAACCTTTTAAAACATAACTTTGATATCAGCGCATTTATGTAATACTAGTTCTATAATTTACACATTTTATTGTATTTAAATATTTTTGATGTTAACTTATTTGTGTTAAGGATTAACAGGCAAAATAGCTATAAGCTAAAATTCGCCATAAATAAATTCGATTTATTATTATATCCTGGAATATTAGCACTTCAATAAGCAACACCCTGTATCCAAATAAATTCGGTTGGTATTCGGGTCAGGAATACAAATGCATTGATTATGAGAAGCCGTACTGGTTATGCGGGAAAGATATACAAGAATTAAGCTAAGGTCAAGCCATGGCAGAAAGCGTAAAAATCGAAAACATCGTCTTGTGTATAAATAGTTTCAGATGCTGGAGGATTGACAACCACTTCAGCATATCCAGCAGCGCAGCAACTTCAATATTGTAAGTACATTTTCTGAGAGCTTTATCGCACATGTGTGGGGAGGCGGTAGTAATACAGGGTGTAAACGTTGTAGTCATTATTTAAATGGGTGACAGAGGGGGTTGAAAGAAGCAAAAAGCTTCATATAACATGGGGGTCAAAACGGCATTGTTTTACAGACAAGCGACTTTAAAGTAAAATAAAATCTGACAACCCCGTAATGAGATTGAGTTTGTTATTTTTGGCTCTTAGGTATTGTTTCGTCACAGCCGACGTCAACTACGAGCCGTGATGAAAGAAAGGCAACACCGCGCTCGGACGGCATGGTAGTGCTACCTGTGAACGTCGGCCGCCAGCGGCTGTGTGCTCCGCCTCCGTATAACATTCAAGAACTAAATTTAATTTTGGAAAAGAGGACAGTTCGATTCGATACAAATCGTCTGAATATGAAATAGCTCTAAAAAATTTAAAAATACGAAATAATCGTGACATATATGAGTCGCTAATGCAGTTAACCTAATTAAAAGTATTTAGTTTACGTTTTTTGGTGTCAGCACAACGTGTTCCAACAGGCCCAGCTTGGAAATGTGGAGTTACCTGTTTGTTTTTAATACATTACTTTCAGTTTTACTGTTATTTTTCAATTTTACATTATCATTCAAAATTATGTTTGAAAAAATAGACAAAAGCTTAGATAAAATATCTGCATAATTGCGGCCAAAGAAAATTCACTGTATATAAAGTCAGACTGAATGCTGGGCAAGGTTAACTGACACAAAATAAATTTTTGGTTATTGCTTTTCAAGAAGAAAATTTCCAATATATCTACATTAATAATAGATTCAAAAATGGCATACATATGGTAGAATATGATTGGTACATAACTGGTTGGAATTGACAGTCCTCCTCTTTGCAAATGATCAAAATAAACATTTGTTGTTAATGAACCTTTTTCTTTAACTATTAGCGATTTGCATATCTCGCAGTTTAGGTTTTTAGAGATAGCGTGTGAAGCATATCCAGATATATAAGTCTTAGTACTATCCTCTATGTCACAATTGGCTAAGGAATTTGTCTCAAATACTTCATTGAATATATCCAAAACTTCAGGGTTTTGTTTGGTATCCAAGAAATCAAAATTTTCTTGAGTTTCTAAGCAGTTTTGGAACCTTGTTTTAATTTCTGCTAAAGAAAATGACGATTTCTTTTCATTGAAAATATGCTTTAGCCGTATTTTCTTTTCAGCATTTAAAATTTCATCATATGACACATTGTAATTGCAGCCACATAAAAGTCTATAATTGCCAAATCGTTTTTCTAAATTATCAGTGGTGAATTTTCCAGGCAATACATACTCAATGTCAAATTGATTAAATGAATATACAATTGTAGAGTCAGCGTGCTTTGATATAGAGCTGTATACGTTTCTGGTGTCAGGTGTCCATTATTATTCTCTAGATTATGCCATTTTTCTAATCATATCAGGAATTTTTTTAAAAATTGTACTCTATAATCATATTTATTGGCAATAGGCTTACAAAATTCGTTTCGCTTCAATTCTCCTTTTATTACACTTGTATTACTGACAATATCCCACGAATTCCTGATTATTTCCAAAAAGTGTGCAGCATCATTAAACTTTAATTCTTTCATAGCAGCTATTGTTGAGTGATGGAATAAATTATCTACAAAATTTACATTTTGCCTTTCAAATGAATTTGGATGCAATTTAATTTATATGCTTTCTTAACTACAGCTTCTTTTTTCAATTGATATACAGCACGAATGTTTTCAAATTTAGCATACTGAATAATATCATTATTGTCAAAATTAGGATATACAAAAGTTTTGTCTAGGTTTTTTAAATTAATCCAATTATTTCTGATACTCTTGAAAATATGCACAACATCATAAGTTAAATATATGTTTTTATCAGGATTATGTGGATTTGGAATAGAATAATTTTCTGATGAATCCTTTGCTAATTTCCTGAACATTGCTCTATTAATTCGGTGATTATCAGTAACAACACAAATAACTTCAAATCCACATTTTTGAACTAAATTTATCTTTGATCTTATCCATATCATCGAAATTCTGGATAGCTTTTTCATGTTTCTCAATTAATTTTTGTTTTCTTTGCATTGGGTCAGTTCTTTTGGGTGCTTCAGTTTTTGAAAGATATGATGGCAAGTTTGGGAAAATGGAGGGAACAGCATTTTCTTTCAATTTTGGATATTTCAAAGGTATATTAGTTTGGACTGTTCCATCCGCCAAAACTATATTTTCTGTCCTGATGATATCCGATTCTCTAAAATGACGACTGCACACAGCTGAATATTTTGAAGGTGTCCAATTTTTTCTGGGAATTGCCATAAGCCATTTGTTTTTCAGACTTTCGGTACTTGGGAAGCGAAAAGTTGAAACATAGCTTTCTGTTTTCAAAGCAGAATTATAGTTTGCATTGCATAAAGGAACACAGCAACAACGAGGCATATTGTCTGCGTCAAATACTTGATAAATGAAAAAAGAAAAATACAACCTGAATTTGCACGTTTTCAATAGTTGAAATCCTTAGCGTCCTGAGGCGCGAACATCCACAGTCACACTTCTTAGTTTATTTTTAAAGCACTACAACTGGAGTCTTTTTCTCATATATTATAGTCACCGATCACTTTGAACACATACACAGACTTTGAAGCTTAGAAAACAAGCTTATCTCTTAATTACAGCCTCTGGGATTCCAAAATCACAAATTGAAAAGGTTATGTTTTCTCAGCGTTTTGAGCACGAGTTGCGTCGATGCAGCAAGCAGCGGCGGGAGTAACACTACCACCTACGTTGCCAGATTTCTTTGTTCACTGCTCGTAGTTGACGTCGGCTGTGGTTTCATTATTTGATAATGTACTCGTAAAATGCGACCAATTAAAAAAACGGACTTACCTCTAACTGTCTCAGCGTTTCACCTCGTGTGTGAAAGTTCATAGAACGTATTAAAAAAATCCACTTATAAATAGGGAACACAATTTTGATGCATACATTGTTTTTCTTTTTAAAACCCACACTGCACTTTTTTTGTATTATAAAGGTGTTCAAAATGTCGTCCTCCACTTTCCACATAAGCTTCATTACGACGAACCCAGTTTCTTCTTACTCTGGGTCCTCGAAGTTGTCCATTTATTATTTCAGCTTTAAAAATTTGTTCGCGAAGTTGTGCTTCAGTTAGTGTATTTTTGTTAATGTTTGACAATTTTTATTTGTCAGATTTATGATTTTAATGAGAGAAAACGATCCTACTACTTATTAAAACACAATTTTAATACTTTGAATTGTTTAACGGAAAACCCACCCAGTTTCTTCTTACACTAGGTCCTCGAAGTTGTCCATTTATTATTTCAGCCGCATTAAATTTTTTTTCGCGAAGTTGTGCTTCAGTTGTTATTGGACCAGCCCCAAAAACCATTCCTTTAAGTTCTCCCCAATACCAGAAATCCATCAGATTGAGGTCAGGAGATCTTGCTGTCCATTTTCGAGGATCGAGCATTTCGACCGATCCAGCGATTTGGACATGTTCATTCAAATACTGAATGTCGCCTATAAAAATGTGTGGTGGTGCCCCGTCATGAAGAAACCACAAATTCTGTCTCCGTTGTAATGGCATGTTGTCTAAGGTCTGTTCCAAAAGTTCTGGTAGGTTATTGACTAGAAAACTAAGGTATTATTCTCCTGACAACTTTGGGGGTAACTCGAAAGGGCCAATTACCTGATCGTCAAGAATACCCGCCCAAATATTTATTTTAAAACGTTTGCTGGAAATGACCTTCACGACTGGTATGAGAATTTTCTTGAGCCCACTTGCGAGTATTATGGAACCTGTCTTTCACGAGTGCGAATATTAGTGGGCTGAACACTTCCTGTATCTCGAAGCCTTTGGTACACTTGCACAAGTAAACTAACAACATGTCTGCGAACTCTTGATTCGAGAACATTGTGAATAAACACGACGACGTACGCGAACAAAAACAAAACAACATACTAACCACTGTTACCGTTTGCGATCGATTGCCGGTTCGATAAGAGTGATGATGACCGACGCGCTGTTGTCATGTGTGTTTTAAATATTTAATTTAATGAAACTTTTTTACTGTCTGCAAATTTTGGCTTAACTTTGAAAAACGTTTTAGATTAGATTATAAAAATTAATAAGATTGTGCTCGATACAAAGAGTACAAAGTTGTAAACTATAAAGCCATTTAGTCAAAAATCTTGACTTTAGGACCATGGGTCATATGAACTTTTTGACTTGTTTTGACCCCCTTATTACCCATTTCAATAATGACTATCATAACGTTTACACCCTATATATCAATTACATGTTTTAACGAAGGAATCATATATGAACAAATCATTGAATATATTGAAGAAAACAACATATTGACAAAATTTCAAGCACAGGATTCAGAAAAAGATATTCCAATGAAACAGCAATTCAAACGGTAGTAGAAGAATTGACACGAAATAAAGGTTTACAGTAACATTATTCATAGATTTTACGAGGGCATTGGCAGAGAGAAATTGTTAACGAAATGATAGTAGACAGTGTTCGAATTTGAAGATGTTTAAAGTGAAATTGAAAAATCACTTTACGAATACCCAAAATGCATAGTGATGTACAGGAATGTAAAATTACAGAAAATTGATTAATAAAATACAAAACTGACTTTGTAGCATCAATACCAAATAAATCTTCATCAAACAAACAGAAAAAAACTATAACGAATAAAAATAACGACATGCGGTTTTCACTAGTTTGTAGGATTTTTCATACATTTCCTGAAAAATGAAAAATAATACCATTGCATTTGAATACAGTATGTAATATCTTATCAACTTGCTGGTTAGATTTATGTTTAATTAATGAATGGCAAGGAACAAACAAACGAATAAAAAACACAAACTAGTTTGGAAAAACATACAAATAGACGTTTATGTGACTTGTTACCTTGTCCGAGTTGTCCATGAATCCCCCAGCCCCAAGTATACACCTGTCCAGCAGATGAAAGTGCCAGGCTGTGGTATTGCCCGGCAACTACGTCGATCATTTTTATTGCAGTTATCGATGTCAGCATCTGAGGATACGGACTCTCCTGAACGTGAGATCCTAGTCCGAGCTGACCATACGCGTTCGATCCCCAAGCATAGACCTGAAACAAAAAGTGGTGGCAATTAGGTTGACTCTATATTGCTCACGAAATATTATCAATTAGAAATAAATGTAGTACCACCAGTATTTATTTTATACATAAATGATTTACCTGCCATAGTCAAAAAATGCAAAATTCAAATTTTCGCCGATGACACTATGATTTACGAGTATATAAGTACTAAAAATATTCAGTCTGGTATCTCTTATATAAATGAAGACTTGAAGCTTGTCTCAAAATGGTTAGCATCTAACAGACTAAAATTAAATGCAAGTAAAACGAAAGCCTTGTTAATCGGAAAAAACAATGTACAAATGTTCAACTGAATATTGATGGTGAAGATATTGAATTCGTAGAAAATTTTAAATACCTGGGAGTTTTTGTTGACTCTCGATTAATTTTTGATATTCATTATGAAAAAGTTATAAATAAGATTAGTAGTAAAGTGGGATATTTATCGAGAGTTTCTGGATGTCTGAGTTCATAGAGCAGAAAAATTATCTATAATACCATCATTCTTCCAAATTTCTTGTACTGTTCGACTATTCTATATTTAGCAAATAATTCCATTTTTGAAAGACTGCAAATTTTACAAAATAAGTGCATGAGAATAATACTAAATAAAAATAAATATACTCCAATTAGGCAAATGCTTAGCAAATTAAAATGGCTCAATGTAAAAATTTTTATCAAATATCTTGTAATGATATTCATTTATAAAGTAAAAAATAATATATTTCCATCAAGTCTAACTAATTTAACATCATCAAATGTCGACCATCATTTACATAATTCCAGGAATAAAGATGACTTCCATTTAATGACCAAAAAGTATAACATATGCTACAAATCTGTATTCCATCAAGGGTTGATTGAATATAATAAATTATACTCGGAGATAAAAGACCAGAAAACTTTGACAAAATTTAAAGTAAAATTGAGAAATCACTTGTTAAATCTACAATTATAGGTTGCCCAGCATTTACATCATACACCATATGGCATGAATTTACTAGTTCTAAGTTGTTTACAATTGTTCTGTTTATGTAGCCAAATGTGCTAAATAAATCTTTCTACTACTACTACTACCAGGAAGTAAATTGAAATGAGAACAAGATACGCAGATGATCCACATTGCAGCCGCGGAAGTATAGGAACGTAATAGAAATTTTACTAATTAGAATGTCCAATTTTAACGGAGATAATACCGAATTGTATTTAATTTTATCACAAACCTTTGCCTCTAAATTTAAACTTAATTATCAGTTCTAAGACCAGCAAGTTTATGAACGTTGTCGGAAAATAGTTGTAATGTTATAAGATGGAAATTACAATAATTATGTTTGAAAAAATTAACGGAATCAAAGAACAAATTAAAAAAAATAGTTCAGTATAAATAAAAAAATAGACAGTAATGGACAAAAGTATATAGACAAATTAATATTGTGCTATATATCTTTTTTAACTTGTTTTATTTATACACCAACCTGTATACTAATTCGTTAGAGCATAATACATAAATACATTCATTAGATTCCCTTCAATAAAAAATTAATTGAAAAAAACAGGAACTATGAAGGAGAAAAATATATAGACAAAGCAAAACAGTTATAGAAAAAAGAAGCAAATTTCATTGAATTATAGAAAACCAACCATGTTTGTGTTAATATTTTGTAGCATAACCATTATTATCAATCACCACCTGGCATCATCTCGGCATAGATTGTAGAAGTTTCTTGATATAAGATTCATCAATCTGTCTCCACTTTTGCTCTAAAGCGTCAAAAAGTTAATTTTTATCTCGTATCTGCTTATCTAAGTATTCCCATAGATTTTCAATGGGCTTTATATCGGGAGACTGTGAAGGCCATTTGAGAACTGGTATTTTTTCATCCAGAAAGAATTTCTTTGCGAGATTTGAAGTGTGGTTCGGGTCATTATCTTGCTGGTAGATTGAAGGGCATATTGTCTTCCATACAGGGTAACATTACATGCTTTAGTATGTCTGTGTATACAAACTTATCCATAATGCCATCTATTCTATGTAAAGGTCCCATCCCAAACCCCGAAAAGCACCCCCAAACCATAACAGACACGCCTCCATGTTTGACAGTGGGCAAAGTGTACTTGGGGTCCAATCTTTGTCCACTAGGGCGTCTAACGTAATGAACACCATCTGATCCAAACATACTGAACTTGGATTCGTCACTGAAACATACCCTCTTCCAGTCACAGATGCTCCAATCAAGATGCAACCGTGCAAATTGTAATCCGTACTTACGGTTTTTCCTCGAGATTAGCGGCTTCTGACTTGGGCGACGTGCAAATAAATAACTTCAAATCATTTAATCTTCTACTTATACATAGTTTTCGTAGAAACACTGGCAATTCCTTTTGTCTCGATTTCGACTTTTATTTGTCTTGGGGTTCTAAACGGATCTTTGGACAAAATTACTGATCTACAGTATATTCAGATAAGAGATAGACCGGACATAAACAAGACCACGTGATCATCGAACGCTGTAACATTCGGCAGGGACGTATTAAGAGTCACGCAGTACATATTTTAGATAGTAGATGCTGCTTTGCGTAACTTTGTAGTAAATTAGCACAATTCGATGTGTATACGATTGGTGATGGATATAGGATCATGTGGGGGTGGGGTAAGAAATATATAATGATGTAAATATACATAACGGTTTCAAAATTTTCGCTTCGATTTCCAGATTCGGATGCCGCCTGATGTTTGGTGAAATACAGTCGAATATAATCTCAAAATGGCGTTTAAATTAGCCTAAATTAAAAATAATCGTATATCTCTTAAAATTGCTTTTAGAATATTGATTAGTATATTTTTTGATTTCTAGGTAAATATGTAACCAAATTAAAACGTTCAAAACGTAAAAAAATGTGCATGGTTGAACATTGTCAGAAAGTAGATTCTTGAATAGGTTTTGCCAAAATGGGTTCAAAAATGTCAATAATTAATTAAAAAATACAGTAGTTTTATAATTACTTATAACTTACCGAATTTGATGAACGACATCTTTTATTGGAAAGATGAGCTTGATGAGCTTTCATCATCGCTACTGCCTGAAGCACCAACGTCAATAATGAATGGCTCGACTTGTTCCTCTAAAATATTGTCCAGTTCCCACATTCTCTTTTCAACTTTGTCTTTCACGTGCTTAATACAGTTTTCCCATTTTTGCGCTGTTATTAATTCTAGTGCTTCTTTGAAAAGTCCTTTGAGGTCACAAAATTTAAAAGTTGTATTGTGCTTAGCTATATAATTTTTAACCTCTGCCCATATGAGCTCAATGGGATTGAGCTCGCAATGGTATGGAGGTAAACGGAGCACAGTTTTATTTTGACTTGCTGCCATTTCGTCAATGGCGTATTTTTGATATTCCGCCTTGTGATACTTGACAATTCTTAATAATTGTACTTTCAGCATTGCTTCTTCAAACTTGATATTTTTCGAGCGGAGCCAATTTTGAACATCAACTTTCCTTGAAGCCGTTGTTGGGACCTTCTCCATTCCTCGAGAATGATAAGGCGCATTATCCAACACAATTACTGCGTTTTCCTGTAAGTTCGGTAAAATTTTTGAAAACCACTGTTCAAACGATTCGCCATTCATTTCCTCGTGGTAATCTCCAGTTTTCTTAGACTCAAAGCACCACAGACCGTCAACAACAAATCCATCCTCACTGCCAATATGGCAGATAATGAGCCTTTTCCCTTTACCTGGAAATCGAAGTACTAACTGGTGTAGATTTATTTCAATAAGCGAACCTTTTTCAAATGTTTTCATCACATTCAGCGAAAAAACATTGAGACATGAGTATCAGATTGCTATAATTGGGATCATTTAGTCATATTGAAAGAAAGAATATTGAACGTCGTATGATTACTCAGCGCTTCACAATTTAATTTAAAGTTATAAACCTTTAAAAAATGAATGATCAGGAACCTGAAATACGCGCAAATATTAATATTAACAAATTATAACTTTATAAAGCTTAAAGTATGAATTAAAATGATTAGAAATATTAGGAACGGTACACAATATAAAACTTAGTAACTTTTTTTAAGTTTATAATATTCGACATATTTTAAGATTATATTAAAAAGTTATTGAAATATCGAAAACACATAAAAACATGGCTTAAAAAAGTTCTAACAAATGAAAATGACAATAAAACATCCACGCATTTTATCGAAAGTTATAAAAGTTTTGTTACTTGTAATATGTTTTATCTGCCCCCTGGAATTAATGTTTAGAACCTTGTTCCCAAGGTTTGAAAAACATCCGATTGTTGTCTATTACTCGTATTTACCTGCTGGATTTTTTAATCCGGTGGACAGTCCATCTAGAAAGGCCCTCCTGGATGAAGTTACAGAATCATCAACCCATACTTTACTTGTAGTGTGTCCTGCGTTTACCCACGTTTCATCAAGGTAATAAATCTTCCTGTTTTGATTTCTATATTTCCCAATTTTTGTTAAATAATCCCTCCTCCATAGCACAATTTCTTCTCTATCCAGTAGTAAACTATTACGACCCCGTTTTTTCCATTTGAAATTTAAATGCTTCAGTAACGCATGGAAAGTTGATCGTTTGAAATCTGGCAACGTTGTATCTCCATTTACCTCCTGCAGTACTTTATCTATAGTAGGTATTTCATTCCTAAAGAAGAATTCATGCACTTTCCTCCTAATCGCATGCTTATCAGCTTCATCCAATGATTTAACAATACTTTTGCGATGTTTACTGGTCAATGGCTCAGAAAAGGTGTGATTTTTTTTGTATTGTCTTAACACATTAAACACTGATGTGCGACACACCCCAACTTTGTGAGAAACCTTCACAACAATTTCTTTGATGGTTGATGCCTCGTTCTCCTCGCGCTCGATCTTATATATATTCAAAATGACCTCTTTCATTTCTGCACTCAGGTGTCTTTTTTTAGAGCGTTTCCTAGGTGGACTACAGGAGTTTACAACTTCATCGGCAGTATCTGTACTACTGGGCATTTTGCGCAAGCAGTTGATAACAATAACAATCAATAACAAGGTATAACAATAACAACGACAAACTCAACAACTTAATAAGATAACAAACGAAAACGTCCAAAGAAATATCAAATTGCAATGATGCACACGACATACGTAACACGTCTGAACCTGAATGTGACTCTGCCTTGATACGACTGCTCTGCCGCTCGGCATAGGCATTTAATTGCGAATTGACCAATGAGGGCTCCTGTTTCACGTGGAGACGGCGGCGTTAGCGTGAAAATCACCCGAACCTTTTTGTTTACATCCGGTCTATCTCTTATCTGAATATACTGTAGTATTTGGTTTTCTAGGCCAATCACTTCTCTTAGAGGTTTCCAAGATTCATTTTTGTTTATATTTGTTCAATATTGCCCAAACTGCTTCAAATTTTTGGCAATGTCGACTTGACGTTGACCATCTTTGAATAACTCGATGATCTTAGTTTTCACATCGAAAGAAAGTTCTGGACCACGCGGCATGATCTTAAAATCACTCAACTTATTCCACAATACTTGATGAATACAAACTAATCCTCTTCTGACACGAAACTGTACTAAACTAATGTTGAAAAGACTTTGTCTACATATTTTTGTCCCTCATAAAAAAGTGCTTATATTCAGACTTGTACTGTGTTCATTGCAGATAATGTAAAAACAAGGAATTTAGTTTTTCTACTAATAACGCATTTGTCTATGGAGCAATGAAGTATGAATTCGTGTTTTAAATATTCATATTTGTCTATATACTTTTGTCCATTACTGTATATGAAAAAACAAAGAATAAAGAAAAAGAAAAAAGGAAAAGAATTGGTGTTAAAAGGCGTGTTTGAATCAAAGATCGACCAAGTGACAACAAGTCCTGACATTCCAATGTTTAAAAACTTTCGCGAGAGCTGAAAAAGTGTGGATTCAGAGAAAATACAGATTTATACTGAAAATCATGCCTGAATATTTCAGAGACTGTTAGAATTTTATTGACAAGAATTGACCAAAGAAGTTGCTAGAGACGATTTTCGAGAATTAATAGAACTTTCAATAATACTCCTTGGCGGAGATACAGAGAGAAGATTTAAGTTTCTACCGCCGGACGGATGGCCACAGCATATTACAGATAAACTCAATATTCTGTTAACCTGACCTACTACGTTCATGTATCACTATACAACATCAATTCTGTAAAGGATCCAGGGGCGGATCGTAACGATCAACCCTCGTATAGCAAACATCTTTATAACAGTAATCAAATCAATGCTTACTAGAAACGCTAAATAACATGTTGCAAACGAGGTATTCATTGCTACAATTGAAAAGATAATATGCACATGCACAGTTTTCAATTCGCTAAGCGCATAAAAGTTTATAATAATATACTTAGAAAATCGACCATACTACAATAATTCGTTTTAATGATGCACGATTAAGTTCAACGTAAAATATGACATTATCCTGTTTGACGAATTTTTTTCTTGATAATCAATATTTATACCGAGCATATCAATTTTTCCAGGTTAGACAAAAATGAAACTGATAATCCTACTGTTATGCGTGTTTCTCGTCGCCCATCGGACATCTGGGGTAAGTATAATGATTGTCTCATTACTTAATTTACAGACCTGGCACATGTATTGTTAGCCACCATAAATAATCCTTTTACAGATGAGCGAAAAACAGCTTAAAGCCACAAAGAAGTTAGTGCGAAACACGTGCCAGAACAAATCGAAAGCTACAAGTGGTAATTTCTAAAACCCATTTTACATTTCACTAGCGTAACTACTGAACTATTACTATTCCAGAAGCAATCGATGCCATGCAAAAAGGTGATTTCAACCAAGACAAAAATGCACAGGTCAGTTACTAAAAAAAGATATATACAATGGAACAGTACTAGCAAAAAAAGTTCCTACTCATATACCATCAATTAACATATCGTCGGACATCTGCCCAATTTCAGGTATATGCACATTTTTCTTCATCTATCTACAGCGCACATTGTGATAGAGTCCGCTAACTGCAGAAAAAAATAGTTTTTGAATTTCTCAACCAAAACAATACCTACCACTGACAACACGTCTGTCAATGAGTGGCAATTCCAGCTATCTAACAATTACGCGTGTTATTTTTCTTAACTTTGCAATGAAACACGACGTTGTGGTTTCTCAGAAATATCTCACCAAAGGACACACCCAAATGGAATGTGACTCTGTACACAGTTGCATTTAAAGAAAACTGAGAAATAGAGTTATTGAATTACGAAATGACTATGTTAAGGCGTCAAAAGAATCTAGGAAAAACCAGAGCCATATGAGGTGATCCAATTGAGTTATGACTTCTTCAATAACTACTCTCGAACAGAGGTGCAGCGGCACTCAACAATTAGACCAGGCAGGGACATCAAAGTACTATGTTGTTAATTTGCCATATATCAAGGTAAGAACCTGAACGTTCATTTAAGGTGTAACTGAGAATGCTACTATCTTTTTGATTTGTAAAAGCATTAAACTTTCAATTTGATATAATGAATGACAGTTTTTCTAACACGAATCTCACTAAATCCATCTGTCCTGATGCATTTAAAACAACTGTTATTACTCCTGTTTATAAAAGCGGTGACAGAATGGAAACATCAAATTATAGACCCATATCAGTACTATCGAATATAGCCAAAATTTTCGAAAAATTACTACAAAAAAGGATATTGCAATTTTTGGACAAAAACAAAATTATATGTTCTGACCAATATGGATTTAGAAAAGAAAAATCTACTACAGATGCAATTTTGGCTGCAATGGATGAAATTAACTCTAATGTCAACAAAAAGATACCTACTATTGGTATGTTTGTTGATCTAAAAAATGCCTTTGATACGGTTAACCATGTCGAGCTTCTGAAAGTTATGGAAAGATTGGGATTTAGCGGAGCGTCACAAATCCTTTTAAAAAATTACCTTTCAAGTCGGGCACAGACTGTCAAAATCACTAACTCTTACAGTAAAAAAATGTACATCAAGTGTGGTGTGCCTCAAGGAACAGTACTAGGCCCACTATTAGTTAGTCTCTACTTAAATGACTTATTCAAAATTAACAGTTCTGGAAAGATTATATGTTTTGCAGATGACACCCTCGTATTATATAAAGCTGATGACTGGAGCACACTGAAGCAAATAGCTGAAAAGGATTTTATAAGGATCATTGACTGGTTTGATACTAAAATTTTAACAGTTAACTTCAAAAAAACAAAATTTATTGCATTTACATCCTATTCAAAATTTTTACCTACCTTCGAACAAATTTCCGTTATTTATCATGGCCAAAAGACCAAAATCGATAGAGTTAACACTTTGAAATATCTTGGAATATTTATAGACTCGCATCTAAGGTGGGATAACCATATTAAATATGTTATCAAAAAAATTAGAAATGTTGCCTATAAACTCAAAATGCTTGCTAACATTCTTACAGAAAGTTATCTGCGAATCCTATACCATGCCTTAGTTGAAACCCATATAATATACGGCATCACAGCCTGGGGTGCCGCCTGCAAGACATATATTTCTGACCTGAATATAGCACAAAAAACTGTTTTGAAAGCCATTTTCCATAAGCCAAGATTATATCCAACGAACAACTTATATCAAGAAACAGGGATACTTGATACAAGACAACTTTATTTCTTACATGCCACCACCTTATACCATAAGTATTGTAATAAAAAGAAAAAATGCTATAAACACGAGCATAACACACGATTTCGAATAGGCTCATCTAATATCCAAAGACCACACAAAACATTATTCAAAAAATCATTTATATTCTTAGCGGCTAAATTATATAATGTAGTACCAAACGAAATAAAGATACTTAATTTTGGGAAAAAATTTAGAAGAAAATTGAAAGACTGGGTTAGTAATGTGCAGCGAATGACTATACATAATTATATAGAAAACTAAAAGTACAAAATTCCAATTACATTAATACCTTTTAGATTTAACAATAATTGTTATACACATATATGATTGATTGTTAGTTATTAAGATATAAACCACACACAGGCGATGCCTTCTGTGGTTTTTTCATATTTATTTGCCCATTTTTTGTATTTTGGCGAATAAATATTATATTATTATTATCTATGCATCATAGTACAATATCTGCTGACTGCAAAGGAAGTCAGCAGAAATGTCAGCTATCTGCACTAATTTTGTCAAACACACAAACCCCTTAAATATGTGTTAAACGTCATTTATTTTTTGTGACCAAAGTTGTAGAGGCTTAAGGCCGATAGTATAAAATTGCTAAGGTATTTTTCTTCCCCTGTAAAACTACGGTTCCTGCATATAGCGGGTATTGTCAGATGTCCGACGATATTCAACTAGAAGATACCATAGACCAAAACAGGTAATACTAATGGGTTGTCCAATAGGGACGCAGGAAAGTAAACGTCAATTTGACATAGACGCCATCTTTGTTTTCTGTCACCGACATGTCATTTTGTTAGTTGAATGTTTACCATTGATCGCTATGGAGTCGTATTCGATTGAAGACCGCATTAAAGTTATTCAAGACCACTACAAAAAATGGTGCAAAAATAAAAACACGTTTCGCGCGCGTCGTGAACATTTCGGTCGCAACAACCGCCCAAACGAAACAACCATCGGTCGTCTGGTGCTTAAATTCGAGGCAACAGGTTCTGTGGCAAATCTGCCAGGCTCTGGCCGGCCAAGGAGCGTTCGCACACCGGAAAATATTGCTGTTGTGAAGGAGAGTGTGAGAGACGATCCGAAACAATCAACAACGCGTCGATCCCAAGAATTGGGCATTTCGAGAACCAGTTTGCTCCGCATTCTCCACAAGGATTTGAATGTACACGAATACAAGATCCAATTGACGCAAGAGCTGCCATTTTTCGCGCCGAACGTTCTCAGATTGGTTCCTTGAACACCGCCAAATTGATGCTAATTTTTCATCAAAAATCATGTTCAGCGACGAAGCGCATTTCATTTTGAATGGGACGGTAAACAAGCAAAACTGCCGCATCTGGGCGAACGAAAAACCCCGTGAGTATCAAGAGCAGCCGATGCATCCTCAAAAAGTGACTGTGTGGTGTGCATTGTGGTCCTTAAACAGGCGAAAATGCCGTCCACCATGTTTGACCCCTATTAATGTGCAATTTTAAACATATAAACATGACTTAGAATCAACCAATTTTCGGAAAATTTGTGCTTCTGCTTTTACGAATTACGAACGTCTATGATTGATTTTTCATTGAAACGAGAAAACGATTACTTTTCACATTGATTCGGAGAAAGAAGACAACGTTAGTCAACATACCGATGAAGTTTCTTCTTGTTTAAAATTTGTATGACGTCACATCATGACTGATAGTGTTTTCACCGTTTCGTATTAAAAATAAAAAGTATTTTTTTAACCGGACTCGTATATGCATCTTGCGCTTTCAAGATTGAAATCGATATACGGGGGCGGTCCGATAAATACTTAGTCTCACCGCCCGATGCAGCCACTATCGCAAAAGCGACTAAAAACTTCATCAAAAATCTAACAATTAAAAATGGCGGTTTACAATTAAAAATCTAAACTGTAACGCAACATCTTATTTTTGGATCACCCGGTATTGTACGGCTACAGATGAAAAGACGTCCCTCTAGAAATCAAAATTGACGTGACCAAAATATACCAGGAGATTTGCAAATGGGGAGCGACCTTTTCGTTGGACCACCCTGTATAAGCCAGTATGAGTAAGACAAAGTAGGTTTAGGTATCTTCTTGGGGAACACGTTAACCAATCTTTACACTCAGTCAGTATGTTTATATGTATTTGTGTTTCAGTGTTACATCTACTGCATTATGAGCACCTACAATCTGGTGAGTACTTAACCAAGAGGGTAGTTGTAATATAACTGTTAAATAATTTATTTTATGCACTATTTCAGTTGAACAAAGACATGATATTCGATTGGGAAGGCGGCATAAAGGCACTGCGAGCTAACGCGCCTCCGCATATTGCCGATCCCGGAGCAGTGACAATAGAGAATTGTAGAGATGCTATCAAAACGAAGAATGACCAATGTATAGCCGCGACGGAGATCGCAAGATGTTTATATCAGGACAATCCATCGGTAAGTCATCTAAAAATATGGGACCAACATTCAAGGGGCATCATGATAGTATTTTGTTAATTTTTCAACAGCTGCTTTTGATCACAGATTTTTCAACAATATAATGATATTCATTTATAAAGTAAAAAATAATATATTTCCATCAAGTCTAACTAATTTAACATCATCAAATGTCGACCATCATTTACATAATACCAGAAATAAAGATGACTTCCATTTAATGACCAAAAAGTATAACATATGCTACAAATCTGTATTCCATCAAGGGTTGATTGAATATAATAAATTATACTCGGAGATAAAAGACCAGAAAACTTTGACAAAATTTAAAGTAAAATTGAGAAATCACTTGTTAAATCTACAATAATTATAGCTTGCCCAGCATTTACATCATACATCATATGGCTTGAATTTACTAGTTCTAAGTTGTTTACAATTGTTCTTTTTATGTAGCCAGATGTGCTAAATAAATCTTTCTACTACTACTACTACTATTGTTTTTTCCAACCTACAAAGCTACTTATATAAATCAAGTTAACCCCCAAAAAGCAAGTATTTGATTAATTAGAGCTCTCAAAATTTACCGTGTATCTTCGAAAAGGAGCAAAGAGCAATATCATCTTTTGAAAAAGTCATGATATACGAGGGAGCAGTCAACGTCGATTAGCGTAGGAATTTGTATGTTTTAATAATGCTATTGTTTGTTACAGAACTACTTTCTCCCGTAGAGAAAAAATGTAACTACACGTATACAACATAATAATTAGTGTGATGTCACCTTTCTATTGATGTTTAAGGGATGCATGTGCAAATAAAATGTCGCAAACGTAAGATTGTTTTTATTCCCATATTCAGGGTGTTCCACGTACAAATGCAGCGACCGATTACTCGAAAAATTAACTTTAGACAATTGTGAAAATATCAGGTTATAGTATAACTGATATGAGGAATTCCGCTAAGGTAAATACAAAATGGTGGCACTTCGGTCGTATCGGAAGTTGTTACCTAGTTGCTTATTTTGAATCATCCTATACATTATTCAATTTTTGAAATCTTCGCGAGATTCCAAATACATTCCGTATATAATATCCTATGCCTTACTCTAACCGTTTACGAGAAATATCAAATTTTGTGCAAAAAAATCACTAATGCAGGCACATAAAAGCCTATTTTTTGTCTTTGTCGAACAATTCTAATGGTCAGGTTGATGAGCTATATACTGATTTCAGTAAAGCGTTTGATAGAGTCGATCATGGTTTACTACTGGGAAAACTAAATAGCATTGGCTTATCCAAAAATTTGGTATTATTATTTCAGTCGTATTTGTCTGATCGCAAACTATATGTGGATTTTAACGGTGGTAAATCAATTCACTTTTTTCCATCTACTGGCGTCCCACAAGGATCTTCCTTAGGTCCACTGCTATTCGTCATTTTTATTAATGACTTAGTTAATACGATTGACTGCAATATTCTGCTCTACGCTGACGACGTAAAACTCTACTGGCAAATTGATGATCCATCTAGTTGCTTTTATTTACAAAGGAATCTTGACAGACTGTCTGAGTGGTGTACTGCTAATAAACTTCCTATCAACGTGAGCAAATGTAAATCTTTAACTTTCACTAGGAGAGTAAATTCAATTACCAATAGTTATAAAATTAACAACATTCCTCTTCAGACTTTAGAGGAGTTCAGGGACCTAGGAGTAATATTTGACAGGACATTGAGCTTCAGTGCACACCTCACTAATTTAATGAATTCTGCTAATAAAGCACTGGGATTCGTTATACGCAATTCAAGAGAGTTTATCGGTACCACAGCACCTACAGTGCTGTATAATTCGTTTGTTCTTTCTAAGCTGGAATACGGAAGAATAATCTGGAACCCATGCTATGTTACCTCATGTGACTCATTGGAAAAAATTCAGAGGAAGTTCTTGAAGTATTTATCTCTCAAAACTGATGGTGTTTATCCTCCCATAGGGATTTCACAAAATAACTTACTTCAAAAGCATAGGTTTCTCAGCCTTGATGATAGAAGGAAGATACAATCTTTAGTCTTTTTGTTTAAAGTTATAAATTACCAACATGACTGTCCATCATTTTTGTCTATGCTAAATTTCAATACACCCAGAGTACGAACAAGGGCCAACCTTGCCTTTTACCTACCTACCCCACGAACAAATCTACTGCTGCACTCACCGCTATATTCGATATGCTCATGTTATAATGACTATATGAATTATTTTGATATCTTCAACACATCCATTTTTATTATTAAGAGAGTATGTAAAGCGGTATTTTTTTTTAGAGCTACCACAGTTTGATTGAGCTATGATCAGTTGTAGCTTTTCATGGGTTCTTATTGGTAATTACAAAGCAATCAATGCTATTAGTTTATTTTGTGATTTTTATATATATATATATGTACGGTATTTCCCACCAGTAATTGGTTTATAAACTGTTGGTGGTGTAATTAAATAAATAAATAAATAAATAAATAAATAAATAAATAAATTTATAACTGGTCCATTATAGAAATGAAACAGACTTCATTTGATATTTAATTATTAAATAATATAGGGTGGTCCAAAAAATGAACTGAAATTGAAAAAATGCCAAAATAATTGCCTGATTTATAACCTCATCATCTTAAGAAATAACGATAAGCGCAGTTTTGTATAAGATTATCTTCTTCGAAAATTAGTAGTTCATGAAGTATTTGCAACTACTCGTTTTCTATGCCTCTATACGGTTCTTTTATTACCGGCGTCGTGTCACGTCTCAAAAATAATTTAGATATTTGTACTTAGTAAGACTTTTCCCACGAATAATAAACAAAATGATTAACAATATCGTTTCGTCATTTGATTACCGCAAGCGCAAACATCCTTTTTAAGAAAAAAACAACCCCAGAAATCAGTTAATTAATAGAAATGGGAGATGCTTGTTTACGCGAAACGATTGCCCAAGTAAAAATCCCCTAAATATTGCGGAAAATCCCCCAACATGGCAACCCTGTCAAAGCACCACTGGTATTCCAGGCGTCAAGATCCGCTAGCGTACGGACAACGCATCGTTGCAAATTACTGAAATATCGCAGATCGTCGGATATATGGGGTTGTCCAAGACGGACGCAGGAAAGTAAACGCATATTAAAACAAGAAAGATTGATACTCAAATCAAGATGGGTACTTTATTTTGAAGGTTCATTTATACCATTTATGTATGAAAAATAATATCGCTCAAATGTTCACCACGACTGGATCTACAGACGTCCACGCGATGGTCGAAATTTTCAATGAGATTTTGCAACATGGTCGGTTCTATGACATTTATCTCGGCAATGATGTTGTTTTTGAGTTCTTGGAGGGTGGCTGGTTTGTTGACGTAGACTTTGCTTTTCAAATATCCCCATAAAAAGAAGTCCAAGGGAGTCAAATCGCACGATTTTGGTGGCCATGGCACATTTCCTCTGCGCGAAATCACGCGATCACCGAAGAAGGACTGCAATCGATGGATATTGACGTTGGTTGTGTGGCATGTTGCACCGTCTTGTTGGAAATAAACATCGTCCATATCCATTCCTTCAATCTGAGAACGTTCGGCGCGAAAAATGGTCGGCCCGACGCAGCTCTTGCATCAATTGGATCTTGTAGGCGTGTACATTCAAATCCTTGTGGAGAATGCGGAGTAAACTGGTTCTCGAAATGCCCAATTCTTGGGATCGACGCGTTGTTGATTGTTTCGGATCGTCTTTCACACTTTCCTTTACAACAGCAATATTTTCCGGTGTGCGAACGCTCCTTGGCCGGCCAGAGCCTGGCAGATTTGCCGCAGAACCTGTTGCCTCGAATTTACGCACCAGACGACCGATGGTTGTTTCGTTTGGGCGGTTGTTGCGACCGAAATGTTCACGAAGCGCGCGAAACGTGTTTTTTATTTTTGTCTTCAATCGAATACGACTCCATAGCGATCAATGGTAAACATTCAACTAACAAAATGACATGTCGGTGACAGAAAACAAAGATGGCGTCTATGTCAAATTGACGTTTACTTTCCTGCGTCCCTATTGGACAACCCTTTATAACTAAAAGCAACCCTCTTATTTTCAAAAATAAATTTAAATTTCAGACATCAAGTATAAGTTACGGTATTAGGCGAAAATAAGATCTTTCATTAGTAGTACCTAAAGCAACATTTGTGAAAGACTCATTTATAACGGCTCGAAAATTTATATCTACCTCCCTGATGGTATCAAAAGAATCAACAATTTGAAGATATTTCGCCGTGAACTTAAGAACTTCCTTATTTGTGAATCACATTATATCATGTCTGTTTACAGAGAAATCCATGTACCACTGACGTCATGATGTGTACGAGAGAAAAGTGCGAAATACGTGTGCTAGAAAGAGATAGAAGCACCAGGAACCCGAGTGACGAAGCCACATTACCTCGTCAGTGAAATATGGATTTCTCTGTAAGTGATTTTGTTTAGTTTTAAATTGGATTTGTTTTTTCTATACTCCAACTAGCACGAAGGCCTAAACACCAATGGGGTACTGTGTGGCTATAGGGGATACAGGGATGCCACATGAACATATGCGAGGGAACACATGTGCATGCAACACGAGATTCGCCGGGTGGTACCTCCGCGGTCGACAGTCAGAGACCGTCTACCACCTACGGACAATCACAACATCCATAGCCAAGAAAAAAATTCTCTTGGGACGGGATTCGGACCCGCGCGGCGCACGGCGACCGAAGAGGCTACCACTGCGGCCACCGCTGCTGCCTTCGTCGTTAATTCAATTCAATTCTTTATTTGTGTTAAGTACACCAGCGTGTTTACACAAGTCAAAAGAAAAACAAATTTAATACAAAAAAGCAGTCTGACAAAAGACTGATGTTCAAATTACATAGAGAAACATCAACTTATGACATTATGATTCAATAAAAACAGATACAGTCCATAAAAGTTGTAAAAACAGGAGGACATATATACGTACATAGATACACGCATATTCATTTAACCACAATATGTTTACTTCTACACACACACACGCACACATACATATATACACACATACACACATATACGTTAAAATGGTACGACATATGAAATGTTGATATAAAAATTTACCAGATGACTTAGTAGCAAGTTCAAGGAGCCTAGAGGATCCCAGGTGTAGGAACCTTGTTGTATTTGCTAACAATCCGACAAGTCTGAAAAATTGTTGCTCAAATACTCGTTGATCGAGTAAAATGCTTTAGTAGTCAGATAAGCATTAACTTTATTTTTAAAAACTTTCGCATCCAGTTTCTTTATACGGTCTGGCAACAGGTTATAAAAAACTATCCCATAATAGTTTGTGCCGTTCCTGGTGGTTTGGAGACGGCTATGAGGTACTAAGATTTTATCCATATTTCTGGTTTTATAACTGTGGACATCACTGTGGGTAGTATATTGGCTCAGGTTTAGTCTTTATATACATCAGACATGTGAAGATGTAAAGAGAAGGTACTGTCATGATTTGCAATTCTATAAAAGCTTCCTTGCAAGGTTCCGTGTATTTGAGGCCAGCAATGTACCGCAAGCAACGTCGTTGTAATCCAAAAACTTTTGACGAATGGGCCGAGTGACCCCAGTTTAACAATGCGTATGAAATTCTTGATTGAAAGTATGAATAATATGTTAGAAGAAGAACTGACTGAGAGACATTTTGTTTCAAGTTCCTTATCAAATATATATATTTTGCTAGTGCATTGAGAACATGGATTACGTGAGTTTCCCACGACAAGTGTTCATCAAGGTAGACTCCTAGTAACTTCACGGACTTTAGTGTATTAGTCTCGTGCTGCCTCAAGCTAAGAATAATCATCTGAGACTTGGTTTCATTGATGGTCAACTTATTAGCGGTTAACCAGTTTGCTAGTTTTCTTTCATGAGCTTCAGAGTCGAATATCAATGAGGCTAAAGAGGCATTGCTATTCATCAAGGTAGTGTCATCAGCGAATAGGATTAAGTTATTATTCACATTATAGTTAGTTATATCATTGACGTAAATTAAAAATAAAATAGTTCCCAATACCGAGCCTTGCGGTACCCCGTGAGCAGCGACTAACTGTGAGGATGATGAACCTTCAAAGAATACAAATTGGCGTCGATTACTCAAGTAAGATTTAATCATTGCAGTGGATGTTTCATGAAAGTTATAAAAAGGGAGCTTTTCCAACAGGATGTCGTGTTGCACACAATCTAAAGCTTTGGACAAGTCCAACAAACATGCTGCGCCATATAGGTTGTTTTCAAAAGTCTTGTTCACAAACTGAATAAAACTGTTAATAGCTGATGTGGTGGAACTATTTTTCCTAAAACCAAACTGTGTTGAGCAAAATAGATTATTGGCCTCAAGGTATTCATTAATTTGATCTTTCAACAATAATTCCAAAATTTTCGCAAAAATAGGTATTAAGGAAATGGGCCTGTAGTTGCATAACTCTTCAGTATCCCCTTGTTTGAAAATGGGTATAATTTTAGATAGTTTGAAAAAATGCGGAAAAGTATTACTTTCTATACACTGATTGAATAACTTGGTTAGAGGATATATGATGAGATTTTGCAAGGTTTTTACAATCCTGACAGTAAAGCCATATGGGTCAGTACTCTTTGAGTTTTTTAGTTTATTTATGGCAGTTCTCACATCATGATATGAAACTTCCCTGAATCGAAAGTGTGAACTATGAGTAGGATGATTCATATAATGCGATGGAGAAACATCGGATGGGGTAATTTTGTTTAAAAGTTTTTGTGCGATATGGGTAAAAAAGTCGTTGAATTGATGTGCTGTGAGAGATGTTGAGGAGTCCTGGTTGTGCACGTTCGGTTTAACATTCTTTATGATATTCCAAGCAACATGTTGTCTGTTGTTGGATTTATTAATGTAGTCATCATTGGCTTTAATCTTAGCTTTGACAATTTCTTGTCTGTAACTGTATTTAAATTGTTTCAAGCAGTCCGTACTAACTAAAGTAACATCGTCTTTATGAAGTTCTGTTAGGAAAGTCATAATCTCTCTCATATTTCTTATATGATCATTGAACCAATATTTACTACGGACAATCACAACATCCATAGCCAAGATAAAAATTATCTTGAGACGGGATTCGAACCCGCGCGGCGCACGGCGACCGAAGAGGCTACCACTGCGGCCACCGCTGCTGCCTTCGTCATTAAGAATGACTGTATTCTTCATTCAGACAATAAAACATATTTATCTATCTACTGGTATCTACTCACCCCATAATCCGTAAGCGCCAACGTATGCTTCCGCCCGCAACTGACGCTCAGCACCCTAACGCCCGCCTCTGCGAGTGCCCGGACCGGTTGCGGCGGGCTGCTCTGGGTCAGCATCGGCCCCAAACCGAGACATCCAGCTGCGGAAACGCCCATCGCGTACGCCACGTCGTTCCGGATGACCGCGGCGTGTTCGAATCCGCAACTTAGCGGGCGCAGATCGGGGATCGGAACCTTCGCCGAGTGCTCGGGAGAGGGCGAATCCGGAGGGTGGACGAGGTCCAGCAGTGACGAGTCGTAGCTGAAAATAGAAAATGTCAATGTCTCAGGAGTCTGCAATATATGCAATAACACTGATCAACAGCCAAAAAATATCCTAAATAAAATCAACAAAATATTACTATTTTTAATGTGCTAAAACCGGAATAAAACTTATTTTTTTCAATATTAGTTCAAGTTTTAGAGATACGGTAATTATATGTGTTCCTGCTGTGACAGTGTTAATATACTGTAATTCACAAGAATGCACGTGCTACATTTTTATATTCGGCAAGGAAAGATGATGTAATCGGCATGATTGTGTTACGTTATACATACGTGTACATTATATTGTTTTATATTAGCCATTTTTTCCTCAGTTGGCTGACAGCGTTCATACAAGATGTCTCGAAAGTGTGTAAACAATCCAGATCAGTTTTGTTACGTGTGTGGTGATGTGACTTTTGCCTCTCAGAGACGGTCTATTACTCCACTAATAACAAAGGCATATCAGCTTTATTTCGGTTGTAAACTTGGTGATCAAGACAAACAGTGGGCACCCCACATCTGCTGTAATACATGTGCTTCAAGTCTGAGGAGCTGGTTAAATGGCAAAAAACGGTCTATGCGCTTTGCTGTCCCAATGGTTTGGAGAGAGCCTACAAATCATATTAATGATTGTTACTTTTGCATGGTACCTTGTGTTGGACAAGCCACAGGTATGTCCAAGAAAAAAAAATCGGTTATTATCTACCCAAACATATCATCTGCGATGAGACCTGTGCCTCACAGTGACGAAAATCCTATTCCAAAACCCCCAGAATCCTACACTTGCGAATCAGAAAACGAATCAGATCATGGCGATCGAGTGATTCGTCAGGAAGAAGATATGCCATCAACGTCAAGAAATCCTGATTTTATACCGTCATCCCACCAACCGCACAAAATAACACAGTCAGAATTAAATGATCTTGTAAGAGATTTAGAACTTACAAAATGTAAGGCAGAGTTACTTGGATCAAGACTGCAGCAGTGGAACTTGTTAGAAGACGATGTTTCGGTATGTGTTTTTCGTAAACGCCACAAAGACTTAGAACCATTTTTCAATATGGAGAATAACTTGGTTTTCTGCAGTAACATTAACGGCTTACTGGCGCCTTTAAATATAAACTATAACCCAGAAGAATGGAGATTGTTTATAGACAGTTCAACATTGAGTTTAAAGGCAGTTTTATTGCATATTGGAAATATTTTACCATCTCTTCCTATAGGGTATGCAGTTCACATGAAAGAATCATATGACAATATGAAGTACCTATTGACATGCATAAAATACGATGAGCACCAATGGCAGATTTGTGGCGATTTGAAAGTTGTTGCACTTTTACTTGGGCTGCAGCTAGGCTACACAGAGTTTTGCTGTTTTTTGTGTGAATGGGACAGTCGGGCAAAGGCACTTCATTACACCAGACAAAACTAGCCTGTTCGTCAATTCCTAGAGCCAGGTCAAAAAAATGTACAGCATATGCCATTAGTAGATTCGAAAAAAATTTTATTACCACCACTGCATATCAAGTTGGGCCTAATGAAAAACTTTGTCAAGGCATTAGATAGAGATGGGTCAGCTTTTCAATACCTGCGTCAGAAATTTCCAAGACTAAGTGAGGCAAAGGTTAAAGAAGGTATTTCTGTTGGGCCACAGATTCGAAATATTTTGAAAGATACACAGTTTGAAAACACTTTAACAGGTATTGAAAAAACTGCTTGGGATGATTTCCGCCTGGTGGTCACTAATTTCTTGGTGAAATAGAAAAGCTGACAACTATAAAACCCTTGTCAAAAATATGCTGTCATCATATCAAAAGATGGGCTGTAATATGTCTCTTAAGATACATTTCCTACACTCACACCTGGACTTTTTTCCTGACAATTGCGGAGCCGTAAGTGATGAGCACGGCGAACGTTTTCATCAGGATATTTCAACAATGGAAAAAAGGTACCAGGGAAAGTGGAATCCTTCCATGCTTGCAGACTACTGTTCGACTCTTGGTAGAGATGCTCCAGAAGCGATCCATAAAAGAACAGCAAAAAGACAGCGCATATAGTGATTCTTATAAGTATATGAATCTTGTTACTTTTTTTGATAAACCCTTAAAAATAAAAAGTTTTTTTCTAAACCGCAACTAATTTTTTTATTTCATTGTCATTTTTGGATTCAGCGCCCCAAAATTAACAAAGAAGTGCACTTTTCCCACAAGATACAATTAAAAAACTAAAATTTGTTGTCCAGTGTAATTATAATTCCATAGCAGACAGTTCTAACATTAATTGCGATTGTATCAGCAAAATTTTGTCAAACTTCGGGGACTATTACAATGGCTAATTTTTTTATGTTCATTTTATGTAGTCCTTGTATGCACACTATTATTTAAGTTACCATTATAGTACCATGTAATTGGATCAGTATGTTGAGTAATTACACTGGTGAACAAGATTGAAATAATTTTTTGTGACATGGATAAAGCAATGTGGTTATTATGTAAAACGTACCCAAAAAGCCGGAAATAGCATTCGATTTTTTCTCTCACCCACGGTATTCTTGCAATAAGGCATTTTATTTGCTGCTTATACTCATAAAATATAAGGATATGCGTGTAGGAGTACTAACAAACACTCGAATAAACATTAATATCAGAATGTTGTTGTCGATGTTTTTCGGCGACATGTTGCTCCTGAAGTATCTCTTAACAATGTCCAGCAATAATCAGCAAGCAAATTGACACTCCATTTGCCTTGATACTGTTTTTCCATAGCAGAAATGGCTTGGTGGAACCATTCACCATGTTCATCACTTACCGCACCTACATTTTCCGGAAAAAAATCGAGATGAGAATCCAAAAAGTGAAGAGACATGTCCTTTATAAGCATTAAATAGTTCACTCACAATATCTTTATAATTGTCTGCCTTCAGATTGCCTAAAAAAATTGCAGTAACTGATTTAAAGCATTCCAAGCTTGTAATTCAGTTTCATTTAGAGCACTGTCAAATACATCATCCTTCATGGTTTTCCGTATTTGAGGACCCACAAATATGCCCTCTTCAATTTTTGCATCGCTAAGTCTCGGAAATGTTTGGTTATAAATGCAGAAATAATCTTCCATTTCGATCCATAGATTTCACAAAATTTTTCATCAGTACCAACTTAATATGCAAAAGTGGAAGCAACACGTTTTTGGGATCAACTAGTGGTTCATGAGCAATGTTTTTGAGGCCCGGAGTTAATACTTGACGTAGTGGCCACTCCTTTTGTTCATAATGACGATCTCGCGCACGACTGTCCCATTACCGTTGTGTACCAATACCGCTTTTAAATTAAGCTTAGAGGAATCAATGAACAGGCGCCAATTATTTGGATCATGTTTCTGTCCTAACGCGTCAAACAAATTGTTGACAACGAAGCAATATATCAACTCCCTTTCTTGACGGAAACAGAGTGTGAGGTCTTGTTGCCGTTTTCGGTAAAAAGTACCACGGAGAAGATTCCATCCTTTTAATCTTGACGCTAAAAGTTCTGACTGGGATCTTGACAGATTTAATTCTCGAACTAAGTCATTAAGTTCGCTCTATGTGATCAAATGCGGCGCTGTTGAACATCCTGGCAGGTCAAACGAAGGGTCGGAAATTTTTACGCTTTCTGTACCATCACTTTCAGAATCGGTGGATTCGACTTTTTCATCCAAACACCAAGATTCTGGCGAAACTGGGACAGAAAGTTCATCACTACGCTTAACGGGCCGCAAAGCTGATAGAAAATTAAAATACTTAACAGTATATTTCGATTTTGGTTCAATAGCTTTAATATTTGTGAAGCAAAAATAGCAATCAGTAGTATGGTACCAATGGTTCTCTCCACCAACCTGTTAACAACGTTACACAAGTCTTACAACATATATGAAGGGCCCACAGTTTATCTTGGTCGCCAACTTTAATTCCAAAATAAAGTTCGTATGCTTTCAACACAAGGGGAGTAAAAGTACGTTTTTGGGATTTAAAAGTTAGCTCTGCGCACACATAACAAAAACTGTTCGCACTATTTACACAATCTCTAGTCATTGTCCAGAAAGCTAGTCTCGATCACAGTAAACTAAAAACAACACACCGTTTTAACAAAAATTAACAGTACTCAGAACATCTCAGTACTCTTCAACGCAGAAAACGTAACTGACTCGGCTGCTATTAGTCTACTAATAAACGCAATATGCTCTCTAAACATAGAGCTCGCATATAATAAACAGGAATAGACAGGTCTTAACATTATATGTGTGCGTCATCGCATAAACGCCGAGAACCGCAGCAATATGTATTGTCATTCATAAAAGTAGATGTTACCGAAGATCTGTGGGCGATAGAAAAATTCTGTTTTTAGATTTGATTGAAGGGTCTCAAATTACATAAGATACACCCAAAAATTGTCATGTCACAAATCCTGTTATGTATAAATAAATATATAAATAAACGAAGGAAAAAGGAAATCCCATAATATGCTGCAACTCTCCAAGAGGTGGCAAGTCTGTCATATAACTATCTTTGCCCTCGATTTTTCCTTTAATAACTGCAAATAAAAATCTCTGAGATCTGAAAGAAAATTCTGGTTACACTGAATCAAAAGTTGTAATTACCACTTGAAACGAAAAACTGAAGCTGAAGTTGAAATACTTCTCCAAGTTTCGTGGAACCTGGTTGAAAATTTAAATGAAGGTGTACGGAGTCCTGAGTTTATGATATCTACAATTTCCGAAATAAAATCGTATGCACATATTTTACAGAAGTAATACATTTTGAGGGCAGATGAAAAGGTTTTTCATATAGAGAGGCAAATTTCTTAGGTGGTAGGCGGTCTCTGACTGTCGAACGCGGAGGTACCACCCGGCGGATCTCGTAGGCGGGGCCAGAATGTGTGCATGTCGCATGCACACGTGTTCCCTCGCCAGAGTCCGGGTGGGGTTCCCCCTTTCCCCTATAGCCCCACGGTACCCCATGTCTGTTTAGGTCTTAGGCTTTAGTGGTGGTTGGAGTATAAAAAAAACCTAAAGTCGATGGCTGGCTGTTCCACGCAAACTCGGCCTGGATATCTTCTGGTAGCTGATGTTATTAAATGGTCTTAACCTATAGTTTCCAGTGCACTCACCTTGTTTTCTCAGTCTTCCACGTCAAGTACACCGCCACAGTGAGGAAAGTCTCGATCATGTCTCGAACGGTAACATTACTCCTATCCGGGTTATCCAATTCCAGCATTTCAATGGTCGTATCCAAACTGGAGGAATGTTTGTTGGAATGGAACATCCGACTGACAAGCGGCACCGCGCACGGCTGACTCGGGTCCAATTGAGCTGCCAATCGGTAGAGTATTTCCACAGGAAATGCGGCTACATGCGTACGGATGTACTGGAATATCACCTGAGAGCATTGACCTAGAATGACGACAGCGATCATCTACTATTTTTGGATACTTAAGCTGCTCGACATAATAGGCTAGTTGACACTTCTTTAAGTAGGTCTTAAACAGTTAGAAGGACACCTCCTTTAAATGGACAGTTTCTCAACTCTCATATAATTTGCATTGTATTAATTCTCTCTTGGACAGACATTCTCATGAACGGACGCGGACACGAGAAAATGTTCTCGTAACCGGACAAAAGACAAAATAAAAATGAAACGCCTTGACTTATTTTTTTCTGATGAGAGTATCGCAATTGTAACCGGGGATTAAGCACCACAAATGCGTCAACTTTTGGCTATTATTTCAGAAGTACTGTTATGCATTTTTCAGTAAAAGAAATGTAGAAATAAAGATTTCTGACTTTTTTGTAATAACAAATTGAAAGTCACGGCAAATTGACAAAAAACGCTTGACAGCTCGTTAAAAAAGTCCATGTTTCTGAAAAAAATTAGTAACAATTGAAACTTGCAGAAACCGTTGAGCATTTTTGGATGTTTTTTTTTATGTTAAGAAATTATTGAATGGTTTCCTTTTCATAGATTTTCAAGTTTTTCCAAGATGATCAGAGTGTGCGCTTGGTGCTTTATAAATAAGTGCCGAGAACCTCGTGTTTACAATACTTATTTAACGGTCGAGGAATTGAACAGGGCCAAGACTTGCTTGCTCAAACTGTCTCAGGAACAATCCCTTCACGAGGAACTGCGCAATTTAAAGAAAAATGGGGAATGCAAAGGTGGTAAGTTACGAAAACTTAATCCCTTCCTTGGTTCTGACGATATCCTTAGGGTCGGGGGTAGACTCCAACTTTCTGGAGCACTCTATGAGAAAAAACATCCCGCGCTTTTGTGTAGTTCTCATATATTTACAAAATTACTTTTCTCAGAACGACATGGTAGTCTTCTTCATGCAGGCCCTCAGCTTTTGCTGGCATCGCTTCGAGAAAGCTTTTGGCCAATTGGGGGGAGAAATTTAGCTCGAAAAACTGTTCGTACATGTTTAAAGTGCTTCAGGAACTCCTCCCCAGTGCAGCAATCTCCTATTATGGGAATTCTCCCACGTGAACGCGTGGTACCTGCCTCTCCTTTCTCCAGTGTAGGTGTGGATTGTGGAGGACTTTTTTTAATTAAAGATCGTAAGGGCCGTGGAGCGAAAAAATCTGAATGTTACATATGTTTTTTTGTTTGTTTATGTACAAAGGCTGTACATATAGAGCTAGTCACTGAATTGACTACCGAAGCATTTTTAGCAGCCTTCAGAAGGTTCACTGCTAGGCGAGGTGAAGCAGTAAATGTTTACTCGGATAATGGAACAAATTTTGTGGGTGCGCGCAACGAACTTAGAGAGTTGGGCCTTTATCTGAAACAAAATCAAAATTATTTGTGCGAGTCGATCGAAAATGATAATGTGTCGTGGCATTTCATCCCGGCATTAGCTCCGCACTTTGGTGGAATCTGGGAAGCCGGAATTAAGTCATGTAAAACTCATTTAAAAAGAACTTTAGGTGATGCTTGTTTTTTTTTTATATCGAAACAGCCGCGCAGGCAGAAGCCTAAATGCCGGAACACCGCGGCTGCTATGATGATCCCAAAGAAATTTTGTTAATACGATTTTTGAACTGCCTAAGGTTAGTAGAACTGGGAAAAGCTTCCTCCCGTAGATTGTTCCACAATCTAGACACCCTCGGGACAAAGGAGCGGTCGTATCGGCCAGTTCTGGATGTACGAAGTTTGACACGGTTAGGATGGGACGCCGAAGTCAGGCGAGTCTGTCTGGCAGGCACATCGCGCGGCGGCATCATGGAAGAGAGCTCTGAGGAGCAAAGCCCGTTGGTGTAGCGATAGAAAAGAGCTAGATCGCCGACGGCCCGCCGGTGCGAAAGAGTCCCGAGACTGTCTGTTAGGGAAGAGTCATCGATCAGTCGGACCGCCCTCCTCTGGACAGCATCGAGCATGGACAATGTAGTCGGGGCGGCAGCACCCCAAATGTGTGAGCAATACTCGAGGCTAGGCCTTATCTGGGCCTTGTATAGAGTGAGAAGGTCATGCGGAGAAAAGTACTTCTTAGCCCTAAACAAATAGCCTAGCTTTTTCCCAGCAGCTGCAGCTATTGAAGAGATGTGTTCGTGCCAGATCAGTTCCTCGGTGATCTGGACTCCGACCAGCCGAAATGAATGGCTCTTTGGTAGAACTCGACCGTCCATCGAAACTGTATGAGCGCTAGGACGCTTTTTGTTCGTCAAAGTACAGTACTGTGTCTTGGAAGCATTGAACTGTACAAGATTGTTGCGTCCCCAAGCAGTGATAGCTTCCAGGTCTCTTGTCAGAGAAGAAGTCGTCGCTAGTCTTCTTTTTTCCAGCTCAGCGGCAGAGATCGGCTTGTCACTCTGAATTCCTGCATGTAGAGTGCTGTCATCAGCGAAGCTGTGGATTGGGTTGATCGTGCAGGAAAGGAGGTCGTTGATATGTAAGAGAAACAGTGTTGGAGCCAAGACCGATCCCTGGGGAACACCCGCGTTGACGTTGTGGGATGAAGAGGAGAATCCGTCAATTACGACGGATATCTTGCGGCCAGAGATAAAGTCAGCCACCCATCTGCAAAGCTTTTCTGGGAGGCCGTAGGATGGAAGTTTGCTTAAGAGGGCAGCGTGCCACAGCTGATCGAACGCTTTCGTGATGTCAAGAGCAACGACATGAGCCTCACCATGAGACTGGATGAGTTTACTCCACAGTTGCGTGACGTAAGCTAGGAGGTCCCCTGTGGATCGTTGGTGCCGGAAACCGTACTGCCTGTCGCTAATCAAGCTGTGACGTTCGAGGTAGTCCAGAAGCTCGCGATTTATGCACCTCTCCATCACTTTACTTATAACAGAAAGCAGAGCTATAGGCCTGTAGTTGTAAGGGTCGGTTTTAGATCCTTTTTTTGGGATGGGCTGTACATGAGCAAATTTCCAGTTTTCTGGGAAGGTGCCGGATTCATAAGATATCTGGAAGAGACGCGAAAGAACTGGAGCAACTCCGCTGCACATCTCTTCAGTACAATGGCAGGAATCAAGTCCGGACCAGAAGCTTTGTTGATGTCGAGCGACAAGAGCACTCGTCTTACGGTCTTATGCCTGAATGTTACCTCCCGCATAGTGTGGGGAACCCTTTGAATTGACGGCACTTGGGCGTTGGTAGGGACGTCCATGGTGGAGTTGGCAGCAAAGATCTTGGCTAGCACTTCCGCCTTGGCCTTTGAGTCGAATACAATAGTTCCATCCTGACACGTAAGTGGTGGAAGGCTACTGTGTGAGAAGTTCTTTTCAATCTGCTTGGCCAGTGTCCAGAAAGACCGACTGCCATTGCGCTGCGACATTACCCTGTGCCTAACTTTTATATCATGCTGGCTTTTGGCATTGCGAATCGCTTCGTTATATTTGTTTCTTGTTTGACATTTGAAGGATTGTATACAGTTTTAACGGAAATCGAGGCCATCCTCAATTCTCCCATTTCCAGTGATCCTAGTGACCTCACCGCCTTGACTCCCTCCCATTTTTTGATCGGCAGACCACTTACCTCATTGCCCGAACGCGACTTGAAGCCCATACCACAGAATCGTCCGTCTTACTACCAGAGGCTTAAACAATTGAAACAGCACTTTTGGACTAGGTGGTCTCTCGAATATATTTCGGAGTTGCAAGTGCGATCAAAGTGGCACAAAAACCTTGAAGTGCTTCGTGCGGGTGATCTAGTGCTTGTAAAAGATCATAACCCTCCCTCACAGTGGTCGTAGGGCAGAGTTGAACAAGTGCATCCGGGACCGGATGATGTGGCAAAAGGACTCTTTAAACGAGCCTTTAGCAAACTGTGTGTGTTACCAATCAACTGAATTGTAAAACCATATATGGATTGTACGGTCTATGTATTTAGGTTAGCACTCTGTCATATTGAAATACTTAAGTTACTTATGTCAGGTTTTGATATATTTAAGTTTGAAAACCTAGGGCTTTCAAGGTCGGGGGTATGTTGTGGCCGACTTGTTTTACTTTGTAGTTTTTAGACGTGGCAACAATGTAAGTTGAGTATTCAGCATTCGCATATCTAACCGCCGACGTTTACGTACGTGCTCTGGGAAAAATACAAAGCTTGTGAACAAAATCGTGTATTAAACCCCAAAACCTCAAACAAAAACCAAACAGCCATTATTTTTATTATTTACCGCGATGCATTTTCCAGTAAAAGATAAATGTAGAAATAAAGATTTCTGATTTCTTGCAGAAACGGTTCAGCATTTTTAAATGATTTTTTTTTAAGTTAAGCACCACAAATGCGTCGTCGTTTGGCTAGGTTGTCGGAAAAGTCATGACGTAAATGCAACAAAGTATGCAATTGCATGGTTGGAAGTACGTGAGTCAATGACATTTGTATGTTGATTGTGTAGTTTGACAGTTGACACTTCAAGATTCATTTGCACCAAAAAATTAAGTGATTTATTTGAGTCTCGTCGATTTTGGAGGACGTTGAAGATGGACGACCAAACTGTGCATTTTCGTCACATTTTGCTGTATTACTTCCGCAAAGGCAAGAACGCAAGACAAGCGTGTGAAAAGTTGAGAAAGGTTTATGCACTACAAGAACGGCAATGCCAGAGATGGTTTAAAAAATTCCGAGATGGGGATTTTGATATCCATGACGCACCTCGATCAGGGCGGCCTACTGAGTTGGATAGTGACGAATTAAAGGCATTGGTAGGAGCAAACCCACATTACAGCACACGGGAAATTGCAGAAACCTTAAAAATCCATCATTCAACCGTTCACGACCATTTGAAGAAACTGGGATACGTAAGCAAACTCGATCGTTGGGTACCACACGAACTGAGAGAGGTTCATTTGACGGCGCGTGTAGACATCTGCGATATGCTCCTTAAACGTGAGGAAAACGATCCTTTCTTAAAGCGCTTGATAACGGGAGATGAAAAGTGGATTGTTTACAACAATGTGGTTCGCAAACGGTCTTGGTCCCGAAGTGTAGATACGCGTAACACGATCGCGAAAGCAGAGAGTCATCAGGAAAAGGTGATGCTCTCTGTTTGGTGGGATTTTAAAGGGATCGTGTTTCCATCGATACAACTGTGTATTGTCGGCAATTGGACAGTTTGCAACAATCCATCATGCAAAAACGTCCGGAGCTCATTAATCGCAAAGGAGTTGTGTTCCACCATGACAACGCGAGACCGCACACAAATTTGCTCACTCGTCAAAAGTTATTGGAGTTAGGATGGGATGTGTTACCACATCCAGCATACTCGCCTGATCTTGCCCCATCTGATTTTCATTTGTTTCGGTCGCTTCAAAATTCCTTGCGAGAAATACGCTTTACTTCAGATGAAGCTGTACATCAGCACCTTGTTCAATTTTTTGCCGGTAAAGACAAATCCTTCTACGAGCGAGGAATTATGAAGCTGCCTGAAAGATGGCGAAAGGTCATCGATCAAAATAGGCAATACATTATTGATTGAAGTTTGTGATGTATATGAATAAAATGGCCTTAAAATAAACAAAAAAAAGCGTCATGACTTTTCCGACAACCCCAGATTCACCGTTATGTATTTTCCAGTAAAAGATCAATGTAGAAATAAAGATTTCTGACTTCTTTTTGTAATAACAAATTAAGCGTCACGGCAAATTGGCCAAAAACGCTGGACGTTAAAAAACCCCATTTTTCTGAAAAAAAAAATTAGTAACAATTGGAAACTTGCAGAAACGGTTCAACATTTTTAAATGTTTTTTTTTTTGTAAGTTAAGCACCACAAATGCGTCGTCGTTTGGCTATTATTTCAGATTCACCGTTATGCATTTTCCAGTAAAAGATAAATGTAGAAATAAAGACTTCTGACGTCTTTTTTTGTAATAACAAATCAACCGTCACGTCAAATTGACCAAAAAAGCTGGTCAGCTCGTTGAAAAAGTCCATTTTTCTAAAAAAAATTAGTAACAATTGGAAACTTGCAGAAACGGTTCAGCATTTTTAAATGTTTTTTTTTGTAAGTTAAGCACCACAAATGCGTGACGTTTGGCTATTATTTCAGATTTACCGTTGCCTTACAGCAAATTGACCGTGTAAAGTATTATTTTGAATGTATTTCCATTCAAAACGTTTCCAATTTTTTTCCAATTTTGTCGTTTAATAAAAAAGTTAGCCTCCAATTTTATCAACGAAACGCCTTTTTCGTATACCCTCAAGAATACAATTTCGTTGTAAAACAGCTTATTACAATGTTCTTCTCTCAAATTCTAGATATCCCGGTCTAGACAACCTTAAACCTAAAACGACACAAGTAAAAAATAAAATACCTAAAATAAGTAAACTTTGCGATAGACTAGGTTCCGACAGAGCATATACAAATTCTCTGTCCGTAGGCTTTGGTGCTCTGGCACTTTGTAGGATTTGCCCCATAGCTGAAACCACTTCTGGCTGCAATCCACGCGTCGTGGCCAGCAAACTAACAACGTTCCAATGACCTGCTTGGCAGGCTACATTAACAGCTAATATTTGATCATAATATTCCTCATAACACAGAAAGTTCCTGGAAAATAAAACATATTGTCAACTATACTACAACTATTTAAAACTGTAATGACTCATACGCGTGATCAACACGTGATCAGAGCTCGATCCCGGCTTCCTTCCAGTACAGCCGCATAGCGTACGACATATGTCGTTTCTGCGGCTTTGCGGTGGTCAACAGCATAGACAGAGATGGAAATAATGGCTGATTGTTCTCCGCCGGTAGAACCAATGAAATCAAAGACGCGCCTCGACCGGCAGACTCATAGGCGTCGGCAACGCATTGGAACGTGTTTCGTTGAGCGATCGCATATTGTGTGTTTTTATAAGAATTGTTGTGTGATTGTTATTGTTGTGGTTTCTGTGGTTACTGTTTTGGTTATACTTAACCATGGAGAGTACAAATGGCACGAGTGGAAGTACTGAAAGCCAGGGAACAAGTAGACGGCTTCGTAAAGCACTGGAGAGGGACGCGAAAGAAATCGTGCTCAACGTGTTCAATTATCTGACCAGAACTATGTCGCAGGGAGATGCACTCGCGCGTTGTGAAAGTATGACAGGCGTTCCAGAGTGGATCATTCGCAGGGTGGTGCATGAAAAGAAGAAAACTGGAGCTACTACTGATCCAAAGTTTAATTTGAAGGGACGAAAGGCCGTTAAATTGGATGACGATAGCAAAATGGCGTTAAGGCGAACCGCACATTCATTCTTCTTTAGGAATGAGATACCAACCCTCAAGGCTGTACATGCAGCGATCAAGGAAAATGAAATTATACCCCAAATGAGCGTCGAGGTAATGAGGAAATCCCTGCACGAAATTAATTTTAGTTATGAAACGAGTAATCGGAAGTCAGTATTGATAGAGAGACCTGAAATAGTCGCCTGGCGTCGAAAATACCTACGCGAAATGATTGAATATAGGCGACAAAGCAGAAAAATCTATTATTTGGACGAGACATGGGTGAATGCAGGTCACACAGTTAAAAAAACCTGGATAGACAAAAACGTAGTGAGTAACCGACAAGCAAGCATTGAAGGTTTGTCAACAGGTCTTCGTGGACCGTCAGGGAAAGGTCAAAGATTGATCGTAACTCATATTGGTAGCGATAGTGGCTTTTTAGAAGAGTGTGACTTGATTTTCGTCTCTAAAAAAGGAGGTGATTACCATGACGAAATGAATGCCAGCTGCTGCGAGAGCTGGTTTCAAGGGCTGCTTCAGCGAGTTGAGCCCATTTCTGTGATCGTCATGGATAATGGTTCCTACCATAGTCGTCGAGCCGAACGTGTACCGACTATGGGATCTCGAAAACGTGACATGCAGCAATGGTTGCGCGAAAAAGGAATCCCGTTTGACGATTCATGTGTGAAAGCGGAATTGTATGAAAAAATTAAACAGCACAAACCTGCGAACATTAGTTACGTGACTGATGAGATGGCCCGTCAATGTGGTGTCACTGTGCTGCGGTTACCGCCCTACCACTGTAAACTGAACCCAATAGAGCTCATCTGGGCTCAAGTGAAGGGTTATATTGCGCGCCATAACACAACCTTCAAATTACCAGACGTTAAGGTTTTACTTGAGACTTCCATACAGCTAGTAACGCCCGAACCATCATAGAGCCAGTTATAATCAATTTCAACGAGGAAAGCGATAGCGACAGTTTATTACTGTCAGATGTAAGTGGAAGCGACGATGAATAAAGGTATTTTCCAAATTTTTGACTTACAATATGTTTCAAACCACTCTTTATTAAGCATGTGACAAATCTAGTTCACCCATGTTAAACATTCATACCCCGCCTATGAACAGCCGACTACTGGTAGTTAAGTGATGTTCACGTGAACATCGATGAGTCACTACAGTTTTAGATAGTTATAGTATAGCAAAAACGCACGGCTCCGCACACATAGAAGTAGTGAAAAGTATACGTCTTGCATTACTTTGAAAAAGATTAGTTTCCGAGAAAGAAATACAATATTTAAAGTAATGCAATAGTTACTTTGGCAATGCATACTTTTATGCAAAAATATATAAATGTGAACGATCAGCATCAAGTTTGAGCCATAACTGACTGCGTCAATCGTGAAATATTGTTAAAAAAAAACTACATGGTTACGGAATTACTGGCAGTTCTCTCACAAGGGTGAAATCTTCATTGGAAAACAGGTCACAATATGTATTTTTATTACTCAAGTACGGTACAGAAATAAAGTCCGGTCTTCATGCGTTGATATTGATATGCGAGTCCGCAAGGATCTATATTAGGGCCTCTCATATTTATACTGTATATTAATGATCTGGGTGAACTGTTCGATGGCGAAGTAAAGAGATGCGTAGAAAAAAATCGCTTAAAGATCAACGTTTCTAATGGTGAATCCGTTTTTTCAAATAAAAAATTCCTTGTGCCATGTGGGAACCCTATTTTTGAAACCACCCTCGTATAACGCATTAATCTTTTCTTGAATGTATACTCACATAAAATCTTTGGTATTGGATACCCTTTGTTGCCCACCATATCTTAATATCAGCTCTGTATAAGCCATCACAGCCAAATTGCCGATGTGTATTTTCGTCGCTATTGACATATCCACTTTACTAGCACTCAAACACAGGTGAACAAACTTCAGCAGAGTTTTACAATCTGCCGACACAGCCAATTTCAATACCTATAACAAGAACGCACTAGCTTGTTTATATAGCACGATTGCTACAATTGCATTCTTTTAAAAGAACTACAACAATTACATTACAAATATTTAGAAAAACAAAACTTGCATCTCTAAGAATTTTCACTGTTCATGTACGAAAATTGTACGTAATTTGTGAACTTTCCGCGTACCTTTCTCCATTTTTGTAGTGAGTTTTCACAATAATTAAAGGATGCTCGTTTGAATACTGTTGTGGACACGACAGCTGTCATCGAGTAAACACCACGCTATTTTTACAAAAAAAAAATCGCGGCATATTCAAATCCGGTGCTCTTGTTGAGACACCCTAGATTATTATTGCAATTTTGTAAATTAAAATCTATATTTTCTCTTGTATAAGACTTGTGGTAATGGTTATTTGATTCTATGTAATGTTGTGGAAAACGATGAGTTTTTAATTTAGATATAAAAATAACAACAAAATATTATAATTTTTCATATTTCACCCAGCAGCGATTAGTGTTTACAGTGTTAGCACTAACATTATAAACATTGCACTTTGATACGAGAGAAAATGCAACTGTCAAAATTATGTAATTATGTGAAATACCAAAAGAAAAGTGCCATTTTGGAGGGGGTTACAGATTTACACGAATTCACGATTTAATTATCAACCTATTGAACAGTTTATTAGCTCCGCGCGAAAAAAAAATAATCTGAGACACCAAAAACTAACGGATCGTTGAATAATTGTTGGATTTATGTAGTAGTAAACTAGGTCCACTACTATTTATTTTATACATTAATAAATATTTTAGATTATTGTAAACTTCAGATATTTGCAGATGATACATTAATATACATATCAGATGAAAATATAGACACTGCTTTAAAAATGCTAAATTCTAACTTGGCAAAAATCGTAAATTGGTTGAATGTAAATAAACTAAAATTGAATACTTCTAAAACAAAATGTACGCTAATATGGAAATACCTAAATGAAAATACTATCACAGTTAGGATTAATGGAGAAATAATTGAAATGTTGAATCAATTAAATATTTAAGTATATATATTGATATTAAACTAAAGTTTGAGGATCACTTCGAATACATTATTTCAAAAATTGCCAAAAAAAACAAATTACTTTTATAGGGCATCTCATAGTCTTAGTACCTATTCCAAGAGTTTATAATACAATTATTCTACCGCATTTACTATATTGTTCAACTATCTTGTTCACTGCCAATGAAGCTGTATTCTCAAAACTTCAAGTCTTGCAAAATAAAGCTATGAGAATAATATTGAATAAAAATAAGTACACCAAAATAAAATCTATGTTTCAAGACTTGCAGTGGTTGAATATAAAAAATTTCATATAATATTTGGATCTTATTTTTATATTTAAAATAAAAAATCATCTTTTGCCAGAACATTTAGAACACTACATAGAATTGAATAATCATTATCACAATTATTATACAAGAGGAAATATAGATTTTCATTTACAAAATTGTAATAGTAATTTAACTAGCAAATCAATATTTTAGAAAGGATTACTTGAATTTAATAAACTAAATAATGATATAAAGTCTACTTGTAATTTAAAGATATTTAGGAGACACAGGAATATTTCATGGAAAATGAAAATTCATAGAGATGCAATTTTTTGATACTAGATTTTTTGAGGATCCAGCAAAACCTTCTTCCCGGATCATTTAAATGTTTGGGTATATATGTGGATCATTATTTCAAACATATCAAAACATATAAATTACTTCTATATGGATTCCCACAATCTTAGTATGTATTAAAAAAATTATGTAAAATACTATAAGTCTTCCCCATTGTTTGTATTGTTCAAGGATCTTGTTTACATCAAATGAAAACATATTTTCAAAATTCTACACAATGAAGTTATGAGATTTGAATAAAAACAAATATGCTAGGATTAAGTCTATGTTAGAAGAAATACAGTGGTTGAATGTTAAAAATTCCATAAGTTATTTAGTTCTCATTTTCAGATTCCAATTAAAAAAATCATTTATTACTACCACATTTAGAAAAATTTACGAAATTAAATAGTCATTATCATAACTACGAAACTAGAGGCAGTATAGATTTTCATCTGCAAAATTGTAATAGTAGCAAATTTGTATTTGAAAAGGGAGTATTTGAAATTGATAAATTGAATAATGATATTAAACAGTTTTGGAATTTAAAATTGTTTAAGGTGAAACTAAAAAATCACTTTATGAATACTCAAAATGCATAGTGATGTAATTTCAATAAACGAGAATGTAATAATTACAGAAAATTGATTAAAAAATGTGTAGACGAATAATTATACAAAAATGGGATTGTAGTATTAATGCTAAATAAATCATAAATTCTGCGTTTTGCATGTATATTTTAGATTAATACTTCTTCTTATTTTCAGCCGAAATGACTACTAAAAACGTGCTGAAAAACTGTTTCGAAATTTTGGGATATTCTGCATTAAATTGGATCAATTGTTCACTGAGAGGCAGTTCTTTCCCTGAAAATTTGAAATGCTCTACAATAACACCAGTTCCCAAAATAAAAAATTCTAAAAGATGCAGCGATATGAGACCAGTAAATGTGTTACCAGACATTGAAAAATTATTAGAGTCCATAGTGCATGACCAATTAATGCAGTTTATAGAAGAAAACAAAATTTTAGTGGAGGCGCAAGCAGGCTTTCGAAAAAAATATTCCACAGAAACAGCTTTCCAGTTGGTAACTGAGAATTGGAGAAGAGCCATAGACTCAGATGAAGTTGTCATAGCAGTATTTTTGGATTTGAAGAGGGCATTTGAAACGATTGATAGAGATATTTTGTTAGGTAAATTGAAGGCATATGGTATAACAGGAAGTGTTTGTTATTTGTCTAAAAGGATGCAAGTTACAAAAGTTAATGACACTATTTCATCAAAAATTGAAAATACGTTGGGTGTTCCACGGGGCAGTATCCTGGGACCACTTCTTTTTATTTTATACATAAATGATTTACCTGCCATAATCAAAAAATGCAAAATTCAGATTTTCGCTGATGACACTATGATTTATATAAGTACTAAAAATATTCAGTCTGGTATCTCTTATATAAATGAAGACTTGAAGCTTGTCTCAAAATGGTTAGCATCTAACAGACTTAAATTAAATGCAAGTAAAACGAAAGCCTTGTTAATCGGAAAAAAACAATGTACAAATGTTCAACTGAATATTGATGGTGAAGATATTGAATTCGTAGAAAATTTTTTTAAATACCTGGGGGTTTTTGTTGACTCTCGATTAATTTTTGATATTCATTATGAAAAAGTTATAAATAAGATTAGTAGTAAAGTGGGATATTTATCGAGAGTTTCTGGATGTCTGAGTTCATATGGCAGAAAAATTATCTATAATACCATCATTCTTCCAAATTTCTTGTACTGTTCGACTATTCTATATTTAGCAAATAATTCCATTTTTGAAAGACTGCAAATTTTACATAACAAGTGCATGAGAATAATACTAAATAAAGATAAATATACTCCAATTAGGCAAATGCTTAGCAAATTAAAATGGCTCAATGTAAAAAATTTTATCAAATATCTTGTAATGATATTCATTTATAAAGTAAAAAATAATATATTTCCATCAAGTCTAACTAATTTAACATCATCAAATGTCGACCACCATTTACAATACCAGAAATAAAGATGACTTCCATTTAATGACCAAAAAGTATACCATATGCTACAAATCTGTATTCCATCAAGGGTTGATTGAATATAATAAATTATACTCGGAGATAAAAGACCAGAAACCTTTGAAAAAATTTAAAGTAAAATTGAGAAATCACTTGTTAAATCTAAAATTATAGGTTGCCCAGCATTTACATCATACATTATATGGCTTGAATTTACTAGTTCTAAGTTGTTTACAATTGTTCTGTTTATGTAGCCAAATGTGCTAAATAAATCTTTCTACTACTACTACTAACAGAAAAAAAATGTAGCAATAAAAAGGGTAAACATAAAAAACCGACTAATAAAAAACTTACCCTTTTCAATAAGTGCACTTTAGCCTGCTTATACAAAATTATCCCAGAATGGTATGACCCTCTGGATATCAGAAGATCACCGCAACCTTCTAAAAGTTGCTGTATATTCAATCCGAATATAAGCGATATTTTTTCAGCTCGTTCTAAATCGTTTTCATCAGTCACGTATTCGACAAATGTTTTTATTGGAGAGCATCTAAAAACAAGATCTGGGATAAAGTATATACTTGACCAGGTAACTATTTCCAGTAAATCACCACTTGAACGGAAAAGGAAGGAAAATATGCATTTCTAAAGAAGGAGGAAAAAAATTTGACTAGCTGTACTAAACCTGAAAACTAAAATCTTGGAGCTTCAAAATAGTATTTTTAAAAGTCTAGATACGACCATGTCTTACCAATATAGAGCCTGTCAAAAATCACCGAAAAATTTGTATTTTTTCCTTGAACCCTTAATTTTTTTTGAGCATTGTACAAATGTTAAATCCTCCAGTGAACATCCCTCTTACATTGGCGGGTAGATCAACCCGTCAAACGACTCTCAGCCCTCAATGATCTTTTATAAATATGAATCATAATCATACCTAATACTTATTTTATACACCGATCTTTGCGTTACAACAACGCACGTATCTATCCTAGGTTTCTGTATATTCAAATCGTCAACAGTTTTCGGTAATTCGAACAGCTTGTCTTTCTTTCCGTCATCGCGATTCTTCTTCAGTCTAATTGCGGAAAGATCGGACAGTTTGAACATTTGCAAGATCCTCTTGTCGTTTTCCATGTAAAACTGTGCAACCAACGCTTCGTTGTTAAACTCCTAAAAATGAATTTTGTACAGAACGCGCATGGATGATGAAAATCAAATACTTCTTTAGTAATTTGTTTCAATATTTTTTGTTGTAGGCCAGGTTATAAAGAATTTGAGAAAATAACTGTAATAAGCTGTTTTAAAACGGAATTATACACTTTTTAGCTTATACTCAAATAGTAATGAGTTATTGATGTAAGTGGTCATAAAAAGTTGTTGGGGATGGAAATATCTTCAGTCGTCGTCCTAATAGTGAGACGTCACAACCAACCACCGGTCGCGCCATTAAACGGTGTTAATTGTCAAATTTCAATCAAGAAAAAAAAATGGAAACATTTTGATAAAACTTTTACACTCACCGCATCCCCTTCTAGTCTACACTCCGATAATTGTGCGCTTAAAACAGATATAATCGTATTGTCATCATTCACTGTGTATATTAACCTATCCGTCAACAAAATGGCAGAGGTCCTTTGTGGTAACTTGTGCACGTATAATGGGGCTGATTCTACATCAACTGCATGCACCTGTGGATAATAATAATAATGATATTTATTCTTTAGCGAATATTATTGGCACAAAAATGTACGCCACTGCCTTTTTTGTGACTAATATTTGTTGTTTGATCGAGATATTTTAATACATAAAACTTTTTACTGAAAAGGTATACTTTATCTGAAGTCACTTGAAATAGCATAAAAACCTTTGGTCGGCGCGTCCTTTGTAATTTCATGACGTATCATAGGCGTGCGGTCATTTATTTAGAACGATAATAATAATGTTTTTATATCACAATAAATGGATTTTACTATCTTCTTATTTTTTTATTTGGGATAAAAAATACTTATACTGGGAGTTTAATGTATGTTGACTGAAAGTTAAGAAATGGAAAAATTACAGAATTCCAACGTTTGACATAGGCAAATATTTACATAGCAGGTAGGTATATAAAAAGGTATATAAAGACTTACACTATAGGTATTTATATATCATCCTCGCCTTCGGAGCTATCGCTAGAGTCAACTTGTAGAGGAATTACAACGGGATTTACAGGAGGCAAAACACAATATTCATTTTCTTTTTCAATAATATGGCTAGAACACTGCTTCCATAGGTCTGAGGCAGCAATATGGGATACTACATCTCTTATTGTGGCCAATAGCGATTCACTTAATTGAGGGGTCTGATTATGTTTTCTTACTTTTTTTTTTAAAGCAGCCCAGACCAACTCAATCGGGTTAAAAATGCAGTAATAGGGAGGTAGACGTAATACTTCATGGCCATTTTGCTGAAGCAGATTGTCAACAACATACTCTTTTTCAAATTTTTGTCTTTTAATAAGATCCAATAATATGGCTTTGGTTGATTGTTGTGGTATTTCCATTCCCTTATCCTTCATAAAATCAATAATGTCTTGTTTTTTTGTGCCTGTATTCGGAATTTTGTTTTTCTGTCGGGTATGGTATGGCGCATTGTCCATAATAATCACTGAATTTGGGGAAATGTTTGGTATTAACTGCTGCTCTATCCACTTTTCAAATAAGTCGGAGGTCATGTCCTCATGATAGTCGGCACATGATTCTTTGATATTTTTGGCAGATAACAGCAAGGCATTAGGTATAAATCCATTTTCAGCATGGTGCATTTAAAATGCACTTGTTGCTGTCGTCAACCCAGCCGTACTGCACAACATCATGGGTATCATACCACGTTTCATCCAGGTAAATCAGATTTCTTATCTGCTCTCTATAGATTTTAACTTTGTGCAAAAATTCTTGGCGCAATTCAACGATTCGAGACGACTCCATAATCACCATTCTTTTATCTAATTTTTTGTATTGAAAACCACACAGTTTTACAATACAGTGCAGTGAGTCTAAGCATTTGTAATTATAAAAATCTTCAGGATAATCTTTTAATGTATCCCGTATCATTTCCAACGTGGGCACCAAATTTTCTTTATAAAATCCGTATATTATACGACGAATATCTTCCTGAAAACCCACGTCTATTCTTTTTAATTTTTGCCCTATGCGCTTTCTGTGGAAGGAATGGTTGACTACATCTCCCCTTTTTATAACCCGATAAATGGTAGACCGACTGATTTTTGTCAGGATACAAATTCTGTTTAAAATTTGATTTTGCGAGGAATCTGGATTTTCGTTTTTCAGACAATCATACATATTTAGGATTACTCTTTGGGTCTGTTCTGTTCTTTATGAAATAATTCTGCCTGCACAGGTTCATCAACCATCTCCTCGTGGCTTGGAGCATTTTCCCAAGGTCTCCAAAGAGCCATATTTAGGACACACAAGAACAATCAACACAACAATTAAATCAACAAGTAAACCGAGTATTCAAAAGTCAAAAGCACACAAACTAATAAAATCTATGAAAAAACACGGACAGACTGAAGAAAACACGTTTATTCACCGCTACACGGCACTGGCTAAACTGTTTCAATTTTCAGTAGCCACCTGCACTTGTTCGGAGCTCTGAAATACACGCTTTCTCATTGGCTATGTCCACGCATAGGCGTGCTTTACTCCACGTGGACCGGTGAAACTGCCTTTGATCTTATACGGGGGATATTTGCTGCGTAATTTGGCGAGTTTTGCAGCAACAGAGCGTGTTAAATATAGATATATAGAACGCACCCGGTATTTCACAGTGTTTCAAGTGACTTCAGATAAAGTATACAAACATCTATGACTACTTAATTAATACTTTTCGTTGACTTTTTTGATACATTTTAATATTCAGCTTAAAAGGTGTTGACTATGATACAAAACAAAAGCGTTAAAAAAAAGTCCGGATCTGGATTTTGCAAACGTCCGTATAGTTCTATGTTACCCTTAGGTAACTTTATTATCGTTCAAAAGTTCAACAAAATCGGTTCATTGATGATATTAAAGGTATCGGTACATACATACCATTTCACCATGTCCATTTGAATACCGAAAACCCTGAATAGTTGTTTATAAATAATCAAGCTGAATTTAGAAAATATTCTACAGAAACAGCAATCCAAATGGTGGTGAAAGACTGGAGAAGAAGTATAGATGAGAAATAATGTATCGTAACAGGATTTTTGGACTTTAAAAGGGCATTTGTGACTACAGATAGGGAAAAATTGTTAATGAAATTGCATTACTATGGTTTTAAAGGATCAGTATTAAACAAGTTACAAAATTCTTTAGTAAATAGAAGTGAAGTTGGAAATATTATGTCAAGCATTCAAAAAAGTTCAGTAGGAGTGCCACAAGGGGTAAACTAGGGCCGCTACTATTTATTATTTATATAAATGATATCTCTGACATTTTAGAACTGCAAAATTAAAATATTTGCGGACGATACATATACATATATAGACACATAGATATTTCACACCCTACGACAGTCTGTCAACTCCTGTTACTACAAATATTAATTTTTTTTTTGATTTTATTTTTACAATGTAATGATGAATAATGCATCTTCAAACTGGTGTCTCAACCTTACTGCCAACTTTTCTCGTTCAGGAAAAATTGCCACTTGTTTCCCAACCAAGTATTCCAAAGTAAAACTTTGCTCAACTTTAACTGGCTGTACTGGAAAAAAATGTACTACGAGAGTTTGGCAAGTAACCTTAAAAGTTGGCACATTTAATAACGATTCCAAAATGGTATAACGCTTAGAAGATTACTTGTTAACTTATGCACAATTTTTATTTGAAAAAAAACTGATAAAATTTTTTCAAAATTCCCTAATTAAACAGCGATTATGAAAACGTACAAGGACCCTTAAGGATAACTGTTTGCACAACAGTGGGCGTCAAAATGCTGCTGATGATGATTTACCTTTACAGCAAATGCTCAAACTGTTTTCCTTCAGCCGCAATACACGCTCGACATCTTCTTAAAAAAGATCGGGTTATTAAACGAGCGAATCCACGGTTATTAACAAACTCAGTTGCTTCCAATAGTCTTTGCCGTAGCTCAGCTACATTTCGAATCGGCTTGGAATACACTTTTTCTTTTACAGTTCCCAGTAAAAAAATCTAAAGGATTCCAATCAGGTGATCGGGCTGGCCACGGTATTGTACCAGACCGCCCTATCCATCTGCCTGGAAAGTTTTGATCGAGATACTCTCTCACTGAGAGTGCATGATTTTTCAAAAAATCCAAAGTCTCTGGGAACTCAAGCGGACCGATTATTTTACCATTTAAAATTCCTGTCCAATGGTTTATCTTGAAGCGGTATTGAGATTTATCTTCTCTCATCAAATGTGGGTTTGCTACGTGCCACTCGTGTAAGTTATGCAGGTTCATGTACCCATCTTTCTTAAATGTGGTCTCATCCGACCATAAATTTTTTTCAAAGAACTGTGGATCTTTCCTGTGTCTTTCTAACATTGTGCGACAAAAAGCAACTCGGGGCTCATAATCCCGGGGCAGGAGAGGTTGGATGAAGCACATCACTTACTTGCTATTGCACACTTTGATACCGATCAGTACTCCTTCGTTTACTGCGCATCTTTACATGTTCGTGCTTGTTGATTTCGTACTGTTACTAATTTTGGATTCGTTGATCGCTTGTGATTTGGATTTGGACTGTTTAATTGCTCTTCCAAACAACATTTGCTTTCCTTAGACTATCTTTGATAGTGTGATTGTGCAGTGCCGCTATGCCCGTGTACACCGTACAAGAATATGCTAACATGCACCTCATTAATGGGGAATGCAGATGCAACGCTAGTGCTGCAGCGAGACTTTACTATGAGAGCTACCCGAATGCAGCTCGTCATCCAGATCATCGAGTGTTCACAAATGTGCACCGCTTACTGTTCTCAGAGGGCCAACTACCAAACCAATCACACGGTGAGTGAAGATCTTTCCTTCCTTACGAAGACGTGGTGCTAGGAGCTGTCGAAGAAGACCCGAGTACTTCAGTGCGTGCAATAGAACTAAAAACCCAAAAGTACAGCCCATAGAATCTTGCAAAAAAAACGTGCTCCATCCATACCACGTACAGCGTGTTCAAGCTCTTCTGCCCCGGGATTATGAGTCCCAACTTGCTTTTTGTCGCACAATGTTAGAAAGACACAGGGAAGATCCACGGTTCTTTGAAAAAATTTTATGGCCAGATGAGACCACATTTAAGAAAGATGGGTACATGAACCTGCATAACTTACACGAGTGGCACGTAGCAATCCCACATTTGATGAGAGAAGATAAATCTCAATATCGCTTCAAGATAAACCATTGGACAGGAATTTTGAATGGTAAAATAATCGGTCCGTTTGAGTTCCCAGAGACTTTGACTGCTGAGGTTTATTTAGGTTTTTTGCAAAATCATTTAGAAAATTTATTGGAGGACGTGCCACTGAGTATTTACAGGGACATGTGGTTTCAGCATGATGGCTGCCCAGCGCACTATGCACTCTCAGTGAGAGAGTATCTCGATCAAAACTTTCCAGTCAGATGGATAAGGTGGTCTGGTACAATACCGTGGCCAGCCCGATCACCTAATTTGAATCCTTTAGATTTTTTTACTGGGGAACTGTAAAAGAAAAAGTGTATTTCAAGCCGATTCAAAATGTAGCTGAGCTACGGCAAAGACTATTGGAAGCAGCTGAGTTTGTTAATAACCGTGGATTCGCTCGTTTAGTCACCCGATCTTTTTTAAGAAGATGTCGAGCGTGTATTGCGGCTGAAGGAAAACAGTTTGAGCATTTGCTGTAAAGGTAAATCATCATCAGCAGCATTTTGACGCCCACTGTTGTGCAAACAGTTATCCTTAAGGGTCCTTGTGCGTTTTCATAATCGCTGTTTAATTAGGAAATTTTGAAAAATTTTCATCAGTTTTTCTTCAAATAAAAATTGTGCATAAGTTAACGAGTAATCTTCTAAGTGTTATACCATTTTGGAATCCTTATTAAATGCGCCAACTTTTAAGGTTACTTGCCAAACTCTCGTAGTACATTTTTTCCAGTACAGCCAGTTAAAGTTGAGCACAGTTTTACTTTGGAATACTTGGTTGGGAAATAAGTGGAAATTTTTCCTGAACGAGAAAAGTTGGCAGTAAGGTTGAGACACCAGTTTGAAGATGCATTATTCATCATTACATTGTAAAAATGAAATTCAAAAAAAGTTAATATTTGTAGTAACAGGAGTTGACAGAGTGCCGTAGGGTGTGAAATTTCTATATCTTTTTCAAAGACCTATAATTTTCAAAACACATACATAACATTTTTTTAAATATTTTTCTGATAGCTATTATGGCTTTGCCTATCACCCGGTTTCGGCTTGACGTCGACTTCTGGGACACCCTGTATATATAGCACATAAGCATTTGGACACTGCTTTAGAACTGTTAAATAGTGATATTAAAAAAATATATGAATTGGTTGAATGTTAATAAACTTAAATTAAACACCAATAAAACACAATGTATGTCAATAGGAAGAAATTTAGGTGAAAATACAATTAGGTTCATGATTAATGACATATTACCACTTTTTGAATACTCAAAATGCATAGTGATGTAATTTTAATAGACATGAAGGTAAAATTACAGAAAGTGTATTGAAGAAGAATGTGTAAGCGAATAATTATACAAAATTGACTTTGTAGCATTAACGCTAAATAAATCTTTAACAAACAAACAAAAATTGTACTCACCGTCAGCAAGCTTGTTGGTTTGTAAAAAGCGGAAAACAAATATCGATTCCGTGCGTACTGCGGCGCGAAGAACGTATCGCACAGATGCGGCAACAATTCAGGCCCAGAGTGAACCGAATGATTCGACTCCGAATGCGATGATTCGCTGGTCGTGTCGCTGGTTTGACTGTCTCTTCTCCCGCCCCTAGCGTCCGAAAACCTTTGCCGAAGAGAAGCCAACTTGTCCACGCCCATTTGTTTCAAGTTGTATAGCCGCGAGCGGGTAGAATCGTCAGACTATGGGAAATTACGGAAAAAGAATCGATCAGAAATAGTATAATCTGGATGTTCTGTCTGTTCAGCAGGGTGTTCCACAGGGATCCATCTTGGGACCGCTGAGGTTTTTGATGTATGTGGAGGGATTTATTGTTGGCTTGGCCTGTCAGTATGCAGATGATGATGATGATAATAATATAATATTTATCGGTGTTGTATATGCAATATCATTTACTCAAGTTAAAAAGAGAAAAGTGGTTAGATTTACAATACACATTGAAGATGGCCTTCTACAAAACACATCTATCTGCCCACCTTCCAGTTTTCTAATATTTTTGTTGAGCGATTCCTGTATGTAGAGCAGTTTCTTTGTCGTTTCTTACGTTTAGGCACCTTGATACTGCTGAAAACGTAAAAATCGATGCGTGAACCCGAATGCAGTGTTAACCGCTTGGCACGAGAACAAGAGAAACAGGATACTACATATCTATTCTATTTACGAGACGAGGCCGGAACATAAAGAATACCAGACACATCAAAACAGATCACTAAAATCGGTTGTATTATTAAAAGCTTTCCTAATTACGTATCTCTTGAGTGTCTTCTTAAAATATTCCGAATTTAGTGACTTCAATGACACTGGTAAAACGTTGTAAAACTTAATAACAAAGTAGTTATGCCCAAAAAAAAAGTTTTTTCGGTAATATCTTAAATACCTTGTTGTAATTAGGCGGCGGTATTTATAACATTAAGGTGCTAATTTAGCCCTCACTTGATTAAATTTATCAAATCCAGTGGCGCCTCGAGCGGGATCTGAACGAATATTAGTGACAAAAAAACATACACCACTGACTTTTGTGCAATTTTTATAATGTTCCTTGAATTAAGCAACTTTTTTGCCTCGTGATTTTTTTTTCGTATCTTGCTTAGTTTTCTAGGAAAGAGGTCCACTTAATTGCATATCCCTGGACCACACAAGGAATATGAGGATGTTTTTTTTATTTTTTTATCATGAATTATGTTAATGTTATTTAGTATTTGTTATTGTTGTTACATAATTAGGAAGAAAAAAATCTAGGAAAAATAATCTCCAAAAGAAACTTTTCCGCATATTCTTTGAGTGAACCAGGGATTTGCGTTTAGAAGACTTTTTTCTCTCGAAAACTAAGTAAGATACGAAAAAAATTCAAGAGACGGAAAAGTTGTATTTTTATTTGCTTAATCGAAAGAACACAATAAAAATTGCGCAAAAGTCAGTGGCGTACATATTTTTGTCACAAATATTCGTTCAGATCCCGCTCGAGGCGCCACTGGATTTGATAAATTTAATCAAGTGAGGGCTAAATTAGCACCTTAATGTTATAAATACCGCCGCCAAATTACAACAAGGTATTTAAGATATTACCGAAAAAACTTTTTTTTTTGGGCATAACTACATACTTTGTTATTAAGTTTTACAACGTTTTACCAGTGTCATTGAAGTCACTAAGTTCGGAATATTTTAAGAAGACACTCAAGAGATACGTAATTAGGAAAGCTTTTAATAATATAACCGATTTTATGAACGATTTTAGTGATCTGTTTTGATGTGTCTGCCTCGTCTCGTAAATAGAATAGATATGTAGTATCCCGTTTCTCTTGCGAGGAGTGTCCCCACAACAGTAGCTGTAATAAGCTTGTAAAAAGGCATTCTGAGACGCGCATTAACTAGATTGTGAAGGGCAAATAAACTTTTACTAAGATTTGTGGGCAGGTTATTGACGTGCCCTTCCCAGTTCAAGCGATTGTCCAGGTAAAAGTCAAGAGATTTTACATAAATATTGTTAGAGAGGTTAGAACGTGAATATTGTAGCATTTACTAGTAGAAAAGTGTACAAACACAAATAACAATACCTGGTTATTGGCATCAGGTGGCCAAATGTATCCCGAAGAATGGTGTTCTAAAACAAGCTTCCACTGTTGCCCACTTTCAGCATTTATCTGAAAAATATAAAATCGTTCTAGTTCGATCAATCTTTACAGTCACAGGTCTGACTGAAAGGCAGCTCTTATTGTGTATGTTAACCTAGTCTGCTGCAAAACTGCATGAATGAAGAGTTGAATCTAATTAGCTTTCATTTCATGGATCTAACAGACATGTGAATAGTATCATAAAGTCGAGCTATATGATGAAGCTCTTATATTTTTGAGTAATACTGCAATAATACATACCAACAGAGATACTGTTTCCAAACTATTGTCCTGACACAGACACAACAATTTCACAGGTTCACCTATACTACAGCTGCCTAGACATCTTCCGTCTGTCAAGCTAATCAGCACAATATTTCCATTCTCGAAACCTACCAGAGCATTCTGGTTGCAGTCAAATGTCTGCCACCAGATGATACTCGTTGGTTTTGCATCTGGCACCTGGGGGTGCTTTGGAAAATATGTTGTGTCGTTCAGCGACCATTTGCAATCAACTTTTTGCTTCTTGTCAACTATGCTCAATGCAGGGATGATGTATAGTGAACTATCAATGCCTGCAATGAAGATACTTTCATCATTATTTCTATATACAAAACTGAAGACTTTGGGTGTTTGCGATTCCTTGCTGGGTTGGATAAGGCTACCTATCAGAGAGAAAGCAAGCAGTGAAAATAAAATAATGACATTGGAGATAAATGTGCCATCAGGTGTCCCTCAGGGGTCATTATCATAACTAGGAAACTAGAAATAGTATAGATATTTATCTAAAAAATTGTAATAGTAATATAACTAGCAAATCTGTATTTCAAAAGGGAGTATTTGAATTTAATTAATACAATAATGATATTAAACAGTAGTCACATTGAACATTGTCTAAGCTGAAATTAAAAAATCACTTTATGAATACTCAAAATGCATAGTGATGTAATTATAATAGACAAGAATGTGGAAATACAGAAAATGGATTCAAAAAATTGCTGCTAAATAAATCGTCAACAAATAAACAATGTCTCGGATTTTGTGACAAATTGTGATATTTTGCTGCTAATAATAATAATAATAATATTTATTCGCCAAAATACAAAAAATGGGCAAATAAATATGAAAAAACCACAGAAGGCATCGCCTGTGTGTGGTTTATATCTTAATAACTAACAATCAATCATATATGTGTATAACAATTATTGTTATATCTAAAAGGTATTAATGTTATTGGAATTTTGTAGTTTTAGTTTTCTATATAATTATGAATAGTCATTCGCTGCACATTACTAACCCAGTCTTTCAATTTTCTTCTAATTTTTTTTCCAAAATTAAGTATCTTTATTTCTTTTGGTACTACATTATATAATTTAGCTGCTAAGAATTTAAATGATTTTTTGAATAATGTTTTCTGTGGTCTTTGGATATTAGATGAGCCTATTCGAAATCGTGTGTTATGCTCGTGTTTATAGGATTTTTTCTTTTTATTACAATACTTGTGGTATAAGGTGGTGGCATGTAAGAAATAAAGTTGTCTTGTATAAAGTTTCTTGATATAAGTTGTTCGTTGGATATAATCTTGGCTTATGGAAAATGGCTTTCAAAACAGTTTTTTGTGCTATATTCAGGTCAGAAATATATGTCTTGCAGGCGGTACCCCAGGCTGTGATGCCGTATATTATATGGGTTTCAACTAAGGCATGGTATAGGATTCGCAGATAACTTTCTGTAAGAATGTTAGCAAGCATTTTGAGTTTATAGGCAACATTGCTAATTTTTTTGATAACATATTTAATATGGTTATCACACCTTAGATGTGAGTCTATAAATATTCCAAGATATTTCAAAGTGTTAACTCTATCGATTTTGGTCTTTTGACCATGATAATTAACGGAAATTTGTTCAAAGGTAGGTAAAAATTTTGAATAGGATGTAAATGCAATAAATTTTGTTTTTTTTGAAGTTAACTGTTAAAATTTTAGTATCAAACCAGTCAATGATCCTTATAAAATCCTTTTCAGAAAGACCTGAAAATTATCAAATTAATTACTGAGCCAACTGACTGTGAAGAAGACATTGATAGTTTTATGAAATGGTGCAATTTGAATGAAATGCAATTGAATATAGGTAAGTGTAAGATCATGAGTTTTTATATGATACAGAAAACAAATCAATTCAACTGTCAACTTGAATCTGTACTCATGGAAGAGACCTTGGAGTGGTTATGGATCATAGTCTCTCTTTTAAAAATCACAGTGAATGAAACAAGGCAATGACTATTTAGGATTTTAAAAACATTGCTTCTTTAAAAAAGGCTTTTTTGTTAACATAATCTTTTCATGGGTTGTTAGTCGATCAAATGGAAATCTTAGTGAACATCTTTCGAAAATGGTTTAAAAAGAATGTTTCAAAATTATTGGAGAGAAAATACTATTACTAGTGGATCACAAATTGGCAAGACACTATCAAGCATTAAAAATATTTTGGTAGGTGTGCCACAGGTGTGCAAATTAGGTCCATTACTATTCATTTTACATATTAATGATATTCCCGATGTTTTGCAACATTTCAACATTCAAATATTTGCTTATGACATGTCAATATATCAAATAAAGACATTGAAACTTCAATAAAACTGTTACTGATATGAAAAACAGTTAATTGGTTGAATGGAAATAAACAAATTAAACACAAACTAAACAAAATGTATGCTTAGGTATAGAATCTTTAAATGAAAATAACATAAACCTTATGATTAGTCATGAAAACATTCGATCAATTGAATCATTTAAATATTTGGGCATATAATGTAGATAGTACATTAAAATTTGAAGGACACTATTAACACATTTTAAAAATATCTGAAAAATTGTGTACATTCATTCATTCTTCTGAATATTTTGTTCACTGCAAATGAAAGAGTAGTTTCAAAATTACAACTATTACAAAATAAAGCTATGAGAATAATATTGAATAAAAATAAATATACACAGAATAAATTTTAAACTGAAAGAACTACAATGGTTAAATATCAAAAATTACATAACCTACTTGGTTTCCATTTTCATATTCAAGTAAAAAAATCATCTACCAAAGCACTTAAAAAATTTGATTGAATTGAACAATGAGTGCCATAGTTATTCTACTAGAGGGAGTATAGACTTTCATTTACGTAATTGTAGTGCCATGTAAAACAATACAGTATTTCAAAAATGATTGTACAAATTTAATAAATTAAATAATGATATCGAGATGTGTGCCAGTTTGCAAATGTTTAAAGGGAAAGTGAAATAATATTTCATGGAAAACCAAAACTCATAGTAGGGAAATTTTGCATAAAAATATGTAGTCTTGAAGACATAATAATATATCATGTGATATACTGTGTAACATTGATATTGTAGCATTAATGCTAGATAAATCTACAACAAACAAACATGTCGATTTATAGTTTAAATTGTTTTATAGTGTGAAATGCAATGAAAATATACATTTTAAGTTGAAAAGTGCTTAGACCTCAACAATTTTTGATTTAAATTACATAATCAGCACTCCTATTAACATATGTGTAAAATACTAAATAATGCATATTCCCTGGTGTACTCATGTTCACTGGGACTGATACTTTTTAAGTTTGAATTTTAAAGTTCTACAATGTGGCATAACATTGAAATATTAGCTATATGAGTGCGATGGCGCTAGTTTCATGTTTTGGTCTCAGGCTTCATCGCCACTTGCAGTTTTCTGATGTTGCAACTGTGCAACGCAGCACCCTGAGAGTTGCAAATTTTTTATATCATCTGAAAAGTGTAAAGTAGAGGTTGAACGCAATTTTCACTTACAAACAGCTAAGAGCCAAGTAGCCGATGGATCGAAACAGATAGCCTGTATAGTTTTCTGGGAATCATTAAGCCATGGTATTCGTCTTAAAACTGGTGTCAATTCTCCATATGCATAATGCAGTACAAGATCTCCTCCACTGAAAGTTGGACATCTTAGTAAATTGCAGCTGGTAAAGCTACTGTATTTACCTTGTGACTAGAGCCAATAATTGTTTCACCCCATTTTCACATCTAGCACATAACTTTATGTCGATATTCTCAATTAAGGGGCACAACTCAAATATATCTTGTGCTGCGTTTAAAGACATTGTTGCTATTAATTTATTGCCTCCTTATTAAGTCATTTCATTTATATTTTTTAAGTATTCCGAGTTTTTCAACAAAATCTTCACAATAATAAAATCAACAAACGTCACAAAATGACGTTTGTCCTATCAGCAGACTGTCATCTGTCAGTCACAGGTCACAGGACACGGCTAAAAGTCAGGAAGAAAGATAGAGATGTGCGCTAGTGTAGAAATGCTAGTGAGGTAGATATGTACTTTAATCGTTGTTTAACGTATTTATGTATTCAGTATTCATCACTGGCGTATACTGAAAAATGTTCTGGGGGAGGACTTGAGGACAGATCCAGAAAGAGGAAATGAAATATTTGTGATACGCGCATAAGTGTGGAGTTCCGCCACCAAATTTGTCTGTCGGCTTGAGTTGAATGTGCACCACGTATTTATGCAGGATAAAAATCACACATTTAATTACTAAAGTAATATTTATTCTTAGTAGTATTTAAATGAACAAAAGGTAAATCTATACCTTAGCGCATATCGCAAATACTTCATTTCTTACTTTAAAATGAAAGATTAGGATGTAACTTGCACGAATATATCATTTTTTCTTTAAGGAACCCTCTGCTAGCTATTTTATAGAACTTCAAAGTTGCATTTTTGGTGGTAATACTCTAGAATGGAATACTGTTTTATAAATTTTTTTTGCTTTTTGCACAAAATGATGCTCTAAATTATAAGAATATAACACACACTCTATAGTACTAAGGAAAACAGATGTGAAGATATAAAAAATCGTTGTTTTTTGCAAAAAAACGTTCAAAACCAGCCGTGTAATTACACATTAGCGTATTAGCTAAAATACATGCGTAAATGATGGTAGTTACTTGGTAAACTGTGTAGAGGTGTTGCATTGTGATTTTTCAGTTTACTTGAATTCCGTTAACCATTTTTTTTCGCGTATTTTCAATGAGATCAAAGTTTTTGCGTTTATAAGAAATATTTGAAAATACAAACAATTCTGAACGGCCATTTTGTAACGTTCATTTCTTGACGGATTAGATAAATGATGTCCATAGTTGCCAAGTTGTACCTTTGTTGGGAGAAATACGTGATCTAAAATGAGGTTATTTACAAAATAAAAGTCTTAACTTATTGTAAATGGCTTGTTTGATGAGAAGTTGACCCAATATTCACCGAAGACAAGAAGAAATTTTGAACAGTATGTGTCTAAACAGTGGAAAATGCAGCAGCGGCTCGCGTGACAGAAGATACAAAAGGCACCAGCGGTCATTGCATATAAAAAAACACAACGTCGATTTGGACCACCTCGCTAGGTCCACCCCACATCTCATCGTCGAACATTATAGTTAAATAAAGATCAACGATCACTTCATCAAATCATCAAAAAACTTGCAATGTTCTTTGTTATGTTTTCATTATTTAGTGATTGGCAACAGCTACTTTTTCAGTTATTTCTCATATATATCACATTTAATTAGGTATATTTTGTGACATCAACTTCACTTTAAATAATTCTTCAAGTATATACATACAAAAAGTACATAGATTATAACTATAATATAGGAAAACCAATAACCGAAGTACTTTTGTGAAGGGCATAAGGCATTCTTCAAAAGTGTCCTTAGCTAACGCTATCGTAGGGCACGAGGTGGATTTAGTACAGTAAAACCTGCCGGCCATACCTCCAAATCGCATTTTCATGACAATCCTGTGCCGATTGCACATTTTTGCGTTAGTATATAAGTAAGAATTTGACAAACCAAATTAGGGTGTATAACTATCTATGATTTGGCAACATCGCAACTAGATGGAGAGAATAGGATAGTGATGGTGGTGTAGTGATGGGAATATTTATCTAAAATAAAAGAAATTACTACTTAACAATGAACTATTTTCATCATTAAAATTATGCAAAACTGCGATGAATAGAGTCACAGTAATAATTTACATTGTATGTTATATTCATATAATTTTGAGCAACCTTTTCTGTAAACAAGAAAAAAACAGCTTATAAAGCAGTATTCTATACCACAGTTTTACCACACAAAATGCAACTTTGAAGTTCTATATAATAGCAAGCAGATGGCTCCGTGAAGAAAAAATGATATTTTCGTGCAAGTTACATCCTAATCTTCCATTTTAAAATAAGAAATGTAATATTTGCGATATGCGCTGAAGTATAGTTCAGCCGTACAAAATTCTAATATAGCGTCCATATGAAAAAACGAAGTTGGTGATGTAAGTCAAATGAAAAAGTCTCGAACAGAAAATTGTAGAGAAAAAGTGAAAAGTGCCATGCTTTTTAATCTAGATGCGTTCTTCAAATAGTCAGAAAAAAATAAAAATGACTGAGATAAATCTGCCATACGAAACAAATGACTGTCTGATCATTTCAAAGCCTACATAGGAACTTTTGTATATTTTTTTAAATAACTAAGGTCTGGCAATATCATTGTATGACATGCTCTACATTTTTTTAATCAGAATTAAAAACTCTATTCATCTGTACAGAGATCCAGTATGGCGTCCATAAGAAAAAATAAAGTAAAACTAAAACTAAACGTCATATTGAAATTCTAATTATGAAATCTTGTACAGGAGAAAAGGAAACAATGTTGATCCGCAATTTATTTTTAAATCCCACTTCAAATAACGCCAGGAAAAACAAACGATTTTGGGAAAATTCTGGTTTTCCGCCTTTCTCCGAAAGTACTTTGGATTTTGAAACTTTCTAAGCGGCATTTTGTTATTTACCTAAATACGCAACTTAGCCCCCATTTGAGCACCTGTTACCGTCTTCGAGATCCCGCAATGGTGAGGGTCGAAACACCCGGTATAAGTGCAACGTTGTGTGTGTGTGTGTGTCAAAATATTGGAATTGGAAACTGGAGTCCATTTTCCACAAAATGTTATCAATGGATTTATATTATCTGATCATTGTGAGAGACGGTAAGAAAGAAAGAAAAGGGGTGGATATAACTGAATAGTTACGAATTCCAGACAAGGTTTATTTTATATAGTAATATTTGCCTTTTTAAGGAATTGAATTAGCGCTAAATAAATTTTTATATCCGGAAAGGATAAAATGGTAGTCAGACTTAAAGGTAATTGGAAGCCAAGTTTAATCATCTGAGCGATTAATTGGTTGGAGATATTGGTGTAAAGATTACAAGCAAAAAATATGTGATTTAGATCGGCTATAGAAGATTCATCACAAGCACAATTTATTACACCTATTCGATGAAGATGAGCAGGAAAGCAACCATGACCCAATCTCAATCTCGTTATAATTGTGGAGAATCTTCTATTCATATAGAAGAGATCTATGTGGGGAATTATATTGGGAAGGATCGGGTGAATAAGAGCATAATGATTTCGAGAGTTTACTTCAAAGTTGGACCAGATCAAATCCCATTTTTTCTTGATGATCTCTATGAATAAATCAGAAAAAAGTGGCACATGGGTAATCGTACTAGAGTGAATTTCATTTTTTGCAACCATCTCGTTGCCTCTGATGCCAGCATGCCCTTTTACCCAAACAAGATTTATCTTTGCTCTTTTGGCTTGATAAGCGACGAGTAAGTTTCTGATTTTGCATAATAAAAAATTATCATATGATCTAACAGGATTTTGTTTAATTGCTTCTAAGACTGATCTCGAATCTGTAATAATTGTTGCATGAATAATATTTTGCGAAAGGCACCAGAAAATCCGCCTGTAGTACCGCATAGGCTTCTGCTGTAAATATGGAGCACAGGTATCCCTTGCAATAATCTTTTTGTGGGACGTAGAACGCGCACCCAGTACCCATCTCACTTTTGGAGCCGTCGGTATAGACGACAGTGTGGCAATTGAGATCTTTCAATACGGTAGATAGATCAGACCTATTGTAATAACAGTTTTCGGTATATGTAGGGATTGTGATGGTTGTTTCATTAAGGAAAACTTCATAAGGGTCAACATATAAAGGGTAATTATCCATAGGATGAATTAAATTAGCGAGATGACTGGTCTCTACGAAAGCTTCAGCTAGCAGCGGTGAGGATTTTTTTCCAGTACTTGTTAGTCAAGTCTCTAGTTACTAATTGTGATATCTTATTAAGCAAGTATTTGTTATAGGTTCTGTATTTGACAACAATTCCTGGATATGGTGTTGATTTCATGACTCCCATGCAAATTCTCAAGGCCTGATATTGTATTCGGTCAATTTTAGTTAGGTGAGACTTAGCCGCGGAACCGTACAGCACACAACCATAATCCAATACGGACCTTACGTAAGACTGGTAAAAAATAAGCGCTATTTTAGGATTTGATCCCCACTTTTTCTTTGTGGTGCACTTAAGTATGTTAATCCCTTTTTCGGCTTTTGTTTTTAAGTACTGAATATGCTTGCCCCAAGTGAGCTTACAATCCAGCACTACTCCTAGATATTTATATTGCTGAACCACGGGTATACTAAGGCCACTGATATCATATAGGCTGGGAAGTGCTACTCTGTGTCTTGTGAAACACATCATCGCAGACTTTTCTACAGCCAATTGGAGATTTACCTCTAGCAACCAATTTTTTACTTTACCACGAGTTCAAACTTTTGGAGGCAGTACTGGTATGAATTGTGGGCAATGTAAACAGATATATCGTCGGCGTATTGAATGACTTGAACTTCCTTGTCGAAAATGCCACGGAAGTCAGTTGTATATACAGGACTTTGAAGTTGAGTCATTAATTTTCAGATAATGATTGTAGAAGGAAGATAAACCAGAATATGTGTATAAAAATAAAAAAAAAATGTTTACCTTGTTTTATAAAGTATCCTCCCGACAAGTATTTCAGTGCGGACCTGTATTTGATCGTGAGGTCCCCTGTGAGGTCTTAAGTCACCTGATTCACGAGCCCGTTGTACTACATTAACAAAGGCACGAGGGGTTGGTTGCACTCGATTGGGAAACCGATCCGCATAAACATGTGCCATTTTTTATTTCGTTTGAGCCACGCAACAGACACTATTCACACGCTAACCGACTGACACTGACTGTATGTATAACTGAACTGAATAAAATAATTGTAAAAACATCGTTCCAAATTCTTTCGCTTTTTGTTTCCGATGCGATGAACCGGTAAGGCGGATTATATCCGTTGTTGCCAAACACGAGCACATGATATTATTATTGAGACAGGGCGGTACTCAAACTTCCAAAGGGTTACTTTAATCTTACCAGAAAAATGGTAAAGGAAAAAACATTTCTTTTGATCAGATCTACTCACTGCTAAAATAAATGACTCAACTTCGAAGTCACCCTGTATATTAAATAATATAGGACTAAGAATTGAACCCTGAGGAAGGCCGTTGTATATCGTTCTGGGGCCGAATAACTCATTTCTATGATTTCTTATATACATTTTTCTATTTATATACAACTGGATTATGCTTGCTGAGGATTTTTTAGATAGACCGTTTTGTGTTAACTTTTGCATAAGTATTCTCAAATATACCGAGTCATATGCTCCCTTCAAATCCAAAAACCAGCACAAAAGGTAGCGGTTTCTGGAGAAACATAACTGGACATCCAACACTATAGTCAACGCCAAACAAAGTGGCGTGCACGTCATCAAGGTGGGTGTGTTGAAAAATTTACATTGTTGCCAAACTTTTTGTAAAGTAATAAAATTTATTATTTACATATCTAGGTTTATAAGCAATATTAACCTCAAATGAGAACAAAAATAATAGTATAATAAAATTATAGATCTGTACTTGCATAATCATTAAGTATGACAATTATTGATCAGATGACACTATGAAACTACCATATTTAATTGATAGCTTAAAGGTACTGAATAAAAATCCAAATGGGGTCCTCCAAATTTTATGCATGGTATTTATTTTACAGAATTCATACAGAAAAATGCATTCTAAAATTAGGTAAGCTACTGGTGTAAGCTTTTTCTGTACAATAAAGTTAGTCGGAGTTTCTTTCTTCAGCGCTGTCTGAATCTGAATCTTCATCACTCTCAAAGTTGATTATTAAAGGTTCGATGTCTGGTCGATCAAAAATTCGTTCTCTTTCATACCATTTAAAAATTTCTTGCTCAGTATGTCGAACACTATTTTTCCACATGTCTGGGGTAACCGTTTGTAGAGCCTCGTTTCACATATCCAAAGTCTTTTTCACTGTTACCATCTCTACCAATATGTCTGTTATAGTAACCTTTTGCTATGCCCCAAATTAACTCAATAGGGTTAAATATACAATGGTAAGGAGGCAGACGAAGAAGTTTGTGCCCATGTTGTTCCGCCAATTCATCAATCACGTATATTTTAGGTGGTTTGTTTCTAAAAAAGCAGTTATTTTAAGAATAGGAATAAACAAAAGAAATATAAACTGTCGACCAAAATATATATAATTAAGAAGCATTATGTACCGAGCAACAATACTCAATAGCTCTGTTTTAAACATTGTGTTTAAAAATGGTATGTTTTGATTTGTCAACCAGTCTTGGATATTTTTTTTGTCCATGCATTGTTGGACACTTTGTTCAATATCATGCTGTGATAAGGGGCGTTATCCAGTATAATCATAGATAGACTCTCCAATTTTTCTAATAACTGATGTTGAAACCGTTTCAAAAAATTGTCCTGGTTCATCTCTCCATGGTAATCGCTCAATTTTGTTTTCGAAGAAAATATCGCTTCACTACCCTCAATAAACCCATTTTCATTTCCAGCATGTAATATAATGTATCTAAAATATATTAGTTTTAAATTTTATAGTGCAAATTGTGTAAAAGTACATACCTTTTATCATCTGTTTTAATAGCTTTCACGCTTTTTTGGTTTCCATTTTGCCAAGAGCGACCTATGGTCCCATTTTGAAATATCCAAGTTTCATCGAGGAAGACAAACTGGTATAAGGCCTCAACCTTGGCTTGATTGTATTGCCTTAGAAATTCCACCCTTTTCAAAGCTATACTTGGTAGTTCCATGAGCCCTCGTCGCGGATTGTCCTTAAGCCACTTAAATCCAAGATCTCTAAGCAACCGCCTTAAAGACGTGGCACTACCATCAAATAATGCCCTATCTCTTAATCGAGACCATAAAGTTTGTATCGTAACTTGTTCTTCTGAAACCATGTGTAATATGACATTATAATTTAGTTAACAAATTAATGCAAATTTCTGATAAGTTATTATAATAAGATCTTACTTTTGTGATACATATTATAGATCACTTCTCGAATGGCACTTGTATCCAATGTCGCTGTGTTGGTTACACGTTTAATATAACTTCGCTTTTTCTTGGGCGATTCTAAATTTGCATCACTTTTCACACCCTCGGAAATACGACTAACTGTCCTTAAACTAATTTTTAAAGCAGCAGCGCAACACGCTACAAAAAATATAATTATTAGTAACCTACCTCTTGAACAGCATTTAAAGGCAACAAAGGCCCGTTGTTGTCCTTTCTTGCTCAAAGTAGTGCATTAACGAGGCCACGAGTTCCTTACACCGACTATTTAACTGTTTGGGCATCTTTATATACCAAAATTGCCTTTATCTACTCGTAAAATGAATAATTTTGTTTTGAAACAAACAGTTGTTGATTTACAGTATGCGGGGCCAAAGGATTTATAAAGATTTGAAATGCCACAAATTGATTCAGTGTCAAAATTAATACAAATGTCAGTTCCCAGTTTAAATAAGTTTCAAGGTGACAATGTGTCAACGCTGCGAAATCGGTTTAGTGCGTTTACATGTCGATAAGTGATTGGAGCGTTTGCAAAACATTTTATTTCGCATAATGCGTCTAAATTTATCAGAAAGCAACTTATGTGATATTTTAATAACAATGTTTATATGACTATTAACCATAATAAGAGAGTAATGACCATTTTACAATTTATATATCACATTAATATGAAACTGCAATAGAGCAATTGTTTGTGATAGAAACCTAGGCATTGGGTCGGGGAATTTTTATCGTGATGACGTGCACGCCACTTTGTTTGGCGTTGACTATAGTTGACTTATCGCTTCTAATGTTCCGCGACCTCTTCTAAAACCGTACTGGGAGTCTGGGAATAGTTTGTTGCTTTCGATGAAAAATTCTAATCTGAGTTTTATCATGCGCTCAAAGGTTTTAACTAAACACGATAAAAGTGAATGAATCAGTTAGTCCGGCATCTTTCGATGGTTTTAATATGAGACAAATGATTATAGTTTTGAATTCCTCTATAAACTTGTGAATTGTCCACCAATCGTTTACAATTCTTAAGCGCAACGTCCCTATTCATATTATTTAATAAACCGACTGTCCTGTATATGCACATTGCTTCAAAGAAACTTCTAGTAAATGTCAAGATGTCTGTCGAACTCTGCATTGTCACGTTTTTCTACATCTTTACGTTTTTCTACACTGATTATTTGATAAACTTCCCTTTCCTGCACAAGACCTTCAAGAAGTAAGAACCATCAGGATGGTGTATCCTCATTCATATCGGACCGAACACAGCGAAACCAAAACTACGAATTCCGTATACGGAGACTATTACGCATCCACCCAAAGCAGCAAGATCCATATCCAGCCTCAGTTACTCAAAATCCTCCAGTTTGTCGATTCGAACAGGACCGAATTCCTCGATGACCTAGAGGAGGCGGTGAAGATCAAATCTATATCCAGCAAATTGGCGTATCAAGACGACTCAAAGAAGATGATCAAGTTTGTTGAAAATTGGTTGGACAAGCTCGACGTCAAGTATGAATGTTTTAATATCGGGTATCACGTTCTTGAGGGTAAAAAGGTCAGGCTGCCTCCCATCATTTTAGGGCGCATTGGTAATGATCCTAAGAAGAAAACGGTAAGTACTGACAGGAATCTTTCCCGTAGGCAGGGCGTAATTAGTAGAACTTTGCGTAATACTCCAACCTAAACTCTGGGCGCTGAAGAAAGACATTAAACGTAAACAGTGATCAGCACGTGAACAGATCCCTAGAAAGCATCCACGGATATACTCCAGTCACTTTAGGTCTAAACATCCTCGGCAGTGTATTTCTAGTGAATCCACAGACCCTTTTTCGTGTCATCTTGAGACTAGAAAAAGGATGACTGTTAAAATAAGTTACCTTGATCTTTCATGAGCTCCCAGTACAAAACATCATCGATATATTTTTGATGTAGGAACAACAAATTGGTTTAGAAAACATCCACTTTGAACCTAAATTGACTGGAGTAACATCGATCTACAGACAAATTCAAGGTCACTAGCAGTCGTCGGCGCTCTACGAATCTGCACAGGTTTGGACTTGTAAACGTGATTGTAGATGACACGACAGGCATCTAACAGTTAATTCACGCACAGGATTGCATTGCATACGCATTACGCATTCAGTAGCGTATACTCGTTTTTCGCGAGTGGAACGTTTTGTTTATATATTGCCTAAGATACGATGTCTGACACAGATACAGCCGACGAAGTGGTTGATATCAGCGCAACCCCACCCAAAAAAAGGGCTAAGAAGCTACATTTAAGTGCAAATGAAAAACAAATAATATTAAATATATACAAAAACCAAATTCAAGAAAAACCCGATTTGGTCGTGGACGAAGTTATATGTAAGGTAGCACATATTTCTGGAGTATGTCGGTCCAGTGTTTATAGGATCATTAAGGAATATAGGAGCACTCACTCACTTTCTGAGCCAAAACCGTATCCTGCAAGAAAAAGGATAACGGACGGAGTAGATGACTTTGACAGAACTGCCATCAGGAGGAAAGTGCATAATTTTTTCTTCCGAAATGAGATACCTACAGTAGATAAGATATTAAGATTAGTTAATGCTGATGAGGATCTTCCATCATTTAAAAGAACCACATTCCGAAAACTTTTGAAGGAACTTTCGATTCTTGAAACGGGGAAGAAACAGTATGTTAATAGAGAAAGAAGAAATTGTTGTGTGGAGAAGGGAATACCTTAGGAAGATTCGGAAGTTTCGCGATGAAAAAAGAAAAATTTACTATTTGGACGAAACGTGGGTGAATGCTGGACATACTCAAGCGAAAGTTTGGGTCGACAAATCAGTAACATCATCAAGGCAGGCTTTTCTAGACGGTCTTTCGGCTGGATTGAAAAATCCTGCAGGTAAGCTCCTTCATCTATCCGGCAATTTAATTTTGATAAATTCGGGCAAATAATATGCTGTGATAGCAGATAATGTGTGATATTCTCCAAAAATGGTGCATTCGCAGTGTAGTCATTAGGAAAAAAACTTCGACCCTCTTTTAAGCGTTATTTTGAAATTTATTATCATTTTTGGGTGCAGTCAATTTGCTTTGAATGGGTTTTGAGAAGTTGCAAACTTCAATTTTCTACGTTTTTCAGTTTTTGATCAGCATTCCGTGACTCTTAAATTCAGCTAAATGAACTGCCTCATTCCTTCAAATTTAATCAATCCATAGTGTAAGGAATAATTTATTTCCAGGAAAAGGCAAACGGCTGATCATTTGTCACGTAGGTAGTGAAGACGGCTTTGTTCCCGAAGCACTGTGGGCCTTTGAATCAAAAAAGACAGGGGACTATCATGAGGAGATGGACGGCAATTCCTTTGAAAATTGGTTCTCCAAAATGTTACTAAAGCTGGAGAATAACGCTGTTATTGTACTGGATAATGCCCCGTACCATTCTAGAAAAATAGAAAAAATTCCCACAATGGCAACTAAAAAAGCAAACATACAACAATGGCTGGCCTCAAAACGGATCGATTTTGATGAAACAATGGTCAAGGGTGAATTGATAAGTATAGTCAATAGACATAAATACAAATACGATTTTAAAATGATCGACGAAATGGCCAAAAAACAAAATAAAACTGTCTTGAGACTGCCACCCTACCATTGTGAGCTGAACCCTATTGAGCTGATTTGGGCCAACATAAAGCAATACGTGGCGTCGAATAATAATACTTATAAATTTTCTGATGTTAAAAATCTCTTTCACATCGCAGTCAATAGAGTTACGGCAGAGGAATGGAAAAACTGTATCCGCCACGTTCGGGAGAAGGTTGAGGTCAAAATGTGGGATTTGGACAATGTCATCGATACCCAAATTGAACCTCTAATAATTCATTTAAACGATTCAGAAGATTCAAGTTCCTCTTCTGAATGAGTGCGCGCAGCTTACTTACTAATAACTAAAAAGTGTAGTTAACTCATTTGTGAATCTCTAACTGAAATTTACTGTAAAAGATAATAATTATCTTGTATGAAATTTTTGATGACTACCCATAATATCTTGATGCGGTGCTGTAATGTCTCCTGCGCCTAAACACTCGCTCACGAGCAATATGCGTGTATTTGTTTGGGTTTAGTTTCTTTCTTCAGCGCCTAGAGTATAAGTATCGCTTTTTGCCAAGGTTAAGCGACTACCTATATGGAAAGATGAGCACTTACAGGTTGAGATTTTTCTAAAAGTGATAATGAAAGATGTCAAGCGATTTACAAGGAAAATAAACTGATTTGTAGGTAATAAAAGACTATTACAAAAGCAGTTAAAGATGGATCGCTCTAAATTGCTTATACAGGGTGACTCACAAGTCGTGACCAAAAATTAAACATACACAGAAACGCATTTTAATGGAGATTTCCTATGTAACTATACTTTAGCGCATATCGCAAATATACTAAGTGACATATAAATCCGAACACCCAGTTTAAATGGTTTTATTTTAATAAAATTTTGTATAAGTACTTAATGAAGCATAATAAGTAAATCATAAAAATTTCAAAATGATTGCACTGCTTTAAAGCCCTTTGACCTTTAATAATGTGTGGATGCACCCTGATGTGCTACGCAGTCTCCATCGCGCCTAGGCATGCTTCTGATCAGGTGGTCAATGTCCTCCTGTCGTATCCCATTCCAGGCAACCACCAACTCCTCTCGAAGTGCTTCTAGAGTCTGAGGAGGACGTTGCAAATTGAGGAATCTCCTACCCATCATATCCCACGCGTGCTCAATTGGGGATAAGTCGGGAGATCTTGGTGGCCATGGTAACAATGTGACATCATTATATTGAAAGAAGTCTATTGTGACTCTTGCAACATGTAGTCGGGCATTATCTTGTTGGAAAGTTGGATCTGCCAGGGTGTCAAGATAGGGTAAAAGATGGGGTTCTAGAACTTCGTGGATATAACGCTGCGCGTTCATGTTACCTCTGATGAAGATTAAAGGTGACCTGGAACCATAAGCTATAGCACCCCAAACCATAACTCCAACAGTGTGATGAACATGTCTTTCAACAAAAAACTGTGGATTCCTCCTTTCACCACGTCGCCTTCTAACCCTGGCACTACCATCGTGCATGCCTAAACAAAATCGAGACTCGTCGCTAAAGACAATACTGTTCCATTCCTGATCCCAGAGTGACCGTTATCTGCACCACTCAAGGCGATTACGTCGGTGTTCTCGAGTTAAAGGGAGGACCCAGTGTGACCATTTGCAATGGACCTGGTAGTGGAGAAACGGTCCCTTAAGGCCAATAATCTTAGGCGGCGATCTTCACGGTCTGTTGTTCTACGGCGGCGTCCAGTGCCCCTTGCTCTTTGCGTACGGCCTTCACGAAGCCATGCCTGACAACATCTAACCACAGTGTCTACACTTCTTTGCACTCTAACTGCAATTGCCCGAAAAGAAAGTCCAGCTTTCCGAAGTCCCACTATACGGCCCCTATCAAACTCACTAAGTTGACGAAATCGTACAGGTCTCCGTACTCTAGGCATCGTAACCGATCGTAAAGGATGTCAAGAACCAAAATCCGCCAACGTTGATTCTTTACTGCGGCTGAAATATTCATTTTTAGAGCGTTAGTGAATTAAAAAAAAGCAGTAGGTATAAAAACCGGAATGTCCAACTGGTAAGGCTGAAAATTTTTTCACTTGTTATTTACAGTAAGATAAATACATTCACCAACTTTTATTAAAATAAAACCATTTAAACTGGGTGTTCGGATTTATATGTCACTTGGTATATAAAGCAGTATTCTATACCACAGTATTACCACACAAAATGCAACATTGAAGTTTTATAAAATAGCAAGCAGACGGGTCCTTAAAGATAGAATGATATTGTCGTGCAAGTGACATGCTAATCTTCCATTTTAAAATAAGAAATGTAATATTTGCGATATGCGCTAAAGTATAGTTCAGTCAAGGGCCCTCCATACACAAATGATATAATTTTTCTTAGCTTGAGATACCTTTTACAAAAAAATTACCATATCATCCATCATTAGATCCAGTATTTCAAGGACGCGTTTTGATTGATCGACGATATTTGCTCCCTGACAAAATTTGATTCTGGCAGGAATTTTTTATAGGAACTTGCATTAACTCCTTGTAATCTACGTCCATCCGAGAAAGTGCCTTCTTATTCTGGTATGTCCTGTATAGTTGCTTGTTTATAATTAACATGATTTTATTCGTCAATGCAAATGAAGAACACACTTTTGGAAATGTGTCTCATCGCTGCTTCTCAAAGTTTGTTAAAAAATATTGCTTAACCACTGTTTCTACTCAGTTGATGACCACGTTGATGCTATGACGTCACTCGGATAGATAATGAAATACAGGGTGCGTCATCTATTACTTTTTTTCTATTTGAAAAATCCACACGGTTTTTACGAGGTGAAATCGAATTTTTTTATTGATAAATGAAGGTTGGTTTATGCCATTTATGTATGAAAAATAACTTCAGTCATGTGACCACCGCGGCTTCGTTGACAGGCCAACATCCGAACATCAAAATTATCAATGACTTTTCCCAGAGTAATCGGGTCTATGGCCGCAATTTCAGTCCGAATATTGCGCTTTAGGTCTTGAATTGTCCGGGAACCATTTGCATACACTTTTCCTGTTAAAAATCCCAAAAGAAAATAGTCAAGAGGTGTTAAATCGCACGATCTCGGGGGCCAACTGACATCAGAATTTCGGGAAATTATGCGGTCTTGAAATAAGGCGATTGTTTGGCGAGATGTGTGAGCCGTTGCTCCGTCTTGATGAAACCAAAGATCGTCGGCTCTAATACGATCCAATTGTGGCCACAAAAAGTTTGTTAACATGCCGCAATAACGTTCGAAAACTAGTGCGAAGTTTGCGAAAAGTATTTTTCATATTTCGACCGTTTTCGTAATAAGTTTGGCGAACCAAAATGCGTTGTTGTGTTGTAAACGAATCCATGACTATAAATAGCATACCGTTGACAGTTCATTTATGGATACCACATGACTTTTGACTCGCATGGTAACACATAAACTGATAGGTAAAAAAAAGTAGTAGGTTTCGCACCCAGTAGTTTCTAGGACCTTATATGTGGTCAATAAATGGTATGATATATAATGGTTATGAACCTTTCCAATTTTTTCCTAGATATGTGCCTCACTCCACGTTGACGTTTTGAATCCTTGCGAGAAACCGTGGTCCACAGATCCTTGGCAGTTGCATAGAGTTAATAATAAGAATTACGGTTGTGGATCCGGTTGCGGTAAAGGGCCACTGATGTGCTGGTTCCATGTCTTACAGGCTTTCAAGGTATGTTCGAGTTCAATGAGCATTACTTATGAGCTGCTTGCGAGCCTGCCGTTTTGTGTATGCACCTGCGCGCCTATATACGCCAAACACCTGTTCCGGGTTGATGTTTCGGTTTGATGCACGAAGCATGAAATTGCTTCGCCCTTGCCCTTCGAGCACCAACCCTGCAGCTTTCAAACCCATGAAAAGTCAAAGCTGTCAATCTGTTATATACTCAGTGTTAGACCCAGCAGAAATAATTTCTTCTACTTGTTTTCTTTTTGGTAACATAATGACTATATTTGAAGCATGCTGTGACAACAATGTCAACCCAACTAGCAAAGACATACTTTTGATCATTATCAAAATATGAATCAAATACGAAGCCCGTAGAAATTGCGTAACTACTTTGCACGATAATCACAGTAAAATTTGCTGCGCAAGTAATTCAATAGCCCTATATCGTAAGGTAGAAGTTTATTTATCATATACCTGTGTGTGAAATTCACAACGACCGATATGTAAGTAAACAAGATGGCTGTATTGTGTTAGTATATTCTTCACTTCGTCTATACAATACATAAGAAATAGTTTGTTTGCAATAAAGTAGAATCACGTAACAGAATAGTTGTATAGTTGACAAAAACTGAATCTTGCACTGACGCAAATGTCCTATAGCGGCTGCAAGAGGCTTACACTTTTGTTGTATAACTGTTACCTGCAGCCCTTATACAACCTCTTTAATGACTGAAGTGTCCTATTAGGTGTGCCCATTCCGTTTGTGTAGCTGTTCTAAGAAGGTTTTGCCAGTGTTCTTACAGTATACAATGCTGTGTAAGGAATACTGTATAATAATTCTTGCAACTCTAATAGGAGTGATAATTGTTACTTGGGAACGTTTTATCTTTGTTTTTGTTTACGCTTGTTAAAATGTTATCTGCCAGTTTTTGTGAAGAAAGCAGTTTCTCAATAGTACTACAGACATTTTTAGTTACTGCCCTTGTCACGTGCCAAAATCACGTAACTTTTTTTTATCACTTATCAGTAATTTGAATTTCTCCTCATTGATAATAGAGTGCCCATTCCTAGGCCAAACCCCTTTTCAATGATTTTCTTTTTGCAAATTTAATAGTTTTTTGATTGTGTAATTTCACTAGCATTATATCTTTCTTTCTCAGCGATTCAGTGTGGTGTTGACGATCAGCAAAAAACTCTGCAGTTTTTCTCCGTTAGTTGGCTTCCTATAAAACAAATCTTCTTCAAGCCCACTCAAGATTCCTTCCTCTAGAACGATACGTATTCTGTGATTCGCTTTTCAGTTTCCGTTGAGGTCGTGATGCAGGGGCCTTTTTGTCGTTCTCCGGACCCCAGGATATTAGGCCCCAAGCGCCCATTACTTTAGTTATTTTGGGTGCTACGTCTTCCATTTTTTTTATGGGATTTTGACCTTCAGCGAAACAGAAGAAGATCATCATCTTCTCTAGTCAGTTGCATCGTTGCAGTTTTGCAAATTGGAAGCCATTATCTACCAAAACAAAGAAATTAATGATGATGGATCCCTCGAGCACTAAAAACTCCGGACGTAAACTCACTCCACTCTCGGAATGTCCGGGTGGAGGGTGGGCTCGAGGGAACAACATCGAAGATAAAATTTGTTTTTCGAACATCTGCGGGATCAACAGCATCATTGATGCTGTTCATCACTACCTGCAATCCAATCGTCCCGCCGTGCTTTTCTTGGCGGAGACAAAAATCTCAGAGACTGCACCGATTAACCATCTCAACTTCCCAAACTACGAGGTGCACTCCAATCTGAGAAAGAACGGGGGAGTTGTGGCTTTTGTCCCCAGCAGTCTTTCCTGCTCCAGGGATCTTTCTTTGGAATCAGACCGGAAGGACATTCTGTGGCTTCGGCTCAACTCCAAAACATCACCCAAATTTATTTGCTGCCTTTATCGCTCTCCCTCGAACCATAACTGGGATGACCTACTCGAATACCTCGCCGTTCAGATCGACTTCCTGAACATCAATCACCCCGCTTCAGAGGTAGTTCTTCTCGGTGATTTCAATGCCCATAATGAGCTTTGGTTGGGCTCAAATAAGACCGATGCAGCAGGTCGTGCAGTCGAAGCGTTCGCTCTTACTCAAGGGCTGACCCAGCTGGTGACGAGCCCTACTTTTTTCCCCCGCGTCTCATCACACGCCAGTAGCCTGCTGGATCTCTTTCTGACCACGCATCCTGCCCCTTACAGCACTGCCGTCCTGTCCCCCCTGGGTAACTCAGATCACGGTATTGTGGAGGTTAGGTTTCGGTCAGAAGCCGCTGTGGCCGCAGAAACTCGCACAGGCCGCAAAACTTGGCATTACGGACATGCCGACTGGGAGGGGCTCAGAGACTTCTTCTCTAGCTTTCCTTGGAGAGATGTCTGTTTCACGGACGCGGATGCGTCGACTGTCTGTTCTTCAATAACCGAAATTATCCACGTCGGAATGGAGGAATACATCCCTCACACAGTGAAAGTTCCTAAACCAGGGTCCAACGGCTGGTTCAACAAATCGTGTGACACTGCTCGCCAGCAGAAGATCAAGGCCCACAGAACCTACTTACAAAACCCCACTGTAGAGAACAGACAAGCCGACGTCGAGTCCAGAAACAAATATAACGAAGCGGTTCGCAATGCCAAAACCCAGCATGATATAAAAGTTAGGCACAGGGTAATGTCGCAGCGCAATGGCAGTCGGTCTTTCTGGACGCTGGCCAAGCAGATTGAAAAGAACTTCTCACACAGTAGCCTTCCACCACTTACGTGTCAGGATGGAACTATTGTATTCGACTCAAAGGCCAAGGCGGAAGTGCTAGCCAAGGTCTTTGCTGCCAACCATGGACGTCCCCACCAACGCCCAAGTGCCGTCAATTCAAAGGGTTCCCCACACTATACGGGAGGTAACATTCAGGCATAAGACCGTAAGACGAGTGCTCTTGTCGCTCGACATCAACAAAGCTTCTGGTTCGGACTTGATTCCTGCCATTGTACTGAAGAGATGTGCAGCTGAGCTTGCTCCAGTTCTTTCGCGTCTCTTCCAGATATCTTATGAATCCGGCACCTTCCCAGAAAACTGGAAATTTGCTCATGTACAGCCCATCCCAAAAAAAGGATCTAAAACCGACCCTTACAACTACAGGCCTATAGCTCTGCTTTCTGTTATCAGTAAAGTGATGGAGAGGTGCATAAATCGCGAGCTTCTGGACTACCTCGAACGTCACAGCTTGATTAGCGACAGGCAGTACGGCAGTACGGATTCCGGCACCAACGATCCACAGGGGACCTCCTAGCTTACGTCACGCAACTGTGGAGTAAACTCATCCAGTCTCATGGTGAGGCTCATGTCGTTGCTCTTGACATCACGAAAGCGTTCGATCAGCTGTGGCACGCTGCCCTCTTGAGCAAACTTCCATCCTACGGCCTCCCAGAAAAGCTTTGCAGATGGGTGGCTGACTTTATCTCTGGCCGCAAGATATCCGTCGTAATTGACGGGTTTTCCTCTTCATCCCACAACGTCAACGCGGGTGTTCCCCAGGGATCGGTCTTGGCTCCAACACTGTTTCTCTTACATATCAACGACCTCCTTTCCTGCACGATCAACCCAATTCACAGCTTCGCTGATGACAGCACTCTACATGCAGGAATTCAGAGTGACAAGCCGATCTCTGCCGCTGAGCTGGAAAAAAGAAGACTAGCGACGACTTCTTCTCTGACAAGAGACCTGGAGGAATCACTGCTTGGGGACGCAACAATCTTGTACAGTTCAATGCTTCCAAAACACAGTACTGTACTTTGACGAACAAAAAGCGTCCTAGCGCTCATACAGTTTCGATGGACGGTCGAGTTCTACCAAAGAGCCATTCATTTCGGCTGGTCGGAGTCCAGATCACCGAGGACCTGATCTGGCACGAACACATCTCTTCAATAGCTGCAGCTGCTGGGAAAAAGCTAGGCTATCTGTTTAGGGCTAAGAAGTACTTTTCTCCGCATGACCTTCTCACTCTATACAAGGCCCAGATAAGGCCTAGCCTCGAGTATTGCTCACACATTTGGGGTGCTGCCGCCCCGACTACATTGTCCATGCTCGATGCTGTCCAGAGGAGGGCGGTCCGACTGATCGATGACTCTTCTCTAACAGACAGTCTCGGGACTCTTTCGCACCGGCGGGCCGTCGGCGATCTAGCTCTTTTCTATCGCTACACCAACGGGCTTTGCTCCTCAGAGCTCTCTTCTATGATGCCGCCGCGCGATGTGCCTGCCAGATAGACCCGCCTGACCTCGGCGTCTCATCCTAACCGTGTCAAACTTCGTACATCCAGAACTGGCCGATACAACCGCTCCTTTGTCCCGAGGGTGTCTAAAACAAACTACGGGAGGAAGCTTTTCCCAGTTCTACTAACCTTAGGCAGTTCAAAAATCGTATTAACAAAATTTCTTTGGGATCATCATAGCAGCCGCGGTGTTCCGGCATTTAGGCTTCTGCCTGCGCGGCTGTTTGGATATAAAAAAAAAATCCCCTTGAAAAACACCCTGTTACTAGTGTTAAACATAACAAAATGCCTCGAGTTCCAAGACGTCCAAGTTAGCACTATTATTGTTGAGTCCATATAGCTCCCCAACTCGTAGGGATTTGAAGATTTTGTAGCCGCCAGGCGTCGAAGAAAAGTGCAAAGTCCGCCTAGCTGACACATTTCTTTGTTTTAAGTTTTGTAAGATGGAGTTGCCGGTAAACTTGAAATTCATTATCGAGTCCATGTACCACTCCGACTCGCAGGGACTTGCTGATTTTGTAGCCACCAGGAGTCAGGACTTTTTTGCTAACGTTGAGCTTGTTATAGAAGTCGGTTCAGAGTGGTTAGGCGAAAAACATCCCTGTATCACCTATGGGACTGTAGGTAAGCACACCGCGTTCACGTTTTATTATGGCTAGGCTAGATAGAAAGAGGTTATAACATTTTAGGTTCTATCGTAAATTGAATGGGTCGTTCCAAAAACCACCTAAGCCACGTTTTCCAAAATACTGCTTTCTGAAACTCTTCCTTAACGGTGGATGTGTATTTTAGAGATATATCCTTTGCCCTTGAAATGATCCCACGTGATGTACATTTATTGCAAAAACAACGAAAGTCATTTGATACCACTCGTCATCAGTTGCTGGAATGGATAATTTCAAAAATTGTACTAGGATCCTTGATCTGTTTTCTTTCCATAGATACGAGGGATGTCTCTTAACTTTTGCATATAGAAACGTCAGTGCTGAATCTTAACCTCACTCTTTAGTAAACTTAAATTCAAAGTTTCACAATACGTGCAGTATTCTCACTACAGTGAATTTTTAAGTGTCACTAAGTCATTAGAAAAACGGAACTCAACCGAGAACATTTTCGCGCCATAATTTATTACAACTTATATACAGGGTTATCCAAATTAAGTGTCCACCATTAGTAACTTTGTTATTAGTGAAAATACAAAGTTGTTTGAATTAGCAAACTAGTAGCATTTTTAACGCTGGTAAAAATGAGAAATAAAAAAAAACAATTGAGAGTCGTTATTTTGATTTTTTTCAGTAAAATAACATTTTTTTAAATGGAAACCCCTATATATTATATTTTTTTCTGTTAAAGCATCAAATTTTAAACAAAAAAGCTTACAATAACTTTTCTCCTAGGTTACAAATTGTTGAAGTTATGGCCTCCAATCTGAAACAATTAAATTGTATCGACAAACTTTATTTTCAACATCAATTTATAATCTTACAAAATACAATAACAATTTTTTTTAAAGAAGATGCTCGAAAACACCACCTTGTTCTTCAATACATTTTTGGGCACGTTTTTCAACTGCTCGAACTGTCTTAAGTATGGTCCTACCATCTATCTGGGTTATCTTTTCCCTAACTGCAGTCTTTAACGCGTCAAGGTTATCGTACCTTCGCTTGTAAATTTGGTTCTTTAAGTAACCCCACAAGAAGTAATCAAGTGGGTTTAGATCTGGTGATCTGGGAGGCCACTGTATTGGGCCATTTGTTCCTATCCACTGATCATTAAAAGTAGTACTTAGAAAATGATAAGTACCTCTGGAGTTGTGGGCAGGTGCGCCATCTTGCTGAAAATGCAGATGATGTCTACTTATAAGATCCAATTCGTCTAAGAAATTAGTCAGAATTTCTGACATAAATTCCACATATCTTTCACCAGTTAGGGTTCCCTCATAAAAGAACGGGCCAACAATTTTTGAACCAATTATACCGCACCAAACGTTGAAACTGAAACGGACTTGTGGGCCTCTTGGATGTACTAACAAAAGATTTTCTCTTGACCAATAATGGTGGTTTTTTCTATTAAACATTCCAGAATTTGAAAAATTTGATTCATCTGTCCATAAAAGGTAACGAAAGTTATTTACATTTTGGCGACAGAAGCTAAGATACCAATGGCAAAAAACAAGTCTTCTCTCTGGATCCCCTGCCAAAAGCGTTTGAACTGGTCGGTACTTATACGGAATAAATTTGTAATTTTTTAAAATCCTTTGAACAGTACCATAACTGAAGTTAGAGTCCTTGAGAATATCTGCTATTGAATTCTCACGATAAGCTTCAAAATATCCAATAACTGCAATTTCCGTGGCCTCGCTTATTATGAATTCTTTTTTTGCCCTTGTTTTAGCAAAAACATTTTCGTTGCCCCTAAATTTTCGATAAAGTCTCAGAAAATATCGTTCATACGGTTGAATGCGAGCGGGATATAATTCACTGTAGTATTCTCTTGCTCTCAAGGAGGATTTTCTGCACACTAAATAGCATTCTAACATATCACACTTTTCTTCATGAGAGAACATTTTTCTTTAAATTAATGACACACTAAAGCTCATAAACAAGTATTTACACTAATGTTTGACATTATTTGATTTTATCATTGTTTTCCAAAGCCTTCTAGTTGCGAGTATGTCCAGTTTAACAATTTGTCGCTTATCTTAATGCTGTCAAATCGCGAACGCCATGTTGTTTTCATAGCCGTCTTAATATTATAATACTGCAAATAATTAAAAATATTTATCGTTATTTTGACTTTATTTTTAACTTTAGCGGAAAAGTCATTATGAACTTTTTTGTTTAAAATTTGATGCTTTAACCGAAAAAAATATAATATACAGGGGTTTCCATTTAAAAAAATGTTATTTTACTGAAAAAAATCAAAATAACGACTCTCAATTGTTTTTTTTTATTTCTCATTTTTACCAGCGTTAAAAATGCTACTAGTTTGCTAATTCAAACAACTTTGTATTTTCACTAATAACAAAGTTACTAATGGTGGACACTTAATTTGGATAACCCTGTATATAATAATACTAGTATGCCCAAAAATTCGAATTTGAAAGTTAAAAAAAGTGCATTTTGAAATTTGGAAACAAATTTGGATTTAAAAATTCTGAAATTTGGAAAATCATTTGAATATTTAGAAATTTTGAAAAAATTGGAAATATCGGAAATTAAAAAATATACCAAAAATTGAAGCTTTTGCACATAAGTACTGCTGTTGTTGTTTTAAAACTAAATCTTCGGAAAATAGTACTTGCAATTTGTTACAAATTTATAACCATAACAAAAAATTCGAACCCAAAAAGTAATCTAAATTTCAAAATTCAAATTTTTAAAGAATTTGGAAATTTCTGTATTTGAAAAGATATATCAGAAATCAAGCTACTAGTTGTCGTTCTTGGATATTTTGAAAAACGCCGTTGCCTAATTCTCCCATAAATTTCTAAGCACTCGAAAATCGAACCATTCAGTAAACCAACATTATTTTTTATAACGTGTATTCGATTTTTCGATCAAAATCAAAAAGTTTTTCAAAAGTCGGCCTCCGCAGGATCAGAAACTTTTCCTCGAGCTAGAGAAAATTTCAATAACCTGTCATTTTTATAGATTATAAAATCTTTGTTATGTTAAAAGTATATTTATTTACCGAGGTATGGGCAGATAATATACTAAGTGACATATAAATCCGAACATCCAGTTTAAATGGTTTTATTTTAATAAAATTTTGTACAAGTACTTAATGAAGCATAATAAGTAAATGATAAAAATTTCAAAATGATTGCACTGCTTTAAAGCCCTTTGACCTTTAATAACGTGTGGATGCACCCTGATGTGCTACGCATTCTCCAACGCGCCTAGGCATGCTTCTGCTCAGGTGGTCAATGTCCTCCTGTGGTATCTCATTCCAGGCAACCACCAACTCCTCTCGAAGTGCTTCTAGAGTCTGAGGAGGACGTTGCAAATTGAGCAATCTCCTACCCATCATATCCCACACGTGCTCAATTGGGGATAAGTCGGGAGATCTTGGTGGCCATGATAACAATGTGACATCATTATGTTGAAAGAAGTCTATTGTGATTCTTGCAACATGTGGTCGGGCATTATCTTGTTGGAAAGTTGGTTCTGCCAGGGTGGCAAGATAGGGTAAAAGATGGGGTTCTAGAACTTCGTGGATATAACGCTGCGCGTTCATGTTACCTCTGATGAAGATTAAAGGTGACCTGGAACCATAAGCTATAGCACCCCAAACCATAACTCCAACAGTGTGATGAACATGTCTTTCAACAAAAAACTGTGGATTCCTCCTTTCACCACGTCGCCTTCTAACCCTGGCACGACCATCGTGCATGCCTAAACAAAATCGAGACTTGTCACTAAAGACAATACTGTTCCATTCCTGATCCCAGAGTGACCGTTGTCTGCACCACTCAAGGCGATTACGTCGGTGTTCTCGAGTTAAAGGGAGGACCCAGTGTGGCCGGTATGAAAACAAGCCAAAACTTCTCATTCATAACCACAGTGTCTACACTTCTTTGCACTCTAACTGCAATTGCCCGAAAAGAAAGTCCAGCTTCCCGAAGTCCCACTATACGGCCCATATCAAACTCACTAAGTTGACGAAATCGTACAGGTCTCCGTACTCTAGGCATCGTAACCGATCGTAAAGGATGTCAAGAACCAAAATCCGCCAACGTTGATTCTTTACTGCGGCTGAAATATTCATTTTTAGAGCGTTAGTGAATTAAAAAAAAGCAGTATAAAAACCGGAATGTCCAACTGATAAGGCTGAAAATTTTTTCACTTGTTATTTACAGTAAGATAAATACATTCACCAACTTTTATTAAAATAAAACCATTTAAACTGGGTGTTCGGATTTATATGTCACTTAGTATATATTTATTTATCGAGGTATGGGCAGATAATATTTATTCTCTCGATACATATTTTGTCGCATGCGCAGAATATGCCCATTCACCATCTTTTTCAACGCATGCACCATTTTTAAATATAGCACATTTTCTTACGCCGCAGTCCGTACTAGTACATTTACGAAAAGTATGTACATACCTAGTTCTTACCAAGTTGCTACTAGATATATTTAATGAATGTGAAATATAATCTATATGGCGTTCTGTACTTAAATGAAAATAAAAAAGCTCTAACTTCAGTTTTTACGGATATACGGGGTGATTCATCTAAACACGCCAAATACTTAATACGTTGAAAAGCAGTGGTTTCTGAGGACGAGAAATGCAATTATATTGTTCTTTAAGGAATCCTCCACTTTCATATGCAAATAGATAAGGTTGACGGATCTAAAACTGAAATAAAAGATGACATGAACAACATATTCAAAACTATAGTGGATGAAGAGGGCAATGTCATCATAAATGGCTTCAACGACTATGTCGAACAAGTTACGCCAGATGAAGAAAGAATGTACGAAAATATTGATTTTGATGTCGATGATGTCAGGTACGTATTACACGAACTAATATGGAAAGCTAGCACCGAAAGATCAAAGTTCATAACATTCTCGTTTCGTGTGTCTGTTAGCGAAAAAAGTGATTATTCTACAAAAACGAACTATTAGATATCTAACTTAATCTTAAAATAATGAATTGGTCATTTTTAAAGCGGAATCTCTTATTTTTAAATTTAAATTTGAGTTTGAAACATTAAATTTAAGTTACAATATTTTGTTTGTTTGTTTATGATTTATTTAGCATGATTGCTACAATTACATCCTTTTAAGCAACTACAACAATTACATAGCATATAGATATTCAGAAAAAAAAAACAAAATCTGCATCTCTAAGAATTTTCATTGTCCATGTTTAGTTTCCTTTTGAATATCTTTAAATTACAAGTAGACTTCATAATATTATTTAGTTTATTAAATTCAAGTAATCCTTTCTGAAATATTGATTTGCTAGTTATATTACTATTGCAATTTTGTAAATGAAAATCTATATCTCCTCTTGTATAATAATTGTGGTGATGATTATTCAATTCTATGTAGTGTTCTAAATGTTCTGGCAAAAGATGATTTTTTATTTTAAATATAAAAATAAGAACCAAATACGACTTGAAATTTTCTATATTCAACCACTGCAATTCTTGTAACATAGATTTTATTTCGGTGTACTTAATTTTATTCAATATTATTCTCATAGCTTTATTTTGCTTTGTAATTTTGAGAATACAGCTTCATTGGCAGTGAACATGATAGTTGAACAATATAGTAAATGCGGTAGAATAATTGTATTATAAACTATTTTCTTGGAATAGGTACTAAGACTAATAAAAGTAACTTGTTTTTTATTGCAATTTTTGAAATAATGTATTCGAAGTGATCTTGAAACTTTAGTTTACTATCAATATACAGGGTGTTTCAGTTTATTGTTGCATAACATTAAGATTCGATAGATTTTTTAAAATTAATGCATAAAGTCCATATAAACATGGATCAAAAAATGCATGGCTTCCGAAATAATTTGTTAAAAATAATATTGGAAAATTAAACAAATTAATATTCTGTTTTTTGTGTTTATTTAGAGTTAGGAATTATTGCTGTGTTTGAAAACACAATCTAAACGATCATCTTAATTACTTGTAATGCCCAAATCGAAAATGTAAAAAAAAATATTATTTTCCCATAAATAATTAAAAATGCATCGAACCTTGAAAATCGAAATATCTCAAAAACGGCTAACTATAACGAAAACTCACAGGAGAGCTTCTTTATGTTGAAAAGTAAGAAGAATCAGTTTTTTTGTTCAAAAAGCAAAAAATTGCACTAAGAAAAAATTTTCGGTCATTTTAACACACTACAGGTACAGTAGAGAGCGCCCTCTAGCGGCTACAGAAAAACTATGCCCATGGTTCGTTTTGTCGTACCAATAAACCCTTGCATACCAATTTTCACTGTTATACATCAAATATTGTTCGAAATACTCAAAAAAAAACTATTTTAGAAAGTAAATTTAAACACCCTGTATTTCGGAAGCCACACATTTTTCGACCCATGTTTATATAGACTTTATGCATTCATTTTAAAAGTTCTATCGAATCTTAAAGTTATGCAACAATAAACTGAAACATCCTGTATACCTAAATATTTAATTGATTTAACATTTTCAATTATTTCTTTATTTATCCTAACTGTGATAGTATTTTCATTAAGGTATTTCCGTATTAGCATAGATTTTGTTTTAGAAGTATTCAATTGCGTAGAAGTCTTAATTATCAAGATTTATACAGGGTTATCCAAATTAAGTGTCCACCATTAGTAACTTTGTTATTAGTGAAAATACAAAGTTGTTTGAATTAGCAAACTAGTAGCATTTTTAACGCTGGTAAAAATGAGAAATAAAAAAAAACAATTGAGAGTCGTTATTTTGATTTCTTTCAGTAAAATAACATTTTTTTAAATGGAAACCCCTGTATATTATATTTTTTTCTGTTAAAGCATCAAATTTTAAACAAAAGAGTTCATAATGACTTTTCCGCTAAAGTCAAAAATAAAGTCAAAATAACGATAAATATTTTTAATTATTTGCAGTATTATAATATGAAGACGGCTATGAAAACAACATGGCGTTCGCGATTTGACAGCATTAAGATAAGCGACAAATTGTTAAACTGGACATACTCGCAACTAGAAGGCTTTGGAAAACAATGATAAAATCAAATAATGTCAAACATTAGTGTAAATACTTGTTTATAAGCTTTACTGTGTCATTAATTTAAAGAAAAATGTTCTCCCATGAAGAAAAGTGTGATATGTTAGAATGCTATTTAGTGTGCAGAAAATCCTCCTTGAGAGCAAGAGAAATACTACAGTGAATTATATCCCGCTCGCATTCAACCGTATGAACGATATTTTCTGAGACTTTATCGAAAATTTAGGGGCAACGAAAATGTTTTTGCTAAAACAAGGGCAAAAAAGAATTCATAATAAGCGAGGCCACGGAAATTGCAGTTATTGGATATTTTGAAGCTTATCGTGAGAATTCAATAGCAGATATTCTCAAGGACTCTAATTTCAGTTATGGTACTGTTCAAAGGATTTTAAAAAAATACAAATTTATTCCGTATAAGTACCGACTAGTTCAAACGCTTTTGGCAGGGGATCCAGAGAGAAGACTTGTTTTTTGCCATTGGTATCTTAGCTTCTGTCGCCAAAATGTAAATAACTTTCGTTACCTCTTATGGACAGATGAATCAAATTTTTCAAATTCTGGAATGTTTAATAGAAAAAACCACCATTATTGGTCAAGAGAAAATCTTTTGTTAGTACATCCAAGAGGCCCACAAGTCCGTTTCAGTTTCAACGTTTGGTGCGGTATAATTGGTTCAAAAATTGTTGGCCCGTTCTTTTATGAGGGAACCCTAACTGGTGAAAGATATGTGGAATTTATGTCAGAAATTCTGACTAATTTCTTAGACGAATTGGATCTTATAAGTAGACATCATCTGCATTTTCAGCAAGATGGCGCACCTGCCCACAACTCCAGAGGTACTTATCATTTTCTAAGTACTACTTTTAATGATCAGTGGATAGGAACAAATGGCCCAATACAGTGGCCTCCCAGATCACCAGATCTAAACCCACTTGATTACTTCTTGTGGGGTTACTTAAAGAACCAAATTTACAAGCGAAGGTACGATAACCTTGACGCGTTAAAGACTGCAGTTAGGGAAAAGATAACCCAGATAGATGGTAGGACCATACTTAAGACAGTTCGAGCAGTTGAAAAACGTGCCCAAAAATGTATTGAAGAACAAGGTGGTGTTTTCGAGCATCTTCTTTAAAAAAAATTGTTATTGTATTTTGTAAGATTATAAATTGATGTTGAAAATAAAGTTTGTCGATACAATTTAATTGTTGGAGGCCATAACTTCAACAATTTGTAACCTAGGAGAAAAGTTATTGTAAGCTTTTTTGTTTAAAATTTGATGCTTTAACAGAAAAAAATATAATATACAGGGGTTTCCATTTAAAAAAATGTTATTTTACTGAAAAAAATCAAAATAACGACTCTCAATTTCTCATTTTTACCAGCGTTAAAAATGCTACTAGTTTGCTAATTCAAACAACTTTGTATTTTCACTAATAACAAAGTTACTAATGGTGGACACTTAATTTGGATAACCCTGTATATATATATATATATTATCTTTTTTTCCACTTATAACCTCTACATTATCCAACACGTGCCGGCCGACCGACATTCTATTTTAAAAACAATTTCAGCAACAATCTCGCCGACTTAGTAAGTAAATATTTCTCTCCTAATTGCTATTTGTTGCTATTGTTAATAATTGTTTCCAGCTACAGACGATGAAGACATAGATCTTCGAAAGCTTGAGAGTTTAAGTTATAAGAGTGTACTTTTGCAATACTTTGTCTTCTACCCAAAGAAATTAAAGGATATCTTCTAACAGTTAAGGCAATTAACTATGATTACTATATATATATATAGATATAAATACGGCTATGCTTCCGTCTGTCCTATTATAGAGAATCCTTGCCGCCGCACAAGCAATCCTGGGACAAAGTCAGGCTTCTGATGAGCTTCTGGAGACTGCCTTCGATCTACGTGGGTGACACAGAGGAATGTATATGCGAGAAGAATGACAAAAATGTCGTGAAAAGGAACTTCATTGTAAAATTGGTACCGAAGCAGACCGTGGATTCCAGCGTTAACCAGATGAAGAACCATATCCAAGCGTGTGTGAAGAAGTTGAATATAGAGAACAAAGTGTCAACACGATTGGTCTCTTCCACGAGACCTTGGTGCGAGAACGTGAGGGCCAACGCTTACCAGGCGGCCAGAAGGGCGATTATTCAAGTGAGCTTTAAGAAAATAAATCTACATTTCTCGTGAAGTTTTAAAATTCGTTCATATTGGGCTTATTTGTACATCTAGTAGGTGTGAAAACACAATTCTTTGTGGCACGTTCATTTGTTAAATTGCGGGCTAAGCAAATTTCGATACACAAAAAACAAATTTGATATTAAGAAAACCGGAAGTACACATTCCATTCGAAGAAATACCCATGCCTTTTTGAAGGACAAGAAAAACTGTTAAAATCCTGGAGGCTATAAAGGCGTCCTACAATTTCGGGAACGACTGAGAATACCAGCCCTGAAAATATAGTCTAGCTTTTTCCCAGCAGGTACCGCTATTGTCGAGATGTACTCGTGCCAGATCAATCTATTGAAGATATACAGGGTGTGGCGTAAAGGGTGGATAGATAACCTTTAAGCTGCAGTTAGAGGTTTTCAATTTTTGTTACGTTTTTCAAATTTTTCACCTTCACTCACTGTTTTAAGTCTCGCGATGACACATGAAAGGGTTTTCTCATTATTTTTTCAACATGGATACATGTGTTATAAAATATGAATTGCCATTTTCGTGCTACAGGTTTAATTGCTTTTTTAAAAAAATCCTTAAAACTCGGAAGAAAATCCTATGAATTGACAGCAAGAAATACGGTGTAACATTTTGCTATCTCGATGAATTAGGCAAATTATTTACGTCTTGTTTCAGTAGATTACCGCGATATTATTGCACACGTGGTCAAACTTAAGTGAAATAAAATCAATTTTTTCCGAGTCTTACTGATTTTTTAAAAAAGCAATTAAGCTTGTAGCGCGGAACTGACAATTTATATTTAATGACACATGTATCCAAGAATCAAAAAGTTTTTCAAAAGTAGGTCTCCGCAGGATCTGAAACTTTTCCTTGAGCTAGAGAAAATTTCAATAACCTGTCATTTTCATAGATTATAAATTCTTTGTTATGTTAAAAGTATACTAAGTGACATATAAATCCGAACACCCAGTTTAAATGGTTTTATTTTAATAAAATTTTGTATAAGTACTTAATGAGTAGATGATAAAAATTTCAAAATGATTGCACTGCTTTAAAGCCCTTTGACCTTTAATAATGTGTGGATGCACCCTGATGTGCTACGCATTCTCCAACGCGCCTAGGCATGCTTCTGATGAGGTGGTCAATGTCCTCCTATGGTATCTCATTCCAGGCAACCACCAACTCCTCTCGAAGTGCTTCTAGAGTCTGAGGAGGACGTTGCAAATTGAGCAATCTCCTACCCATCATATCCCACACGTGCTCAATTAGGGATAAGTCGGGAGATCTTGGTGGCCATGGTAACAATGTGACATCATTATGTTGAAAGAAGTCTATTGTGACTCTTGCAACATGTGGTCGGGCAATATCTTGTTGGAAAGTTGGATCTGCCAGGGTGTCAAGATAGGGTAAAAGATGGGGTTCTAGAACTTCGTGGATATAACGCTGCGCGTTCATGTTACCTCTGATGAAGATTAAAGGTGACCTGGAACCATAAGCTATAGCACCCCAAACCATAACACCAACAGTGTGATGAACATGTCTTTCAACAAAAAACTGTGGGTTCCTCCTTTCACCACGTCGCCTTCTAGCCCTGGCACGACCATCGTGCATGCCTAAACAAAATCGAGACTCGTCACTAAAGACAATACTGTTCCATTCCTGATCCCAGAGTGACCGTTGTCTGCACCACTCAAGGCGATTACGTCGGTGTTCTCGAGTTAAAGGGAGGACCCAGTGTGGCCGGTATGAAAACAAGCCAAAACTTCTCATTCGTCGGTGAACACTTCGTATGCCAATAGGTCTTCCGTGTTCTGCAAACCATTCATTTGCAATGGACCTGGTAGTGGAGAAACGGGCCCTTAAGGCCAATAATCTTAGGCGGCGATCTTCACGGTCTGTTGTTCTACGGCGGCGTCCACTGCCCCTTGCTCTTTGCGTACGGCCTTTTCGAAGCCATGCCTGACAACACCTAACCACAGTGTCTACACTTCTTTGCACTCTAACTGCAATTGCCCGAAAAGAAAGTCCAGCTTCCCGAAGTCCCACTATACGGCCCCTATCAAACTCACTAAGTTGACGAAATCGTACAGGTCTCCGTACTCTAGGCATCGTAACCGATCGTAAAGGATGTCAAGAACCAAAATCCGCCAACGTTGATTCTTTACTGCGGCTGAAATATTCATTTTTAGAGCGTTAGTGAATTAAAAAAAACAGTATAAAAACCGGAATGTCCAACTGATAAAGCTGAAAATTTTTTCACTTGTTATTTACAGTAAGATAAATACATTCACCAACTTTTATTAAAATAAAACCATTTAAACTGGGTGTTCGGATTTATATGTCACTTAGTATATTTGGAATTAAAACGAATATGATTTTAAATAAAAATATACCTGGCGTTCCATCAGGAAGGGCAACTTGATTCGATAGCAGTTTTCTGTTTACAAGAAAAAATGCATGAAAAACTTTATCTTATACTATAAGTATCAAACAATAATAATAATAATAATTAACGTCTTTTATTTGTAATATTCTTACTGGAGGCGAGATTTAGATTATATTTCTATTCTACCATCTAACCCCCTTAACAATACGAGATGTAAAAAAAAAGAATTTGTTGAAAGTTAATAGGCACCTGTATACAATAAAGAATAATCCAAGTACGAGGCACGCCCAGAAAGTAAGTGTACTGGTATTCTCACAGCTGTAGAGAATACTTTTTCGACATGTTGGCAACACTGCCGCGTAGCCTGACCCCTCCCCTTCAAAAAGAGACCAATCTGAGGTTAGTGTGTTGAAAACTCTTGACGCAGTAACATCTCTCGCGAAAAATGTCGATCGTATCTCCCGCCAAGTGCGAAATTCGCGCCGTCATTCGCTACCTCGTTGTGAAGGGAAAAGCTCCGGTGAGACGCTAAAAAAATTGAAAAGGGCGATTCAGAATAAAAGGAGGGGCATGCTGACGAAGGGAGTCTGCCTGTTGCACGACAATGCCAGACCCCACACGGCCAACGCCACGAAGCAACTCCTGGACTCTTTTGGATGGGACGTTCTGAATCACCCCCCGTATTCCCCTGACCTGGCTCCTTCAGATTTCCATCTCTTCACTTCCCTAAAGGGGCACATGGGTGGAAACAAGTTTTCAACGGACGAGGAGGTGAAGGGGGAGGTGGAGAAGTGGGCGAAAGAGCTGGCGGGAGACTTCTTCGAGGCCGGCATCAAAAAATTGATCCCGCGGCTCACCACTTGCATCGAGAGGGATGGTGACTATGTCGAAAAATAACTTACATATGTACAAGTGTAACCAAGTATATTATGGTTTTAAGAAATTTTTTTGAACCCTACATAAATTGAGTACACTTACTTTCTGGACGTGCCTCGTAAATACTTAAGGAAAATATGAGGACACTTATGGGTTACAACCGATTTCGCTGCTGATCAAGAAGAACTTCTTTCACTTTTTTCTTGCACACTCATGCACTACGTAATGTTAGTTACCTAAAGGATCCGTACACCATAACTTAAAATGGTAAACCTAACGTTAAATTATATAATTTATTGGTCTATTCAAATGAAGATTATACATTTTGAAAATATGTCAAATCGCTACTTCTCAATGTTTGATAGAAAAACATTGCGTCACCACTGTTTCTATTCAATTGATGGATACTTTGATGCTGTGACGTCAAATGGACAGATAATTGTTTGCCGTGCATGCCATTATTATTAGTCGAATTTTATTATAAACTCAAGTAGCTTTATAACAATTGAAGATAGGTATACACTTTATTATACAAAAGTTACTAAAAAGTTTATGAAAGATATAAGAATAAAAAAAAATGGTGGTTCTCATTTGAAAAATCTAAAGTATACTTGTACTGTAAAGATATAGATAAAAATAAGTCTGAGCGTTATTTTGATCACTTACTAGTAATTTGAATTTCTCTTTATTAATAGAATAGTGCCCATTCCTAGGCCAAACCCTTGTCAATGATTTTCTTCGGGTAAATTTCATAGCTTTGTATAATTTCACACGTATTATATATACTAAGTGACATATAAATCCGAACACCCAGTTTAAATGGTTTTATTTTAATAAAATTTTGTATAAGTACTTAATGAAGCATAATAAGTAAATGATAAAAATTTCAAAATGATTGCACTGCTTTAAAGCCCTTTGACCTTTAATAATGTGTGGATGCACCCTGATGTGCTACGCATTCTCGAACGCGCCTAGGCATGCTTCTGATCAGGTGGTCAATGTCCTCCTGTGGTATCTCATTCCAGGCAACCACCAACTCCTCTCGAAGTGCTTCTAGAGTCTGAGGAGGACGTTGCAAATTGAGCAATCTCCTACCCATCATATCCCACACGTGCTCAATTGGGGATAAGTCGGGAGATCTTGGTGGCCATGGTAACAATGTGACATCATTATGTTGAAAGAAGTCTATTGTGACTCTTGCAACATGTGGTCGGGCATTATCTTGTTGGAATGTTGGATCTGCCAGGGTGTCAAGATAGGGTAAAAGATGGGGTTATAGAACTTTGTGGATATAACGCTGCGCGTTCATGTTACCTCTGATGAAGATTAAAGGTGACCTGGAACCATAAGCTATAGCATCCCAAACCATAACTCCAACAGTGTGATGAACATGTCTTTCAACAAAAAACTGTGGATTCCTAGTTTCACCACGTCGCCTTCTAACCCTGGCACGACCATCGTGCATGCCTAAACAAAATCGAGAGTCATCACTAAAGACAATACTGTTCCATTCCTGATCCCAGAGTGACCGTTGTCTGCACCACTCAAGGCGATTACGTCGGTGTTCTCGAGTTAAAGGGAGGACCCAGTGTGGCCGGTATGAAAACAAGCCAAAACTTCTCATTCATCGGTAAACACTTCGCATGCCAATAGGTCTTCCGAGTTCTGCAAACCAATCATTTGCAATGGACGTGGTAGTGGAGAAACGGTCCCTTAAGGCCAATAATCTTAGGCGGCGATCTTCACGGTCTGTTGTTCTACGGCGGCGTCCAGTGCCCCTTGCTCTTTGCGTACGGCCTTCTCGAAGCCATGCCTGACAACACCTAACCACAGTGTCTACACTTCTTTGCACTGTAACTGCAATTGCCCGGAAAGAAAGTCCAGCTTCCCGAAGTCCCACTATTCGGCCCCTATCAAACTCACTAAGTTGACGAAATCGTACAGGTCTCCGTACTCTAGGCATCGTAACCGATCGTAAAGGATGTCAAGAACCAAAATCCGCCAACGTTGATTCTTTACTGCGGCTGAAATATTCATTTTTAGAGCGTTAGTGAATTAAAAAAAAGCAGTATAAAAACCGGAATGTCCAACTGATAAGGCTGAAAAATTTTTCACTTGTTATTTACAGTAAGATAAATACATTCACCAACTTTTATTAAAATAAAACCATTTAAACTGGGTGTTCGGATTTATATGTCACTTAGTATATTTCTTTCTCAAAGATTCAGTATTGCGATGAAAAAAAAACTCTGGTTTTTCTCCGTTATTTGGTTTGCTATCGAACATATACTCTTCAAGGTCACTCATTGAATCTCCCATTATAAAGTTACGTGTTTCGTATCAATCACTTTCCTTCTGAGATTGTGGTGTGAGCGCCATTTGTTTAATCTCCAGATTCTGGGATATTAGGTGCCGAACACCAGTTTGTATTGTAGTACTCCTTCATATTGTACCTTACGTTTAGTTGTTTTGGTTTGGGTGCTACCCCGTCCATTTTCTAATGAGATGTTTATCTTCAGCGAGGGAAGGCATTGCGGAGAACCACCACACACTCCTCCAGCTTTATTTGGAGCTATTTGGAGCTGATAGTGCCGGAAGCCACCCCTTTCCCTTAGCAAAAAAACCCTGATGTGAACAGGGTTTGTATTGTTATAACGGGTGATTTTTTAAGAAAATTTGAAAAAACGATTAAATCTTTATTTGAGTCGATAGAACGGTCGATATAATTTAATGTTTAAAGATTATTTCATGTAAATGTTGGCCGCGGCTCCGCTTTAGATGCCCCATGCGCAAGGTCCAATTTTGGCACACTCTCTCCAACATATCGGCCGGTATCTCACGAATAAATGCTTCAATATTGGCTTCTAGTGCGTCAATCGTTGCTGGCTTATCCCTGTAGACAATAGCCTTAACATAGCCCCACAAGAAATAGTCCAACGGCGTTAAATCACACGATCTAGGCGGCCAATTGACGGGCCAAACGTGAGATAAACTGTTCACCGAACTCGCCTCGCAATAGGGCCATTGTCTCGTGTGCGGTGTGGCATGTGGCACCGTCTTGTTGAAACCACATGTCAGCCAAGTCCAACTCTTCCATTTTGGGCAAAAAAAGTTCTCTACGTTCCGGCTATTGTCTTCTTTGAAGAACAGTGATTATATATTATATAGAAACAGTGATTTTTTCGGGATGCATTGGTAGCTCTTACAATGCTTCTGGCTGGTCTTTACTCCAGATGCGGATAATCGACATTTCACGGTCATCACTAACACTGGCAGATACAGCCGCAATATTTTCTTCAGTCCTCACTCTACGTCAGCGTGATGGTGGTTTAATGTCCAATAATGTAAACTGGGTTCGAAATTTAGTCACAAGCTTCCGAATAGCTCCCTCAGTAGGCCGACCAAATTGCCCATAAATTGGAAGCCGTGCTCGATGCACTCTCTTAACCGAGCATGAATTTTGATAGTAAAATTCAATAATTTGCAAGCGTTGTTCGTTCGTAAGTCGATTCACGGTTAAATTATAGACCAAACTGAACAAGTTTGACAATGACACAAGACACGATTCACGCGTCATCTGTCAAAAACAGTGTTGCCAAAAAGATACTAGCAAAAAATCACCCATTGTAAGTACGTTGTCTTATCTTATCTTGTGTTTGACCTGACTGACTAACTTTATAAAGAAAGGCTTAATAAGTGGCCTTGAAGAGAATATGTTCGATAGGAAACCACATAACGGCAAAAACCACAGTTTTTTTCAACACAATGCAAATTTACAAAAAGAAAAACATTGAAAAGGGTTTGGCCTAGGAATGGGCACTCTACCATTAATTTAGAGAAATTCAAATTACTAGTAAGTGACCAAAATAGTTAAACAATGTTACGTAATTTTGGCACGTGACATACTCACAAATGGAGGTGAGACCGTTCGGTTTTTTATGTAAAGGTGACAAACTTTTTTTCTTAAGTTTGAAGTTTTTTATTTATTTTGAAAACATTTATATACATATGCATTTAATATGTCCAAGTTTCTTTAATATATTCCTTTATTAAAAACCTGATTTTTGTTGTATTCCCTTACGGACACCCCTCTTGAACGGGCACTTCAGATTTCACTGTCTCTTTGTATGATATATTCCCAAACTATTAATACTATTATATTTACTTTCTAGATATACAAGGAGGATCCAAATCTTATCAGGGAGGATAGACCTAGACTAACTGCAACGATATTCGACAATGTCCTAGAAAAGTCGATGCTTCTCTTACCGCTGTGCTCTCGTGGTTCAAACCTAGGTCAGGCCGATGAAAATATTTCGAATAAGAATTACTACGAGGGAACCAAGCTGATTGGGGCGTTTCTGTTCCAGTATGCCTCTCCGCGTGTCAATTGAATTTGTATACGTTTACGTGTAAGGGTATCAATAAATAAGGTTATTTTATCAACAAAGATGCTTTTTTATATCGAAGCTGCCGCGCAGGCAGACGCCTAAATGCTGTTCTCAAAATATCAAATAACTGTACGATATATGGATGATTTTGATAATGCCCTGTGTTATAGACCCTGCTGTTTCAAAATTTAAGTGAACACTTACTTGTCGAGACAGCAAAAATATGTTAATAACACACATGGCGTTATAAATTCTTCCATATAGCGTTAAAAATACCCTGTATAAAATTGTATAACAGACTCAGATATATGTGAGGAGCTGGCAACGTCGCATGTGTCGTTGTTAATAACACACATGGCGTTATAAAATCTTCCACATAGCATTAAAAATGCCCTCTATAAAATTGCATAACATACTCAGATTTACGTGAGGAGCCGGCAACGTCGCATGTGTCGCTGTTGATAACACACATGGCGTTATAAAATCTTCCATATAGCATTAAAAAATGCTCTCTATAATTTAGAGAGAAGCCGGCAACGTCGCATGTGAGGTTGTTAATAACAAACATGGCGTTATACAATCTTCCATATAGCATTAAAAATACCATCTATAAAACTGTATAACAGACCCAGATTTATGTGAGGAGCCGGCAACGTCGCATGTGTCGTTAATAACACACATGCGTATGTGAGAGACTAGAAGAGTTCACTTTCTGAAAACAAGGAAGTAGAACTACTGAAATAATGATTGGAAGGGTTAATAAGCGAAAAATATATGCAGCGTGTTTTCAAAGTTGAGTCATACAAATAAATGACTTTAAGTTTTTCTAAGTTAAGCCAAAATTTGTAGTCAGTAAGTAAGTAAGTTTCATTAAATTAAATATTTAAAACACACACGTCGATCACTCTTGTCGAAACGGCAATCGATCGCAAACGGTAACAGTGGTTAGTTGTTGTTCGTGTACGTCGTCGTGTTTATTTACAACGTTCTCGAGTCAAGAGTTTGCCGACATGTTGTTAGTTTACGGTGAAGCTCGTCAGAATTTAAATCTTGCAGCTCAAATTTATCGACAGAAGGACATTTGTGCAAGTGTACCAAAGTCTTCGAGATCCAGGAAGTTTTCAGCCCACCAATATTCGCACTCGTGGAAGACAGGTTACTGTAGAGCAGGAGGAACAAATGTGCCAAAAAGTACCAATAAAATGCAGCCGCAGCCTGCTGGTTGTGTGCGGAAAGCTTTCACCATACTGTGATCGACTCTCCCACAACCTGATTGGCTTGGACTTTATTACACCATTAAAAGTTCTTCACATTTATCTCTGAATAGACTTGATGTTATGAGCTTGATAAAAGTCTTTTTGAAAACTTCTGGATTAAAATTTTAGTTTGATCAGTTAGATATCCTTTGTATAATTATCATCTGTAATTTACCTACCTGAAAATGCCTTAATGGGCACTTAGCCGAGAAGAGTACATCCATGTATAATAATATTATTACTATTAGTTCGAGAAGTGATTTTTGTCAGTCACCTCAAGGCCTGTTTTGCGAACAAAAAACTGTTATCAAATTATTGGGTTGTTTTCTGTCCTGGATACGTGCGCGAAGTTTCAAATTAGTCAAACTTCTGGAAATTGGTGAAGAGTATGCTCAAAGATTCCTTTATATGCATCCATACAAGCCAAGCTAATAAAAGCGGGCCAAAAAGGATCTGGTTAATGGGACATATTCTTAGTAGTAGTAGTAGTAGAAAGATTTATTTAGCACATTTGGTTACATAAACAGAATAATTGTGAACAACTTAGAACTAGTAAATTCAAGCCACATGGTGTATGATGTAAATGCTGGGCAACCTATAATTGTAGATTTAACAAGTGATTTCTCAATTTTACTTTAAATTTTGTCAAAGCTTTCTAGTCTTTTATCTCTGAGTATAATTTATTATATTCAATCAACCCTTGATGGAATGCAGATTTATAGCATATGTTATACTTTTTGGTCATTAAATGGAAGTCATCTTTATTTCTGGTATTATGCAAATGATGGTCGACATTTGGTGATGTTAAATTAGTCACACTTCATGGATATATATTATTTTTCACTTTATAAATGAATATCATTACAAGATATTTGATAAAATTTTTTACATTGAGCCATTTTAATTTGCTAAGCATTTGCCTAATTGGAGTATATTTATCTTTATTCAGTATTATTCTCATGCACTTATTTTGTAAAATTTGCAGTCTTTCAAAAATGGAATTATTTGCTAAATATAGAATAGTCGAACAGTACAAGAAATTTCGTGCAGCATTGCCAGTACCCACAATATCAACAATACTTTCTACAAAATATTCATTTAGTTTGTTTGCAATCACCAAAGAATTTGTTCCAGTACCGTTTTCAAATTGAACTTGATTTACACAATCATGCGGCTTCGAATTGATCAGACTTTTTAAAGTCTTCCACATCTTTACAGTGTCGCACTTGTTATTATCGAATTGTTTATCGTAGAATTTCTTTTTTCTTCTCTAATTACATACACACATTTATTCCTAACAGTATTATATACCTCCCAATCATCATTTGATTTTGTGAATATACGTTTATTGTATTGTTTGTCTTTCAAATTTTGAGCTGCCTTAATATTCTTGTTATATCAGGGTGTATTTTTTGTCGATCAAATCACTTTTTTATCAGTTGTAAGATCTAAACAAGTTTTTATATTTCCTGTCATGTTGTCATATATTTTTTCCATATTTTCACCGAAATTCCAATAGCAGCCAGCAAGTTCTCGTTCAAGTTTTTCGTACTTAATAATATTTACGATTTTCTTAATTTTCGTATCAGAAAAATGCCCCACCAAGGGCAGCATTGTCCAACTGTGATCACTAACTTTAGGTGTATGTACAGCTTTAATCGCTGCGCATTCGAAATTTACAATAACAAGATCTAACAAAGTCTCTGATAATGATGTTATTCTGGTACCCTCTTCAATTTTTTGCTTGAATCCATTAAAAAAAAAGATCTTCCATCATCTGACTAATGCTAACCACCCATAATTTCTTACCATCTATCTACTCAGAAAGAGATTTTGTTTTTTAATCTACTTAACGTGGCTGTTGAAACATTTCAAGCAATGAGAATAATATCTTGTGAAATGCAACCCTAAAAAAGTAATTACAAAACGTTTCGCGCCAATACCATCTTGATAAAAAAACGCATCGCACTTTCACAGATATGCCTTCACCAAATACGATTAAATCTGAACGCAGAGGGCGTTATAGACAATTTAATGGGAGAAGAGGTAGTAACTATAATTAGGAGCGGGTACTTGCTGAGATGTCTTGGCACGATTACCTTAAGTATAGTGTTTTGTTACGCCAATAACCTTGCCAGCGGACCAAATGCAGGTCTTCGTTGGCCTAGCTTGTCGAACATGGCCAGAAATTTGGCTGACTGCTTACGGTATCAATTGATACTTTATTAAAGTGGGGTTATCTCGTATTTTTTATTTGATGGTGTGGGATTGTAGTCCTTTATACATGAACCAAATTAAACTGTTAACTATTTGGATTCTGGTAATCAGGTTCATCATGGAAAACCACATCAGGTAGATTGACAAACTTTACAGATTTAATCAAAGTAATATTGTTCTGCGATTGACAAAAAAAGTAAACACCTACGTATGTTTATTAGAATTTACATATCAATTTATCTTGCCATGAACACTAAGTGATGAAATGGTCAGGTTTTTGTGCATGCGTGCATCGTTTGGTGATAAAGAACCATTCAGTTTTCGTACATTTACGGTGTCAGTTAAACGTTAAATTTCGTGTAGCTTATTCAGAAGCCTTTTTGTTGAATCAAGCTGAACATTTAATCATTTTACTAGCAAGGGACACTGAACATATATGCCAAAAATTATTAAAATCGGATAAACATACTCAGTATATTTAAATGTACAAAGTTCCATATTCAAAAACAAAGTTGGTGTTGGAAGTCGAAAAATGTCGAGTTAAAAATTTGAACACGCCACCTTGTAGAAGAGAAAAAGTGGCTATGACAACATACAATTTATTTCCAAATCGGATCTCAAATAGCCAGAAGAAATTAAAAATGATATTCTTATGTCTGGTGTACGAAATATATTAAGTGACATATAAATCCGAACATCCAGTTTAAATGGTTTTATTTTGATAAAAGTTGGCGAATGTATTTATCTTACTGTAAATAACAAGTGAAAAAATGTTCAGCCTTATCAGTTGGACATTCCGGTTTTTATACTGCTTTTTTTTAATTCACTAACGCTCTAAAAATGAGTATTTCAGCCGCAGTAAAGAATCAACGTTGGCGGATTTTGGTTCTTGACATCCTTTACGATCGGTTACGATGCCTAGAGTACGGAGACCTGTACGATTTCGTCAACTTAGTGAGTTTGATAGGGACCGTATAGTGGGACTTCGGGAAGCTGGACCTTCTTTTCGGGCAATTGCAGTTAGAGTGCAAAGAAGTGTAGACACTGTGGTTAGGTGTTGTCAGGCATGGCTTCGAGAAGGCCGTACGCAAAGAGCAAGGAGCACTGGACGCCGCCGTAGAACAACAGACCGTGAAGATCGCCGCCTAAGATTATTGGCCTTAAGGGACCGTTTCTCCACTACCAGGTCCATTGCAAATGAATGGTTTGCAGAACACGGAAGACCTATTGGCATGCGAAGTGTTTACCGACGAATGAGAAGTTTTGGGTTGTTTTCATACCGGCCACACTGGGTCCTCCCTTTAACTCGAGAACACCGACGTAATCTCCTTGAGTGGTGCAGACAACGGTCACTCTGGGATCAGGAATGGAACAGTATTGTCTTTAGTGACGAGTCTCGATTTTGTTTAGGCATGCACGATGGTCGTGCCAGGGTTAGAAGGCGACGTGGTGAAAGGAGGAATCCACAGTTTTTTGTTAAAAGACATGTTCATCACACTGTTGGAGTTATGGTTTGGGGTGCTATAGCTTATGGTTCCAGGTCACCTTTAATCTTCATCAGAGGTAACATGAACGCGCAGCGTTATAT